AGTCCTTGGGGGAGGGGGGAATGCATAAATACGTGTATGTATGTCCGTACGTTTCCCGGGACTCCTGTGTGGATTCCATTTTCCTGACGCGCGTGTGTTCCCGCTCTCTCCCCCTTCTATATCATGTCGTGCTTATATACATACATACATACATACATACATACATACATACATACATACATACATACATACATACATACATACATACATACATACATACATACATACATACATACATACATACATACATATATACATACATACATACACCGCGCCTAACACATTCATGTATACATGCACACCCCGCAACTGACATACGTGCATGCCCTTCCCCTAGCCATGTATTTGTACCTGGCCTTAGACCTGCCCTGCCCCTGACGTCGACGTGGACGTTGAAGATGTGTCTGTTCGGTGTTTAAACCCCGCAGCCGCGTCGGGGAGCACCTCCCGCTTGGCGACCAGCTCAGCTCGGGGGGGGGCTGCTGGCGGCGGCGGCGGCGGCAGTCTGCCGCAAGGCGCCGGCACGTTCCGATTTAGCATCTTGGAACGACGCTGGAACAAGGGCTGGGGCGGCGGAGGCGGCAACGGCAACGGCCAGGGCGGCGGAGGCGCCGGGTCGTACGACAGCGTCATGTCGGGATCCATGTAACGTAACGCTAGTAGCACGTAATGCCATGGAATCTGCGCCCGGCGGTCCACGTCTCTACGTATGTATGTATGTATGTATATCCGAACAGCAATGCTCCTGGGGGAAGGGGCGGATTGGGGGTGCTGGGGGTTGCGGCGGTGAGGGAGAGTTGCGGGAGGGATGGCAGGGGACGCATGGAGGGCAAGAACCGGGCGGTGTGTGTACTTTCATGCTATGTGTGTATCCGTGTAGTATCTGAGCCACGAGAAGATGATGACCGGTCTGTTCGTGCGTGTGTGTGTGTGTATTTGGTTTACTAGTGTGGGTTGGGTTGGTCGGGACCCCCTCTTTTCCTGGCGTGAGTTCCTTTCTTCCCTTCCCTTCTAGAGCTCATTTGGGAAGTGGGTTGATTTGTAGGCGGCTTCCAGTGTGCAGTATCGGTGTGCAGTATCGGTGTGGAGTATCGTTACCGTACTGCCGTACTGGCGCCTACAAGGTCAGAAGGTGGTGCTGTTGCAGAAGCAACTGGTGGTGATCACCTGGTGGTGGGGAGGGCCGGATTTGGGAAGGGGGGAGGAAGGGCGTGTGGTGCAGGTGCGGGCGATGCGTCATTGTCATTATGGTCGTCGTCGTCGTCGTCTCGGATGGCAGGGGGAGGTCTACAGACGTGGAGAGAGAGAGAGAGAGAGAGAGAGAGAGCATGTTGGGGGTCTTGTAATGCGCAAGCGAATGCTGTCGGGCTAGTGCCTCTGTTCAATGGGTGGCAACTCTTGTGTATATAATTCTATATGCCTTCGTATGGGTTTGTGTGTATGTATGTGTGTGTGTGCAGCTGCACATATGTATGTATGTACGTATGTATGCCTTCAGCTGTCAGTGCGCTCCGTTGCATACTCCACATTGAGTAGAGACACAGCGGAAAACGCCATCTTGGACGACTTCTTGACGCGGTTTCTCAAATAGGGCACCCACCTCTATCCGTCTCTCTTAATTTTTGTATGTACGGCATGTTGGACGGCAGCGTTGGACGTGTGTTAGATGACATGTGTATGGACGTGCGCACGTGTAACGCGTGTTCGTTGCCGCGTTATCGGGAGTGGATGCGCTCGTGCTATATTGGTGTGCGAACGAGCTATAGGGAAAACGACTGGAGAGGAAAGAGGCTGTGTTTTCGCCTGTACGAATATGGAAGCCTGTATGTATGTGTACGAATGTACCACAGCGTAGTGTGTACGTATAAGTACACGTGGTGCTGCCGCCCTGGCAGCATCGCCACGGGCGTGGTAGTTGACCAGGCAACGGCCGACGGTCATGACGGTTATTCGTTGTACGATCGGCCAGGTGTGTCGGCGGTTTCCTGGTCTGGCGTATGGCTGACCTGGAGCAACTGCCACGAAGGAGAGGAAGGGCAACTGGAAAAGATGACATGTAGACGGGAAAAGAAAACGGTTTGGATGTGTTGACGTAAAAATAAAAGGCGGGGAGATGGAAAAGAGGAGGATAGGCTTAGGGTGGTTAACGAGACAGGTTCCCAGGGAACGAGGTCCGAGGCTGTGTGTGTGGCTGTGCGTGTACATTGTGTGTTTTGGTGTCCATCAGATCCTCTTGAAGGGGGAGGGAGGGAGGGGAAGAAAGGAGGTCGCTGTTGCGGAGAGCAGTGGCGAATTTCGACTCGATGGAATGCGTCACAAGAGAATGCGCGGCTGCGGAGAGTCGGCACAAGCAACATGCCAACTCGTCTGCAATAGATACATATGCACATACATGAATACATACATACGACTCTTTGCTTTGGCCCTGCCAGAGCTTCAGTCTTACCCTGACAAGCACGGGTAATGCACTGGCCAACTGTGATATCCATACACATACACACAAACCCGAGCACATGGACGTCTTTCTTTATGGTTATAGGCTATATGTTCTAGATAACACATACACACGCGCACCCGCGGCTTCCAACGTCCTGTGCGCCGCACGCAAGCCCGCACCACGATAACACACTCCTCGTTGCGGGACGCTTGGATTTGTCGTTGCACCGTACGGCGACTTAGGGTACACGTGTTCTTGAGGTTGTATTGCGTAGGGTTTGTGTCACCAAGAGAGTGGGACATTATACCACATATCTATGTCGTTATACGTTCGTAGCTACCGCTCTGGGCAGACAGACAAACATACAGACGGACGGAGAGGAGCAGGATAGGCTGCCAGCGCAGGAGTGCGCCTCAGGTAGCAGCTCTGAAAGTGTATGGTTTCCAGTACATAGCTGGTTGAGGTCGCAGGTTCGTCGCACAGGGCGATGTTGATCGTAATGATTGCGGTTTGGATGGATCCGCCCTGAATACTGCCACATGAATCTTCAGTGAAACAGTTTATCACACAGCCCACCATTCTGTTGGTGTCGAAAACTATTTGTGCACCCGCATCCCATACGGAATCATGTCCGCTCCGTGCGACTATGTTGACACACGCACACACATGCACACCTACGAAACATACATGCAATCCCACGGGTTTTGCTGCGTCTCTGTCTTGGAGACAACCCCGGGGGCCCGCGGGCGTAGCAATGTGCTTGGTTTTCTGTCGGAGGAAAGGGATAAAGGACATCATGTCCACTCTGAAGCCAACCTAATTAGTCCGAACCTAATTATCCAGGCTCTAACCAGGTAAGCTGGAGGACACTGACCTGCCCGCGCACCTTGCTGCCTAGGTAAGTAATCCAGAACTGTCCACGCTCAACATCACATACCAACAATGCTCGCACGTGCTGAAAGATGAGGACAACGAACTGCCCCGTCCGTGGGAACCCCTTGGGTTCGTCAGGAGAAGGGGAGAGGGGAGAGACAATACAGTACGACAGCGGGAAAGGATAATACCGTGCCCTCCCACTCACCAATTGCCCGTACCTTTGGCTTTGGCTTTGCCTTTCATCCGCCCGTACCTTTGGCTTTGGCTTTGCCTTTCATCCGCCACTGCCGTTATATCCTGGCCCCTAGCTAAGTCGTGGTCAACCAACCCCTGAAATACACGGTCCGGACCCCCTGCCCCAACTCGACGCGAGGGTCGTGAAACATCCAGCAGACCTGCCAAAGCACCGTGAAGGCACACAGCAGCTCAGGCCAGCGACCTCCTCTGTGCTACACACAGAAGCACGACGCAGAGCAGCTAGTACCACATCAACAAACCGGACCAATCAAGCTTTGCTAGGGAAGTAACCTCATCCCGGGTAGCGGGCGCGGCTGGCAACCCCGCCAACAGCTCACCTGTTGATAGCTTAATACCCCCTTAGTGTCTGGCCGTGGCTCAGAGCTTGCTTCACAGCGAAGCAAGTACAAAATGTAATGTTGTCGTCGGGAAATCTCGGGCCCCGTGTCCTAGTTCGCTTTTTTTGCGTCAGGATTCAGTTTGGAGAGCAGGGGTGTGTGGGTGGTGGGTGGTGCTAAGCAGGCACCCGCCCAAGAGAGGGAGACAGAGCCCAGGTAGGGGGATACACGTGAAGTCGCGATACGTATACGTGCGGGTGCATGCGTGTGTGGAACTGTGTTCAGACATCCCGGTCATGGCCCACCACGCAGAATGAAAACACCTTACCCCACGCGGGATTCACCTACACACACATGCACCCGGCCAGGTAGTGTTACGCACGCACAAACAGATTTACACACATACACATACACATACACACGCGTCGATGGATTTTTTTCTGTATGAAGCAAGAGACCGTTGCGAAGGATAACCAGTAGATAGGAGAGCCCCGCATAGGACAAAAAGGCCATAACAACCACAACCGCCGCATATCAAATGATCACATACTATGCTTTCTTCCGCAAGTAATGGCACGCTCACACATACACACATGGGAGGGGCATGGCAACATAAATAAATAACTAGGAAGCTGACGGCCAGGGGAAAAACCAGTAAGAAAGAGGTCACACACTGCACAGCTGCAGAGGTACCTACGGCAGCTGCGACTGCCTTACACCGCCTCTGCAGTCCGCACTGCGGCCGCTACTGCTACTGCTGCCCGCGGCTCTTATGCTGCTTCCATCCCGCCCTTTCCGCCCAGCCACGTAAGGTCATTTGACGAAAAAACACCACTACATATTCCCCGCACGACGAGTGATACAACGTGCATATTGTGCAGAGTGTGGGCCATCTCTTTTACTGCAGGAGTGTACCGCACAGGACGAGCTGTACACCCGCACATAATGGCTTCAGCCGCTGCTTAAAAGTCCCTACTCAAGTCTCAAGAGTAAGTCTTGAGATTGGGGATAGCTTCCTACAGGCCCATAAAGGAGGTTTCGGAGCGGTTGGTGCAGCGAGCCCGGGGGCATGGGTACCCAAAGGAGCCCCATGGAACCGGATCCCAATGCCAGTCGGCAGTCATCCTATCCTCCCCAACAACGCCAAGGAGGGCCTTTGGCATTTTTCTCATAGGCCGTGCCCGGCACCTCATCCTGCCGCCGCAAGTCCTTTCCCCCTCCCCTCCCTCCCTCTTCCGCTCTGCAGCCCACGCACACACCTCCAGGTTTATCTCCGCCAGTCTGATGGGCTCGCAAGACTGATAACCCTACAGACCTTGCCAGCTGCGTCACGCCTCCAGTGGACCACCTCCACGCCACGCCAGTACTGCGGGCCGGCGTCCCTCCCCCACTAGTACCAGGAAGTGCCCAGCCCAATCCAGTCCGCGGAGGGTGAGGGTGAGGACGTGCATATCTTGGTACCAAGCCAGCTCAGGCCTACAGGCAATACCGGCCCCTAACAACGCTGCAGCTGCGACTGCCACGGCTACTACTAGCACCCCTGCTGGTAGTACTACTACGGCCATAATGCGGCGTAAAGCAGGTAAGCGGCGTTAACGAGGTACTAGAAAGCCCGGGACGGTAACGCAAACCCACCGGTGGTTTCTGCAGCGCTCCGTCGTCCTTACCCAGAACACGGAACGCTCGGATTCAGATTGGATCCACAAAGGTTCTCAAGCAGCCCACCCTCTGAACGTCTGAAGCGCGAGGACCTTCTCCAAATCCTCCCCTCTCTCCGTACATCCTACGTGCTAATATCCTATCTCCCCCCCCATGGCGCTGCTCCCTTTCCTTGCATCACCGTATTCGGTTTGGATAGCAATACTCGTTTGCTGCATCCTCCTTGTTTTCCATGGATACGCAGACTGCGCCATCCTGTCCTCTGCTCCTGACTCCCCACTTTGCATCTTCCGCAGCGTGTGGGCGAGTTTTTCTCTTTCTCCGCAAACTGCAACGCACCACCTACCAACCAGCCATCAGCCCGCAAGGCTGGCCGGTAGGGGCCCCCGGGTGGTCATTCTTCTTATTCTCTCCACCTCCCATTTCCACATACATACATACATACATTCCTAGCTCTCCTTCATATGTTCTAGCTCCCCTCATGGTTGTATGGATGTACGAATGTATGGATGATGTCAAGGTGGACGGCGTAATGCCAAGAGGTGCCTCCGCTAAATCCAAAATGCATGTGGCCCTAATGCAGGGGAATGCAGGGGAAAAAGGGCTTGAGGCTCTTGCCGGTGTTGGATTCTCCTCGCTAAACTGCTACTGCTACCGCCGCTTCGTCCGCTGCTAGGCGAGGAGGAGGTCTGGAGCCCCCGGGTAGGTTACCAGGCCTACCTTCAGCAATGAATTCCACCACAGCACCCGGGTGGGTACCAACGCTACTACCGCTATACCACAGAAAGGGTGGGCACCTGCTGCCACCCTCATCCGCAGCGCTGGCCCCGTCCCAGAGTTGTTCTGGTGCTACTTCTACAGTCTCGTAGCAGCATCCGTAACCGTGGCCATGGCCATGTCCGCCTACCCCGCCTGGCCCACCCCAAGCCCCAGTCCTAGCCCCAGCTTGCGAAGTTTGGGGCCCCCGCTGCTGCTGCCGCTGTTGTTATTTATGCTGTTGCTGCTGCCAGCGGAGCCGACTTCGCTGTCCTTGCCGGCGCCGCCACTGGCGCCAGCGCCGTCCCCTTTACCCGCCTTACTATTGGAAGCGGAGGGAGCGGTAATGCTAGTGTCAGTTTTCCACAACTCCCGAGAATTCGCGACCGAGGAAAGGGAGGAGGAGGAGGAGGAGGAGGACGACTCGATATCTTTGACCTTGACGGTGGGTCCAACCACGCCGTCATCACTGCCGTCGTCCTCCTGCGGGTGGTGGCGTGTGCCGTTGCAGGGACACAAGAAATGGGAGAGGAATTAGAATTGTACGAAAAGTACTGATTTGTACCGCTGCCACATCGGGGCTGGGACTGCAGTGCGTCACTCATGTATTCTGGATGTCCCCTTCAGGGAACAGACTTCCCCTTCGGTTCTCCTAAAGAGGATGAGCCGAAGGGGGCACACAACACTTCTGTTGGTACACGTCCTGCGGCATACATACCGTATATACCGTATAGCCACCCATCACCACCTTCCCGTGGCGGCGAAATTCGCCACCTACCTACCTGCGCATCTTGCTTTTTTCAACCTCCAGACAGGACAGGTAATGCTAGTAATTTAAGGATTGTGCACAATCGTACATTCGTTTCCTATCACTTTCATTTAGTTTAGTATCCACCTTTACGTCTGGTAATGCCCTGATCCTTTTCGACAGCACACATGGTCACGGCAGCGCCCCAAACCAGCGTCACCAACTTCCCCAACTGATGTATATAATATCATAATACGCACAAGAGCACACAGGCAACCACCTGAATCAGCTTGCCGTCTGCGTCCACCTTGACTACCGGGCCCTCCACCCGGCTCGAGTCCTCAGCCTCATCCGATGACCCAGAGTCGGTGATCTTGTGCACCAGGCCCAAAAACGCGTCCTCAAGGCCGCCGCCGCCGCCGCCGCTGCTGCTGCCAGCGGTTGCAGCGGCAGCAGCAGCGACGACCGCAGCGGCCGCCGATTCTCCTCCTCCGCCCGTCAGCACGGGTTCCACCACTGCGGAAGACTCCAGGGACGGGCTGGCGGCCCTGACGCCTGCGGACGAGGCCGTGAGGGCCGACATGGAGTTGAGGAAAAGAAAAAAGAGTATCGTTTCTTCCAACCCAACCGCAAGGGTCCCCCCCGGGAGTGGTGTAAATTTGGCGATGTACGGCCACCTGTTGCGTACGATTGCTGCTGCAGCATGTACGACGAAAGGGCGTTATGATGGCAGCAGGCCAAACGACTGGGGAGGGGAGGGGCATCAATTGCAAAGATATGCACTTGCAAAAGATAATTCCATCTGCTGAGAAAGGCGTCGATTGCGGCGATGTCTAAAGCAAGCAAGCGACTGTACTGTTGAACCCGGGAACCTTGCCGGCGAACCCAGCTACCAACATAATGATCGTGCGTAATCGCCATCCCCGGGGCCTTTTGGAAAGTGGTTTTTGCTTGGGAGAAACGGCATGGTCTGCATGACAGCCATGTTAACGCCATCACAGCTTTCGCGACGACCCCATCGGCCACAACAGCTCACTTCGCTCCCTTACATCCACCCGCACCGTTTAATTGACAACATCGCATCATGACGTTTATTTATTATTCTCCCACATTCACTCGTACTTTACTCATGTTTCCAAGCTCTCCACCGCAGGAATACCTCCCGAGTGAGGACACCAGACTGTACTGTCATACGCCGCGTACTGTCATATGCCATACCTTAGCTCACGTCAGTGGCAGAGCTTACCTGCATGCCCCATGCCGGCGGCGTTGGCAGCGGCCGCCGCCGCCTCCCCTTTCTGGATCTGCGCCTGGGCCTGTGTCTCGGTCAGGTCCTTGACAATGTCCACCACGCGTTCAGCCACCTTGGCGTCGGTGCTTGTAAGGCTGTGTTGAATCACCTGCAACGCCTCTTCCTGCTGAACCTTGCTCACCTCCACAGCATCCTGCAACACAGCCGCGATGCCGGAGACATTCAGCAGCGCACCGGAGGCACCCAAGCCGGTGGCGCTGACGTTAGTCGTCGTCGGCACCACGACGCCGGTGGCGTCGGTTGCGTCGCTGCTGTCGCCAAGGTCCACCAGGGCGCCGTCAGCAGTACTTCCTGCCGTACCGCCCTTCCCATCCGCCGTCGCCGTGGCGGCTACGGCAGTGGCAGCTGCCGCAGCCTTCGCGGCTGCAGCCGCGGCCTGCGCGCTGGTTGCGGCGGCGTCGGTGGTAGTGGTGGTGGTCGCGGTCGCCGCGATCTTGTCGTTCAGATCCTTAATAACCTGTTCCAACTGGCCTGCGGCCTTCGCCGCCCAGTCGGTTTCGGAGCCGGTCCCGGAGGAGGTGCCGGCAGGCGCCTCTCCATCGCCTCGCGTCACGTTGCGTCTGCCCGGCCTGTGTACGACCGCCAACGACCCTTCATCGCCACCGCCGTTTCCATCCGCCACCCCACCACTGCCGCTGGCGCTAACGTCTGCGGCTGCAGCCACCGAGCCGGCAGCGTCTGCGGCATCGGCACCACCAGATCCGGAGGCGGCGGCAGAATTACCCACGGCGGCGGCACCCTTGGAGCCGAGCCCAGCGGCGATGGTCGTAGCGTCAGTCGCTGAGGCGGTGGCGGCGGCGGTGGCGGCCGGTGGGGTAGCTGTGGTTATGGCCGTGGAATCCCCCTCCGCTCGCTTGATCTTAGCGGCTTTGGACATGGCGGAGGTTTTCTCCAGGTCACGTGATACCTGCGGGATAGCGGATCACCGTGGGTGGCACCGGACAGATGGGTCAGGATGGGCTGTGCATGGGGATAAGAAAACACACACCCGCTCGCGCCTTCTTCCCCCCTCTCCCTCATGCCCGATGCACGTCCGTTTGCTGGCGGCTGAGCGGCCCTGGGCTTGGCCGCTCAGCCGCCCAAGCCCAGTGACACGCACCTGGACCCGCGCCCGCGCCACCTCGTCCTAGCGGCAGGGCCAGCGCAATCCTGCATCCGGCTCGCAGCCGCACTCCCTTTTCCAAGTACCCCCCCAGGTTCGCTCCGCCGAACACCTTTCCCCAGGTTCCCCCTACTTCGCACATACCCACCCACCTGCACCAGCATCCCCAGCAGCTCGCTGGCCTCCTCCGTGGCGGACCGCTGCAGCGCCTCCTCCGTGAGCTGCATGGCTAGGGCGCTGGTGGCGGTGGCGTTCAGGGCAAGACGCATCGCCTGCAGGAACAAATGTGGGTTTTCGGATCATAAATGCGCAAAGCTTGAAATTTTAAAGTGGAAAAAAGATAACTGCCGACAGCATCGGCTGCCGCGGCGTCCGATGCAACCGGGTACAAAGAGCAGGAAGATGATGGAGGGAGGAGACTTGTCTTGCCCTTTGGAGGGCAAGACAACCAGGTACAACCGAGAAGATCCATGGGAGGTTTGTGATGGAGAACGGAAGGGGAGAACCTATGGATAGGTACCTGACAACTTCTCCACCATCATCACCACCACCACCATCAACACCACCCACTGCGCTTTACATCTGTCCTTTTTAAGCAAAGCCCCACTGACCCTCCTTCCCTTTCCTCCCCCGATCCAACCTCACCGACCCACCATCGCCGCTGCCTTCTTGATGTCGTCGTCGTGTTTGTTACTCTTCTTGGCCGCTGATACCGCCGATGCCACGTTGTCCAGTACGGCTATGGTCTGGTTCAGGGCCGCCAAAGTAGACAGCGCAGTGGATCGAACCTGGGTCAGGGACTTGCCTGGTACGGGCGGTGGGAGGACATGGAATGGAAGGGCAGGGTGGGAATGAGAGGTCGGCCGGCAATAGAGCTAGTACGAGAAGGAACGAGGGAGGGAAAAACCATATGCGAGGAATCCGGAAGTGAGCTGCCAGTGTTTGAAGGTCTCCGAATCACGGCCCCCGGCGCCCTCCCCACCACTTCCTTCTCCCCTTATCCCTTGTGTCGCCAGCCCCGTCTTGCCCAAGGCCCACACCCCCGTGCATCTGTTCCCTAGCGCTGCTCCCTGGCGCTTTAATCTTCATATTCCCCGACACCCTTCACCGGTTTCACCGCTTTTCCAATCCCTTTCCCTTCCCCTTTCCCGCCCTTGGACCCTTTCCCGCCACCACTGTGGACCTCATCAGTCATTCTTCTGCCTTTTGATCGCAATCCCCCGCCCTCAGCCCCTTTCGCGTCACGCCATGTCACATCAAGAGTCCAATACTCCGCTTGTGCGTGTATCTCCCTGTCATATTCCTCTTTTAATTACCCCGCCACTTTGCCGTACCCGTCCATAGCGATACGCACACACGCTTACCTGCCACCGTCGCGTTGCCAGCCACGGCCCTGAACGCCCCCAGCGCCGTCCCCAGCTCCTGAGCCAGGTCTGTCGCACGATCCCGCGTTACGGAACCGGAACTTGAAGAACCCGAGCTCGATCCGGAGCTCGAAGAAGATGTAGAAGCCGTGGACGCGCCAACGCCGCCGCCGCCTGCGGCCACCATGTCACCGGCGGCGCCTGCGGTGCCGCTGCTGAGTTGTACGATGGCAGCGTCGAGTTGTGCGACAACACCGGTGACACCGGCGACGGTGCGCAGCAGCTCATCTTTGACATCTGCTAGGGTTCCCTCTACGGCTTTGAAGACCTTGGTCTCCGCGACGTGTTGTTTGTGCTCCTGATGGGTGAGTGGGAAGAAGAAGAGGAAGAAGGCTGGCCGTCATATCCAAGTAGCAAAGGGTCAACTGCCAACGTCCATCGGGCACCGACAGGGGGTGGCGAAGACGAACAGACGTGAGCAAACCGGTAGGTTGCCCGAGTGCGAGAACGCGGATGCACCGGGAGGGGAAGAAGCTCGCGCTCCTTAGGCCCAAATGAAGCAAGCAAACGACAAAGCAGTCCCCCCTCTTTCCTCTAATCTTTCCCCCTCCTCTTCCCTCCTCCCCTCCCCACCGTCACACCTTACCCTCCAAAACCCTGTGTGTGTGAATTCCTCACTCACCTTGACCAGCGTCTGCAGTCCCCACTCCCCGGACCCCTTGCCACCTCCTCCTCCTCCTCCACCCCCTCCCGCGGCCCCTCCCTCTCCTGACGCCGTCGCCGTCCCCGCAATCACGTCCAGCTGCGCGGCCGCCTGCTGTAGCTTCGTAAACGTGCCGGTGGCATTGACGTTCGCCTGGCCCAGGTCCTTGGCCGCTTGCTCGACCACGGTCACGGCCGTCACGGCGGCTCGTGCGTTCTGCTGCACCTTGGCGGTTTCCGCCACCACCACCTCGTGGGCCACGAGCTGCTGGGCAAGGTACACCACCGCAGCTTCCTGCTTCACGGCACCCAGGATCTGCAGGTGGGGCGGATGGGATGGGATTTTAGGGGGTTGAGGGGGGGAAACGAGGGAACAAAAATGTTACTAATATAGCATAGATATACTATATAATCAACTATCGACGCGGAGAGGTAGAGGAAGTAAAAAGAGCCAAAACAGGAGCAGTTCCTCACTTTACTTAACACCAGTAAATGCTTTTCCCAGCTTATGTCACCTCATTTTCCTTCAACTCACGTCAGCTTACGGTATTATCTGCTCGTATTTTTTCGCCGCCTTTACACTTACCTTTAGAATACTGCGGATGGTTCTCTGCTTTCTTTCCGCATTTTCTTTTAGTCTTGGAGGCCAGGCACGTAGTTTTCTGCTGTCGCCATGACGACACATCATCGCGAAGACTCCTCCTTCACAAGCCGCGACTTGTTGGTTATTGCTCACTTATTTCTGGCGTATCAGTCTATCTTTGGCATCGGCTTCACTAGTTCCTGATGTGACGACATCTTCCCCTCCTTTCCATTTCCCCCCAAATCGCTTCATTCCCCCTTCACCCCAAAAACCCCAGCCATCTATCCCCTCCTCTCCTTCACACCCGGCACCAGATGCCCGCCTCACCGCATCCGTACACGTGATGCCACTGACCACTCCGAAACACAGCAGTACAATCGCCTTCCGCTTCCGCCACACCCACTGGGAGCTGCAGGGCCCCGGGGGGGCAGGGGACGAACAGGAGAGAAACGCGAATACGATGGGAGGGGGGGGTGCGAGGAACGGCTGTATGAAGAAGCAAAGGATCAATTATCGACAAGACCGGGAAAGGGCTCAAGGAGGAAGGAAACACAAAAGGTAAAACCTGCGAGTGGGAATGCTATGTAAGATCCAAAAATGACCTGCCGGAAAAACAAGACCAAGTCTACAATAGACTACGTTCCACTTTCGAGGTCCATAATAACGGCAGCCGAGGTGACAAGCTAGCTAGCCAGCGGGGGGGAGGGGGAAGGGGACGGCCATCCCCCGGAACGGCCGCAGCTGGCCCTGCCGTGGGGCCAACCGTTGGATGCGGGGTTTCGTGGGGGTTGGTGGGGGGAAGAGGAAAGAACACGAAAGGAGGAAAACGAAGAGCCCCAAAGGACCCACACCTCATATTTTCTCTGAAAAAAATGCCTCCCAACTTCTTTGGCAAGGAAAGGAAGCCGCGCCGTCCCCCGAGCAGCACTACAACTATGTCTTACTTAGGAGTTGCATGCACGAATGCCTTATACAGCCTGTGCGCTGGGCGTTACATGCTTAACATTAGTATACATCCAAATGTAGATCATCTTCACACTCGGACTCGTGGCCGAGCAAGACGCACTAGACTTGGCCTACAACTACCGCTTCCCGCTGTCAGGGGTATTTATGGACGGCCGCCAGATTACCGTACCCGCGCATAGAGACACACAGACACACACACTCCTTTCCCCTGTGCGCTCTCCAACCCCTGGAAACTCCAAACCTGTAAGCCACATGCTTGTGTCAGCCGAGCTCCTGTTCCCCATCGTCACCTTCTCCCCCCAACACCCAAACGCAAACACTCATATGTCGTACCGTATCGCATCGGGAATGACCTTGAAGTTCCCGCCCCCTAGCAGCTCTGGATTGAGATCCATGAGGCGGACAAAAATGATGGACGGCAGGATGTACGACAACAGTACGGATGCGGTGGCACCAGTAAGACCGAAGATGAACTCGATGTTCGGCACCCAGATGGCCACGGCCAGGGAAGTGCCTGAATATGCAACAGGGGAGATCATATGCCGGAAAAAGGGAGAGGGGTAAAGGGGAAGACAAGAAAACGGCGGGCAGCATGGACAGCGGCAATATTGGCATTACCACGGGGGTATACCCAGCTAATACTGGAGGACCCCGGGGACTTGGGAGACGTGCGCACGTGTCTACGTAGGTTTGGTGCGCGTGTTAGAGCGTATGTTTGCATCTCTTGGTGTAGGCCGGAAATATCATTGGGGTGGGAAAGGCACAAGGCAGGGCAAGAGCAAAGGGAGGAGTCCCGGGGATGCAAGGGATCCTCGTCTCAATATGGGGGCCCCTACCCACCACCAGCACTCTTAACCGCTCCCCCAAACCCCCACCTGGCGGGGAATAGCAAATGTATGGCGGAAAGACTTCCAAATTCCTCATCCAACTTCCCCAACCCCCGATCCACATTGCGTCCTCACCCGCCTTCCTGCCTGCCCATTTACCTATTTACCGTACAGACATACAAAGATACCTAAACACATAATAACCACCATGCAATACATCCTATACAGGCGCTTGCCGCCCCGGCTCCGAAACCCTCTTCCCCCCTCTTTGCGCTCTTCTCCACTATAACAATAATCAGCAGTCAGCGCGGCCGTGTCCTTCCGCCAGCGCGGCCGTGTCCTCCCATCTTCCCTCTTCGTCTTATGTGCTCATTTCGTACCCCCTTTAACTAACCCGAAATGGAGCCCCTCCCACTACAGCCACTCACCAAGCACAATTAGCACCACAAACACGTGTTGTGCGAAACCCAGCTCCTCCCCTTCTCCGCTCTCCCCTTCTCGATCCGCATGCAGCTTCAAGTCCACCACATCCACTTGCTGACTGCCAGCTCGCCCCGCGCGGGAGGTGTGGGAGACGTGGGAACGATTGCGGCTGCCGTACGGGCCGCCGCCCCCTCCACGCGGGGAGGTTGGGCCGGTGGCGGAGGCGGTGTAATCCGTCGGGGCGACTTCGGTGTCAATATGAGCGTCGCTGCTGTTGTTACTGCGCGTGGTGGTGGTAGGTGCGGGAAAGAGGTGATAAATGCGGGTCGAAAGAAATGTGTGTGTATGGAAGGTGAGTGCAGTAAGGTGGGTAAGAAGACTTGCGTAGATTTTTGCTGGGGGCGGGAAACATAACCGAGAGCACTCCCTAACCACATCATAAATGACATCGATAGCGTGACTATGGAATTCAGAGCCATGCAACCCATCCAGCGATCGCCGCTTCCACCATCACCACCCACCCCGCCAAGCCCACCAGATGCCGCTATTCATCTTTCAGCCCGCCCACCCACCTAGCCCCCCAACCCCCCGCTTGATCCAGTACCTTTCATGGTATTACTCCGCCCAGCCCATCCTGATCCCCAGGTTACAAAATTCCTTACCACATAGCCCACTGGCCGCCAGTACATTTTTCTTAGCAACCACACTCTCCAGCTACATCAACACAGCACCAGTACCGGAAGGCGAATATCCTAGGACACCCCACCTCCACCTCACTTTGCACGTATTTCCAGCTCCCCCCCACCCCGAATCCCCAAGGGCCCCAATCCCCATCCCTCCCAGTCCCAATACCACCACACGCACCGCTTAAGACCGCCACCTCCACCGCCACGTATGGCCCCCAGGCCCAGCCCATCAGACGGGCCCTTGAAGCCCAGCAGCGGCAGCATCACGTTGTAGAAGGGCAGGATCACCAGCGGCACAGAGCCCAGAATGCTTAGCCCATAGCACAGCTTAATTGCCCGCTCGTAGGCGCCGCGAAGGCCGTCCACGTTTGCGGCGCCAAAGTTACGCAGCAGGTCACCGGCGGTTCGGTTGCGGAAGGTAAGGTAGCCGAATACGCCCACGATCCAGTACAGCGCCCCGGAGAGCCCCATTGCCTTTTTGGTTTGGCGGCCGAGGTAAGGAAGAAGCCGGCGCGTGTGTATGTTGGGGGTGGGGGGAAATCAGGTGCAAGAAGGCGGTGAGTCATTAGGTGCAAGAAGGGGGAACGGGGAATCAGATGGAGGAAGTAAGGAAGCATCAACTCGGGGGGAAAGAGGGCGCATTGGATGATGCACAAGTCGAGGTAGGTGCCGACGTCCTAAGACGGGTTCAGGATGGGTTGGGCCGGGAGGGTGGTGGACAGGTGGTCGTTGGTGGTTGGGGGATCAGCAGGCGTGTAAGTGGATCGTTGGGTAGGTATGCGGTGTTGTAATTTTCTGATGCCATACTCTAGGCCCTGCTTTTCTTTTCCTCCTGCTTCTCAATCCCTTTCTCTCCCTCCTACCCTCTAACCGCCTCGGCCCCCTACCTCACCTAACTAACCCCTTCCTCCATGCCTTCATTTGATTCCCTTTCCAATCCCATCCCTTCCCTCCCTCCCAACTGCCTCACCACATCGGTAACCCGGGTCATGCGTGTGAACGTAGCCCCATGCAGGTTGTTGAAGATGCCAAGGTAGTAGGGGTGCGCAGTGAAGCTGTAAACGATGACCGGGAACGCCACCAGCAGGCCCTCAGGCTGCCACATAGCCACAGAGTTGGCCACGACAGCTACGAACGACGGAGACGTTCATACACACATACATACACACACACGCGTGCGTGCAAGGGAGAAGAAGTGGGGCAATGGCGGGGAAGCGATAAGGCAAGGTGACCAAAACAGAGATGGAGACGGGAAATGAACATACATGGCACGCGCGTGCAGGGAGAAAGGAACGAAAGGATGGGATAAAAGCACAGCACCAGCAAGGCAAGGCAACACTCCAAGGCATGTGCGCGCCAAGCTAGTGCAGACAGGCCGAAAAACGACAGGGCAAAAGACGCAACAGCCAACTCTCAGGATGGGTCGAGACAGCAGCAGACCCAAGGCAAAACAAGGCAAAACAAGGCAAAACCAGCACGCACGCACGCGCGCGTGTGCCAACTTACAACCCACCCGTGGCGGGGTGCGGTGCCAATGCAAATATGACGACGACAACGGCGAAGAGGACGACGAAGCCCACACTCGCCATCATGAAGGTCACGATGGTGGCGTGGTCCCGAACCCACAGCGCCACCGGCAGAGCACCAAAGATGCTCACGCCTGCGGGTGCACCAATACACACCAACACCAATACACGTTTAGACGGGGTGTAACATGAGCGTTACATGGTATCCGCATGTGAGACTGCCACTTGTACCTCCTCGGCCTGGTTTTGAATTATATCCGCACATACAGTGTTGCAGTGTGTTACATCTGTATATGTATTTGTGTAAAAATCTATGGTATGTATGCATATATACCTTGTTTGGGGTCATGCAGCAAGCACTCCACTTCTTCTTCGACATCCCCCCGATCAGATGTCGGCAGTTGACTTCTGACTTATTGCAATTATTTCCTACCGCTTCCCACCGCTGATCCTTGACGTTAGGTTACACTGTTGCATTAATTTTCTTCGTTCGTTTGTTCAGTCGTTTGTTCACATGGGCGGGATGATGACACATGATGCAATGGGCACACACTGGGTCCTCACTGGCACAATATAGCCAACACCGGGCACAGGTGCATTTGTGACAGGAACCTGGGGAGCCATATATAGCACTGGCCGGGGAGGCAGGCCTATAGACCACTCAGGCATTTTGGGTTTGCACCCTGCCCTAGCCATTTGGGTTTGCAGCTCGTCCTTGCCATTTGGGTTTTTGGGTTTGCAGCTCGTCCTAGTGGATTTGGGTTTGCACCTCGACCTGGCCATTTAGGTTTGCAACCGTATACCAACCAGCCAAGAAGCACAAAACCCAAATGGTTGCGATCTGCACATGAGCAAACCCAACTGGCTGAGGTGGCACCGGTGTAAACCTAAATGGCTGCGAGGTGCATGCAATGGGCCTATGTCACTAAAATACACCGGTATGCACCGAAAAGTCTACATATCCATACACCGCCCAGGCTACGGCGCCCACAACCACATCCCGCCAACCTCCCCCGGAGGCAATTGCTGGACGTCTGAAACCCCCCTTTTTGGCCAGAAGCCTACGTGACCTAGCCATCAGCCCCCAGAGCCTAAGACCCCTAGGTGCTCACCAGGCCAGCTCCCAGCCACCCAAATCTCTAGCCAAACTTCGGATCAGTGCACATGCAACCGCTACTTAGTACAACACGCCAGACCTGAATGCGACCTCCCCCTATGAGCTGGTCACATCGCTGCCAAGATTACTCAAGGCACCACTGGTCAGTAAGCATGCTTCCCAGCATTTATCTCCTCCTGGACTAACCGTTTATCTCTGGTGTCTGCCAGTGGTTCATTCGCCCGTGGTTCACCAGTGGTTCATCTTACTCTCTATGAGCTACACCGTTTTGCGCCATCCACCAATTCAGGAACATCAAACACTCAGGAGCTACGTGTGCCGCCGTGTGTCACTCATCTGTGATATGTGAACCCCCTCGGTGAGCCATCACATGTTTGTGCTACTTACCGTTGGTTAACGGCCCGCCTTGAGCAACCCCGCGTGATGCCTACCTGTAATATACGTGTTACGAGAAGGTTCAGCTCCAGGGGGGATAATGGTACCCGCCACGGCGGAGAGCACGTCCGCGAGGATGTTCAGGTATGCCACGATGCAGCCCAAATTCAGGGCAGCTGTGCACAGCTGGACTATCTGCCTGCCAATCTTTCCAACGGCTTGCTCTGCAAGGTCCTCATAAGTACGTTTATTGCTGATCTGGCTACAGTAGAGCATGAGATTATAGGAGAACCGCGACGCGAGGATTGACACGAGCATGATGACCGTGCCCAGGAGCAAACCGCAAGAACGGAAGCAAAAAGGGTAGCCCAGCACACCCGCTCCAAGGATGCAATTGACCAGGTTGATGGTTGACTGGCTGGAAGACGTCCGACCATCCTCCACAGGCTTGCTTCGCTGCAGTTGCAAAGCAGATACCAACCGCTTTCGCAACCCCCACAAGGAAAAAAACAGTGTGCCCCGAAGCTCAAGCTCACCTTTGCCCTTCCAAATGATCCGTTGGGTGTTGACTCCTCTGCAGTGCGTGTTGCATACCCGTTACGATGCGCGATAGGTAGGCATCTGTTGCTCTGTCGCATATACACACCTATGGAGTCTGAAGCATGCAGACCAGGAAGCGCTTCTTCATGAGGTCCAGAAGCTGCTGCCATGAACGGCCCGGCACTGCGCCTCATTGGCAGAGCAGCATACGGAACCCCTCGGGGCTACAGCGATACTCGTTCCTCGCCCTGCCGCCGCAGCGATCCATGTTCCCTCATCGTTGTCGCGGTTGCAGCATTTCAAGATAGTTCCTTTGGGCACCCTAGCCTTGGCCTGGAAGATACAAGCGAGAAAATGCAAACGTGGATCACAGCCGCAGAATTCTGGATTGGAGTAAAGTATCAAGTGCGTAGCTTCATGACAATAAAAATTATCCCGAGGCTAGGAAAGCAGTCATGGAGTTGGATGTTGGATGTTGGAATCCAACTAATCGCTAAACATGGACAACGACAGCTTCCTTTAATCGAGTATGTGTTCGCGCTGTCTTGTATGTTACGTGTAAAAGCAGGCTACCATCGTGATAATTATACGACACTTCACTAAGCTTTGACTCCTTGGCTGGGCAAGGAAACGACGCCTTTGCCCAGCTTTGCCCACGCCGCACCAAAGTTTGCAGGGCTTACGTATTAGATGGCATCCAGTGGCGCCCGACATGGGCTGTCACCTTTGCCTGCAGAGTCACAGGTAGCCGCTCCCGTCAACTTTCTACTCGCAACCATTTTGTTAAGACTCTTATGGCCCGTAGGTCGAGGATCCGACGCTGGAACGTTCCTTTCGTGGACATAAGGATGCCGTTACCAGCGTTTGCTTCAACCATAACATGAAGCAGTTGGTGTCGGGCTCGCTGGACAATTGCGTCATGGTGTGGAACTTCAAGCCGCAGCTACGTGCTTTCCGTTTTGCGGGACACAAGGCAAGTCATATGTATAGGACGCTGGTGCTAATAGTAACACCCATGCGCGTATGGCAACATGTCCTAAGTCCCCGAGAGACCCATCCACCAAGCCAATTATTAGCCAGCCTGTCCTCTTGCGCCCGGGCTTCCACCTTCGCCGCCACACCATTTCATTTCAGCTCTTTTGTCTTAGGTGAAATACTAGCGCCGACCTGGCACTTGAAGCGGGGTAAGTTGGATAGCTCCTTGAGCTCCATGGGGGGCTCCATCCCTTGCCAGGTGAGGTTCCCATCTTTCACCCGGTCCAAGGGAAACGCCTCGAGCTTTAGCCAACCAACTCATAGGAACACCACGCCATTCTCTTTAGCCTTCCTTTCCTGTGCCTCCTTGTCGCCCCGGGCTTCCCTTTTTGCACACGGCCGGTGCAACTCCGCGTCCCTGCCCTCCCATCCACTCAACCGCGAACCCTACCTCAGGCGGGCGTCTACTCTGTGGCCTTCTCGCCCGTCCATGCCTTGATCGCTTCTGGCTCCAAGGACCGCACCGTCAGGCTGTGGCAACCTACCGTGTGAGTCGCAACGCGTGACAGCAGACTTTGTATGCAGCTAACCCTGGCAAAGAGACGGAATGGGAAGAGATGGGCCGAGCTGGAACCGGATGGGCTGATCTGGGTTCTGAGGGGAACAGGCTAAGCACCCACCTAGATGAAATTCAAGTCACACCAGCGGGAAGGATGAAGCTGCGTTATAGTAGGCTAACCCACGTATTTTGACCGAGATCCGTCCCTCCCACTGGTGTGACGGAGCCGGGTTGAGGTAGATTGACTGGAGATGGGATGGACCGGGCAGGACTAGGCTGGGTTGGGATCGGATGGAGTGGGTCTTACGCGTTCCTGGTTCGTCTGTCCAATGTCGGCGTACACCACCGATTCAAGCACAAACATCGCAAGGCCTTTTCCAGGACAGATTCAGGTATCTTTTTGGCATGGCAGGAACTAGCTGGCGGTGATAATTCCTTAGTCGATGAAGCGATCTAGTCGTTACCTACGATTTGGTGTGTGGACCATGTGCACACCCATTGCCTGTCAGCTGCCCTTCGGCCTCCTCGCGGGGCTTATGGAGTTTCCATTACACCTTTTGGGGGTAACGTAACTCAAGTCCACACACGCATACATACGGGTTTGGCACCACTGGTAACGCGCGACCATTGCCCCCGGGAGATCCCGGGGTCGATACCCGTTAGGGTCAAAAGTCCTTCCGATGGTGGAAGGCATTGCGCCCCTAGTTGATGGACGGTGGTGACCTGGGATAAAGTTAACCTGCGAGCCGACCAGGAATGGAGTTGGGCCGCTGTCGACCCGGCAGATTCCGTTGGATGCTGGTGGTGGGTGCGGAACCTGAGCGATCCACTGAGAAGTTGACTAGGGTGACTGGATGAGGGTGCCCCGAAATACCGGGGAAGGCAGGGTTTCGCAGGGTAGCTACCCCGGGCGAAGATACGCCCCCCTGTTTCACACATCATACACACATACAGACGTGTGGCGCCGTGTCGGTCCCATGGGGTCGAATCGCGATATGATCTAGGAAGGAAAAAGAGACTAACTCAATTCTCAGCTTCTTCGTCCCCTTCTGATTATTCCCTCATTTCTTCTTACTGGGGTATTGGCGCGCTGGGGGTTGGATCCGCTCTTACCAGGGAGGGCAAGTCCACGGTGCTCAAGGCTCACACAGGCACTGTCCGCGGCGTGTCGTTCTCCGCGGATGGCCGCATGCTGGCCACCTGCTCTGACGACAAGACGATCAAGGTGAGAACCCCCAAGCGGCGCTGCGGTATTGCGGAGTCACGTTGCGCGGCTCTGAACGGATTTACGAACGGACCCTGCACGCGTCGCAGTCGCAGTCGCAGCGGATCCCAAGGGCGCCCGATGGCCCCTGCTCGTTCCACCCTAAGAGAAGAATATTTTGTTTGCTTATGTGAGTTGAGCGTGCACACGCACAGACACTTGGTGGTTACTGACATCTCCGGCCCCGCCATCCTGCGGCGCACCGACCAACCCCCTACCGTGCTCTCATCCTGTCCCCTCCCGCTAACCAACTCCCCGCACACCCGCAGGTTTGGTCCGTCGCCACTCAGAAATTCGCCTTTACCCTCTCCGGCCACCAAAATTGGGTCCGCTGCTGCGCCATATCGCCCGACGGCCGCCTGGCAGTCTCCGGCGGTGACGATCGCTCCGTGCGCATCTGGGACCTCAACTCCAAGCGCGTGGTGCGCGTGTTCGAGGAGCAGGCCCCCGCCGGCGGCCTCATCAACACCGTGGCCTTCCACCCTGACGGCACCTGCATCGCCTCAGGCTCTACCGACGCCTCCCTGAAGCTGTGGGACCTGCGGTCGAATGTGTTGTTGCAGCACTACCGGGCGCACACGGGCGCGGTGACGCACGTGTCGTTCCATCCCACCGGAAGCTTCTTGTTGAGCTCCTCCCTGGACACAACTCTCAAGGTAAGGAGCGGGGTGAGGAGTGGAAATGGGGGCGTATCATATCATTTGATGTGATGTGATTTCTGTTTTTGCTTCGGACAGTCTTGGACTGGCCCTGGGGCCCCCTCACGTCTGGTATGTATGGGGGCTCCCGTCATTACACACTTTTGACGGTTATTTCCTTAGCTTGTCGCATCGTCAGAGAATCCCCCCAACTTCCAACTCCCAACACACACAAACACACATCCACACACACAACAGGTCTGGGATCTGCGGGAAGGCCAGCTGCTGTACACGCTGCACGGCCACGAGGGAGCCACCAACGGCACCGCCTTCAGCCCCTCGGGAGACTACTTCGCGTCGTGCGGTGCGGACGAGCAGGTCAGCGGCGCGCGTGGGGGGAAAGGGAGGGGGAAGGTTGGGATGAGGCCTGGGCTGGGCGCTGGAAAGGAAGCTGGGCTCTGGCGTGTGTGCATGTCGGGTGTGGCGTCTGGAAGTTGGGGCGAGGAAAGGAACAGACACACGCTGCTCCCTCAAGACACTGCCTTATCATCGCATCGGACAGCTGACGACGCGTTCCTTTCTCTAATCGCAAAAAGGGGGGCGCGATGCATGGACAGGGGCACACTCTCGCAAACACCACGTGGACCAGACAGCCACATTTGACGCTGCGCGTCCTCCCCCGACCCGGTGCTGGGGGCATCTTGACGTTTGTATCACTGGTTGGGTCAGCGGCGGCCACAGGTACCGCGGACTGGTTTAGAGGATTCCCGCTATGCTCGATCCTTCCAGAAGAATTGCCGTGAGAAAGAAGAGCTGCTGATGTTTTACTTGTACTTCTAGGGTGTTGATCTTGTGTCCGAATCCTAGGCTGTCGCACCGGTCATCATGCCGCTCTGTGCGTCCCATCGCAGGTGATGGTATGGAAGACCAACTTCGATCGCTACCTGGAGGACTACACAGCGGTGGGGGTACAAAAGGTGCCCCGAGGAGGCGAGCCCCTCATCAACGAGGCCCCTGCCGCGCCAGCGGTGGCGTCGGCAGCAGGCCCAGCCGCCACGTCGGCATCAGCTGGCGCAGGAGGAGGAGGACGACTCCAGCCGTCGCGCGTGGCACCGTTTCCCTCTTCTGCCCACGTCAAGGCTCCGCGGCCGGGCGCCGTCGCCCCGACGCCGGGGGCACCACCTGGAGTTGTGCGCAGACCGGCCGGCGGAGCCGGCCAGCCGGCGCCGATACCACGGGCAGCTGCGGCGTCAGCCGCCGCCGCGGCGGCGCTTGAGGAGTACGAAGTGGAGGTTCCGCCCCCGCTGAACCTGGCGGACCTTCCCGAGTCCCTGGCGGCGACGCTGCAGCACATGGTGGGTCAGTTGGACGTGCTGACACAGACCATTGCGCTGCTGGATGAGCGGCTCACTCGCAATGAGGACTACGCGCAGCGCTTAGATGACAAGCTCAGCGCTCTGCTGCAACAGCAGCCAATGCAGCCACAACAACCCGCGATACTGCAGCCGCCATCGCAACACCAACCGGGGCCGCTTTACGGAGGCGGCGGTAGGTTTGTGGTCGCCAAGCCCAGCAGCAGCAACAACAACAACGCAGTTGGCCTTTCCCCAGAGATCGTCGACGGCGATGGCGGGGAGCTAGGGCCAGGCACGTACGACACGGTTGAGCAGTACAGTGACCAGATGTGAAGACTTGATGCTGGTTTGTCGAATGGCGGGGGAACGAGGGCTGAGGGGCACCCTGGTCGTCGGAACCGGGAAAGGGGAATCGCTTACTGTGATGTGTTGGGCGCAGACGGGAAGGGACATGTGGGATACGTCGCCGCAAGAGAGACGTTCGTGATGAACTATTGCTGCCAAAGCAGCCAGCCATTACTGCCATAGGCACATCGCAGCAGCCACAACTGCCCGGCAGCATCTTCCGGGTGAGGCAGGTGGGGACCAGTACGGGTCCCCGCCAACGACATCATGCACGCAGCTGCAGGGGAGCTGCGTCAAAAAGTCTGTTTCCGTTGATGCTGGCTCCTGCATCATCATCGTCATCAGCAGCAGCAGCATTTGGGAGCACCGGAAGGTTGTGGGTCGTTTGTGCTGGGGAGGGCGCCACCGCTCCGTCAACAAAAGGATGCATAGCTTGTTTGGATGCATAGCTTGTTTAGATGGTGTCTATTGAAAGGGAAGGGTCACAGGCCCTATTGGGGTGTTTAGCCATATTGGGTTCGGAAGGCCGTTTTACACCACCGCCTAATGTTTATGAAGCTGCGATCTGCGGTGCGTGACACGGGCAAAAGAGTACTAACGCTTTCCTGTATTCCGGGGTGCTTTAGGTGCAAGTGGTTTAGTGTTCTATGGGTTATGAACCTATCCAATTCATATCTGTGAATTTTTTCTGTGAAAGGCTTCGCCAGAGCAGTATCTAAGGATTGTCACCCACACAACTTTTCAAGTACGAGTGTCTTGATGAAATAAGTGCACGGGGAGCGCCTTAACGTGTCGTCACATCGTACGGCACAGACTCGTAGGGCTATAGTACGCCGTAAAGATGCACGTACGTGCACGTAAGCTTGCTGATAATTCAGCGGTGAAGAGCGTAGCTAGAAAGCCTCGTTTGCCCACGTCACGACTTTCGCAATATTTTTCAAGTGCTCAAAAGCTTGGATGATCTAAAAATGCCCCGTCCATTAGCTTCGATGTAAGTAAAGCACCTCACAGCTTCTGGAAACATGTTGTGAACAAAAATCTTTACTACCTGTTTATTCTCCTACAAAACCGCTCTCCTATGATACCGCCTCTCCCAACATGCCTTGCGCGCAATATACATCCGTAGATCTTCCTTGCCTTAATCAACTAGCGGATTATACACCATTATGGTTGGCTCGCCAACCCGTCACAACCCCAACCGCCAACAAATCTTCAGCCAAAGACCCCAAACCCCCCTCCCCTGTCCCTTTCTTCCCCTCTTCCTTTTCCCCCCTCCCCATTTTGCACATCACCACCACCACCAACAACAACAACATGGCCCAGGGATCCAAACACACGCATAACGCATGCCTTCGTGTTGTTCACATCTCGACCAACGGAACGCTGAAAGCATGGACACCATGCCCTCCTGCATGTCGCACCACCACCACCACCACCGTGTGGGAGCCTGGGTCTGAAAGATGGTGGAGCTGGCTGGCTGCGGCCGGAAATTGCCACGGCGGTGGGGATACCTTTCCTCTCATCCGCGCATCTCAGCAAAACGGACTTGACGCTGCACCACGAGAGCGAAAAGGCTCAGCAATATTATTACCCTCACGCACACACACCCGCTACTGCCGCTGCTCTACAGCGCCATGACGGCCTGGCAACGTGTCTCTCCCGAGTCATCAATCAACACCAAACCCCTGCTCGGGTAGTTGGACATGCATGGCTTAAGCTTAAGCCCTAAGACAAGCATGTGGTTCGTGGAGGCCGGCAGGGGGTTCTGCAGCCGGCTGCCCAGCCGCGGCCCGCCGTTGCTGCGTCCGATGAATCGGCCCCTCCTGCGTCGGCACCACCACGTTCAATTGCAGGCTGAACGGTGGCAGGCACCGGTGGAGCCGGCAGCAGCGGCGCCGTGTAGCAAACTCGTTTAACTGCGCGCTGCCGCCGCTGCATCGCTCGCGCGCCTCTCCCTCGCCGCCGCGCGATCCGACTCGATCATCGAGTGCAGGAAGAACTCACCGGCCTTGTAGGAAGAGCGAACCATGGGTCCGCTTGCCACGTACCGGAACCCGATTTCCTCCTGCCCAAACTTGCGCCAGTACTCAAACTTCTCCGGCGTCACAAACTCGCTCACCTGCTCATTGGGATCAGGGGGGACATGTGCGAGCGAGCGTGGGTATGTGTATGCGGCGTGTCCATCTCGGACTGCATGCCTATATGCACACATAATCGGATCTGTGTATATACGTATGTTTGTGCGGGCATGCACACGTGAGACTAGGGGAGGGGCTGCGAGTGGGGAAAAAAGGGACGGGGGCCTGGCCCCTAGGAGAAGTGTGGGTGGGCTGGGTCGGGAAACGTAGCGGAGGCATATAGCGGCGATTGAGTTGGGGGACTTCGGGCTTTGCGATGTTCGGGATGGCAATACCGGCCGCTACATCACCACCCCCCTCAGTTTCACATCTACTCTCCACCCACCCTCCCTCCTTCCCATTCCCTCCTCCCCGCTCCCTCGCTGCCGGGGATGGTCTGCATCGGCAAAGAAGATCGGCAGTTGGATTTTCCAATGCAATTAGCTGCTGCCTAACTGCACCCACAACCTCATTCCTAACCCGCACCTCCCCCAACCTCATTACCCCGTACCATCCCAGCCGCTAACATCCGTCCCCTTCCCTCACCGGCAGGTGGTGCTGGGTGGGCTGCAGGTACTGCCCCAGTGTGAAGATATCCACTCCAGCAGCCTTGAGGTCCAGCATCGTGTCAATGACCTCGTCGTCCGTCTCCCCGAGCCCCAGCATGATGGAGGACTTGGTGTACACACCGCACTCCTTGGCGGCGCGCAGCACGTTCAGAGTCTGCAGGTAGCCGGCCCGGGGGTCGCGAACGCGGCGCTGCAGGCGCTCGACGGTCTCCACGTTGTGCGCGTACACGTCCAGACCGGATCGCGCCAGGTGCCGGACCTGGGCGGATGGGTAGGACGAGGGGACATGGGGGCGGGGGGTTTGTGGCGACGAGGAGGAGGATACAAGGGAAGAGGAGAGGGAGGGAAGAGGGGGAGGAGAGGGAAGAGAGGTTGGAAGAGGGGGAGGAGAGGGAAGAGGGGGAGGAGGAGGAGAGGGAAGAGGGGGAGGAGGCGGAGGAGAGGTAGGGAAGAGGGGAGGAAGAAGAGGGGGAGGAGAGGGAAGAGAGGGAGGAAGAGGAGGAGGAGAGGGGTCTCCCAACCACGCGGGCCCCCGGGGGAAGAGGGGACAGGGAGGGGGAAAAACTGGGAGCGGCAAATGCTCACGGCTCTGAAGGGGGGGGAAAATAGGAGAGCTGGTATCAGGAAAGAGCCAAACAGTGTCGACGGAGGAACCATCACCTTGGGGACTCTTAGCTTCCCAAGCCCCTCACCATCTCAACCCCTAAGAAAACAACAGTTTAGGATCGAACCACAGTCCTCCCCAAACTAATACACTCCCACCAAAACGACCAAAACGGTCGGGAAGTCGACCGAGCGCTCCAGAACTCTAAAACACTCCGCACCCCTTCCCACACCACACCACACCACACCACCTCCATTGCCTCAAAACCAGCAGTCCGTACGTACGACAACACCACCATATCGGCGGTCCTCAATAACTCGGCTCCAACTGTTAGTTGCTATTGCAACGTCGTGCTAACGACCAAACCAACTGTAACCCATGTACGGCGCCAAATGTAAACCCACCGCGTCCAGATCCCCGCGGAAATCCGGAGTGAGGCACTCCACTAGGATGCTGGGCCGTAGCTCCTTCAGTGTACGAACAGTACGAGCAAAGTGGTCCGCCCCGCCGTCAGGCATGTCGTCTCGGTCCACCGACGTCAGCACTACGTAACCAACACCCCACGACGCCACGGCGGCGGCGGTGTTGGTGGGCTCGTCGGGATCCGGCGGCGGCGGTGTACGGGCCGTATTCACGGCACAGAAACGGCAGCCGCGTGTGCAGGTATCGCCTAAGAGCATGATGGTGGCGGTGGCCAGCTCGCCATTCCAGCACTCCCCAATGTTTGGGCACTGCGCCTCCTCACAAACCGTTGCAAGTTTGAGGTTTCGGAGCTGGGATTTGAGGCCGGAGTACACTAGGCCCTGCGGCGCGCGCTGACGCAGCCAGGCGGGTTTGCTCTGGTTGGGAAGTGACGCCAGGGAGGGACCTAGCAGGCTACCGGCGGCGGTAGAGGGGGTGGAGGAGGAGGAGGCAAAAGGGGAAATGGGCGCCGCAGCTGCTGTGGGGGCCGTGGCCTTCTTGGTGCGGAGGTGCTGTTCCGCGAGCGTGGCGAGGGACGGGTCCTTTTGTACTGCAAGTCGTACGAGCTCCTCGAAGGCGTCCACGGGCGGTGTAATGTCCACGTCCGCGTGGGCGTCGAGGCCATTGTCGTGGCCATGGGGACGATGTTCGCGCCGGGATGCAACGTCGAGGGTGCAATCATCATCGCCAATGTATAAGGAGGAGGAAGATGTGGAGGTCTCAAGGGAGGGCGAGGAAGCGCGTGGAAATCGTGGCGGCGCGCGAGTGTGCAGGACGTGCGAGCGTTGTTGTGGCGCATGCCAAAGGGACCGGCTGGCTGGGCATGACCCTGTAACGCTCCGCGAGCAACTCGCGTGTGGCTGCAGCAGGGTCCCTGTACTCCTCATTGCTGTCTATGTATCTCCGGACAGGTAATTTAGGGAAGCATAATAGTTAAGCGTTAGAAACTAAACCTTGCGTGCTCCTAAAATTTTCAGTGACGCAAGTACTTTTTATAAGTTACCATTATAGTGTACTTATGTGATCATATGACATACAATGACAGCAAGTGGGCAGCGCGATGACAGCACCTGACGGCACGGCCCATTTGCACGGCACGCCAACTGTGAATCGTAGCGCAGGATGGTTGTACTGGTGAAATGATTGCTTAGTCTGATCAAATGAACACAATTGGCGTGGTACAACCGTCTAATCACGGCTCTCACCCCTCCAGTTCTCCCGGCGTAGCGACAATCTTCGCTCTCGATTGAAAATGCATGTTGTACTCCGATCTAAGCTATGCGGCGTCACGCATGCCAGCCGTGGCCGCACGGGGCCTTTAGTTGTCGCATCGGCGCACGGCAGGCCAGCGAGTCAAAGCATCAAGGCCGCCAAGGTCGCCGCGTCCGTTGCCGCCTCTAGCTTCTTGTTGCTCGGATCTCCAGCAGCGCAAGCGGTGGGAATTGAGAGCGTGGACCTGCTGCCATCAAGCATCGACAAGCCGGCGGCCCTCTCCAAATATGCTGAGGAACAAAAGCAGAAGCTTGCTCAGGCTGACGAGGTATGATGGGGGGAAGTAAGAGGAGGGGGTAAATATCGTAAAAGGTACGGGGGCGAGAGAGGGGAGCTACGAGAGCGAGTTTGGGACGGGATCACTTATGAGGAACTCAACAGAGGTGGCCTTTGGCCGAGGGGCTAAAGAAGAGGTCTCCATAACTCTCCTCCACACTAGTATGAGAAAGGCAAGATCATAGTTCCTGGCTGGTAGGAAAGAGGAGGGATTTGCCTTGCTGCAGCACTATCGTACGGCATCACTGCATGTGGTCAATTTCACGGGTTACGGATCCCATTGTGTTTGCGGGTGGCCGCCGTACCGCCCCCTCTCCGTGCCGATGGCGGCGTGCTTCTTCCTTTTTGCGGCCCAGTTCATTCGTACATACGTACCTAAGTACATACAGGCTCACGCACATGGCACGTCTTTCGTATTATCTCTGCTGTAGACATTTAAACCTCTAATAACCGCCGATCTCACCCACCCACCCGTAACAACCCCCCCTGTGCATGTCCACTATTTACTATTTGTTTATTCCTCAGTCGCTAGCCGATCCATCGCATCCGTGCATATATCCATGCTGTTACTTTCACTTAATTTCGCTAAATTCCGCTGAATTGTGTCAAATTCCCAATCATTTAATATTCTTGATTAATTGTGCTCCACTAATGGCCTGATGACCGCCTTTCTGTCCCCCGCCCGGTGCGATGTTAACCCCCCCGGGCGCTGCGTTATCCCCCCCTCCCCTCCCGCGGGCTCCCGAAGGCCTTTCAGAACAGCAGCACACTCAAGGTGAGTGATGACGGTGTGGGCAGGTGGGGGGGTGGGGTGGGGGGGGTGGGAGGGGTGTAAGACGAACCACTGGCGAATGACGCAGGTACCAGAAATAGACGGATCGTCCGGGAGAAGATGCTGCATTTCAGGAATATTTACTGACCAGTGATGATATTAGTAATCCTTGGAGGAGGGGTGCTTGTTGACTCCCCCCTTTCCCGTCCCCCGGGTGCCGTACAGGAGCTCCTGGCTCGCAGCGAGGCGAACCAGGCCAAGAACCGCAAAGACATGTGAGTCACTGGTTGGCCTTATCCTTCACTCACTTCTATACATACATACATACATACATGCATACATACATACATACTTACATACATACACACACACGCCACTGGCCCTCCAGTCAGAACAAGTACTGCTACCGCCAAGCTGAGCTAGGAGTCGGAGACTGCGGGGGGCTGCGCTACATCCCTGGCCTCACGGAAAGTGGCAAACAGAAGACACCGCAGGTAACATAGCGGGGCGTGGGAACAAATATGTGTGTGTATGTGTGAATGGAAGTGTGGTTGATTATACGGGTGGATGGATGTGTACGGCGGGACGAGCTTGGCGGCATCCGTCCGATGTAGCAGCGGGCTCGACCAGGCAGCTTTGAATCTGCGACAGCAGTGCGGGTTCGAACCCGTCCTCAGAGAACAAAAACTGCCCGCAAGGCGTTGAGGGTATAGGCCGTGGGGTGGATGCATGGAATCTGAGGGCTCCTGGTGGTCTTGGGGCTGGGGCGGCAGGGGCTTGGGGGTACGAGGGGGTTGGAAGTAGGCTCAAGGTACGGCATCGCGGACAACCGACCGCCAGACCTGACAGCGTTTTATGTGTTGGGTTTGACTGTTTGTTGTTCTGTTACTTTCCGTGTTCGGTGTGTGGGTTTCTCGTCCCCCGGGGGTCAGCTCCCCCTCCCCCTCCCCTTCCCCCCGGGCAAACTCGTCCGTCTCTTATTATTTTAGGATGTGGCCACATCATCATCGGCTTCATGCCCTTCATGATTGGCATCATCATTACTTTGATCATCATCATCATCATCATCATCATCATCATCAACATCATCATCTTTTTTCGGCTGTCAGACGGTGTCCTCTGCCCGGGGGAGAAACACGGCACCCCCTTCTCCCCCTCCCCCTCCGCCCCCTGAGCAGTGGCTGGCTGATCTACTGGGGGTCCAGGTCCCCGAGGAACCGAGCGCCGTAGCCGGGGGCAAGACCTTGAAGGAGCTGATCTACGACGACGACGACAAGTAGAGAGCAGAGGAGGGGAAGAGAAGAGGAGTAGTAGGAAGTGCAAGTGAAGAGGGAAAAATGATTGTGAGGGTGCGACACACGAGCAACGAGAACGCGGCGGTGGAGGGAGAAGGGGAATAGGAAGTGAACTGGACATAAAAGGGGAGAGAGAGGGAAAAAGAAAGTGGATTCGACGGTGATGTTGTTGCTCCCCGTGTTTGTGTCCCTCACTTGAATCGCTTTACCGCCCGGGTCCATTATTCGCGTCCTGTGTCGCACTGTCCAATGGCTCCTCCTCTGACCGCAAGGAAAGGCAAGGATGCGGAAATGATGCGATTTCCGCTAAAGGCTTAAGAACCGTTAGACCTCGGGAAAGAGCTTTTTGCGCCCGAATGCGGCGGACACCCTGTCTGTCTCTCTGTCCAGGAATTTGATGCACCTGACGCTCTCTTTGGGGGCTTAGGGGGTCAATGTTTTATAGGAGTTTCTAGGCAATTTTTTGGAGTGTTCGCTTCTCGGCTAAAATGGGTCGAGGGATTCACTGAAAGGGAGAGGCTGAGAGCGTCGGAGCAAAAGCGGGAGGAAAGGAGAGGTGGACCTGGTGGGCTGTGTGTGTATGTATGTATGTTGTTACAGGGTGGTTAACTTCGCCAGCGGCCCCCTTTCCCGGGGCAGTCCCTGCTCTCCCCTGCTAGAGGGGCACCCTAATCCGTCACCCCATCCGACTTCAGAATGTATTCGTTGGGTTCGGCAACTCACCACCAGCATCCAACCAAATCTAGCGGATCAACGGCGCATCAACTTAGTTCCTGGTCAGCTCGCAAGTTGATATTATCACGTCCTACACCGTCCATAAGATGGGGGGCCACCTCCCATTTCATCACTCCTCAAACACCCGAGGAGCCGGCAGGCGGATTTGAACCCGGGTCGACTGGGTCAACTGGGAGCAGAAGTCAGGCCTTAACCTCTGCCAGCCGCCTGCCTTGTATGTATGTATGTATGTATGTATGTGTTGCGTATGTGTGTTAGGAGATGCGGCGAATGTATGCGAGGAGGGTGGTGGGTTAGAGGAGAGTGTCGTGCGGATACACTCACATTTGTGACAGACATACAGACGCATAAGGTACAGGTCCAGACGTGTAACTTCAACTCTCTTTTTTCCATACAGCAATCTTTGTTCACTTTTTATCGTGCAGCTTTAATATTCGGGTCAACTGAAAGAACCCCCAGTTGATATGAAATGGCCAACCAGACTGCCATCTAGCACGGCATGAGCATTTGACTTAGGTTGGCACTTATTCATCGCTTTATTTAAACAATGTTCTTGACACAAAATACTCTTATTATAGAAATGATCAACCATAAGATTTAGATCGACATTGCAGGAGGCACGTTTATTGTAGGAAGCACATTTTCACTAGAGAAGTGGAGAGTACTTTGTTCGCAGCTCTCTTTTAAGGGACTGAAAAACACTGCCTGCAGCGGCGGCCGCGGAGTTTTGCTTCCCAGGGCTCTGGAGTACTTATTTTTAAGGTCCGCCTTCGATTCCGAAGATGATCAGGGCACACATTCAGTGGCGTGCTGTGGTGTGGTGTGTACAAAAAGTCAATTAACACATCTAAAAATCTGCACAACAGAAGGGAAACGGTTCGAGCCCAAGTCGTTAAAGCCATGCATCGATGCCATACACATTCTTCGAGCGCCATGATAACACGGAAGCATGCAGGACGGCATGAGCCGTATTAAAAAGTACAATTATAATGATCGCTTCACCATTATTGATGCAAAAAAAATTGTTGAGAAAACGACGTGTCCGGTACGGCAACTAGGTATAGGAGGTCGAGGGGGACGATAACAAGAACGACAACTTTACACTTCGCCATACCCCCCCTTTCCCTTCCCCCTCTCTACACCTCTTCCGCTTCAAAGCCCCACCCAACTACCTGCCATCTCTCCCCTCGCATATGCTTATGGCAAAAAGGTCAGACCACAAACTTGCTAAGTATAGAAAGCAGCAACAGAGTGCTTTCGCACACAACGAAATTTGGAATGCAGGAAAGAGCACGGAACAGTGCGCTCAGCGCAGCACATCACTTCGCGTCAACGCAACTTACATCTAAACACCGCAGGAACAGTGCACCTCTTCGCAGCTTTTTTCTCTTCTTTTCCCGTCTTCTCCTCCTCGCCCTCTTCATCGATCTCTTTTCGGACAACCCATCCGGACAGGTCCACCCACAAACAGAGAAACATTCCTCCCTGCCAGCCCTTGCCAGCATAGCCACGCTCTCTTTTTTAGTTTCCCCAATCAAAAACCTCAAAACACTGCACGCACGAAACACGTCAAATTACATTACATCACACTCACCTCTTAGCGCAACACATCCGAACCCGCAGCGGCGCCATACTTCAAAATTCCGCACCACCCATACGGACGTACGTGCGCATATCCAGACATGCATATGGATGATATAAACCCAAATGGAAAAGCAAAGAAACGAAACGCCACTTCCAGTTTTGCAGATTCAAACCACCGTCTCCACCACCCCGTTCACGACGGGAGTCAGCAAGCTCCACCCCCTCACCCTCCTGCCAATCACTGCAGTCACCTCAATTGCAATCTCTGACAGCCCTTGTTCACAGCCCCAACTGAGGACACATCACACGCGAAAACGCACAGCACGTCACCGACCCACGCCTTGGGAGCACCCCGAGGGCCTAACCTTTCCCCTGCGGCGCTACACACCTGGAGGAGCGAGAGAAGTGGAAGAGAAGATAGAGAAGAGAGATACTGCAGAATTGTGTGTGTGTGTGTTGCACGCGCGTAAGGAAGCGCTGCAAGAGTACGGGTGTTCCTTCCCTCCCTCCCAGACCATTACAGGCGGCGAGAGCAGATTGCGACCCAGCTCAGGGGCTAGTGGGTCCCCACAGGCGGCAGACACCAAACACAAAACAATCCAACAAATGCCAATAACGATAAGGAGTTCATTACAACACTTCTGCAGCTGTAGTCAGCAAAGGCAGCAGCAGCGACACCAGCAGCAGCAGCTCCCGGACATGGGAGGAAGCCCCGTCATACCCCTCCGCACCCGCACGTACCCCATTCGCACACTTCAGCCCATTCCGACGTCCCCAACGTCAACCGCCTTAGTGCCCGTCCGCACTGCTGTCGATAACAACAACATGGCGCTATACATACGCACAGGCGCACATTCCGCAACAAGGCCACACACACACAGGTCGCACACAAACGAAACGGGATGTCCACGAAAAGCCCGTCATGAACTTGCGCCATGCCATGATAACTGGTCGGTCGGTAAGTCTGTCGATCCAACCATCCATCGCTTGCAAAGACCGGGAGCAGCGGCATCTTCCACAACCGTCCACCCATTCTCGACCGTCCACCGCCACCCCCAGATGAGAATAGCGGAGGTTAAACGGTGCTTTGCAACCGCCCGTCTGTCCGTCCGTCGGTCTGTATTTCTGTCAATGCGTCCTTTCAGCTGGGCTATTACGCATGGAAAGGAAAGGGTACTACCAATTTAGGCAGCGCCGCCGTCCTCCTAAATGCGCGTCCGTACTACATAACATCATCATGTGGAAAAAGCACAAGGACTTGCTGAACATCGTTACACTTACACTTTATAGACACACATATATATATCATATATATACATGTGTGTTAGGCATGACGATGGCAGCAACCATGGCAGCGGCAGTAATACGGCAGCTGCAACAGCAGCAACACCCACAACCAACAAACATCAGGGGCCCCCACCAGCAAAGGCAGACCCATTCTCTCAACACTCCAGAAGGGTTGGTTACAAATACAGAGGGGCTTCGACCGGAACAAGGCCGCAGAAATCTCAACCAAAGGACGTGTACAGTGCCGGACACTCATGTCGCAAGCCACAGCCCTCTGCTTCTTCTTCTTCTCCTTCTTCTTCCATAGCTTCATTTGTTGGATTAGGAAGAGGCAAGGAAGCCGCCCTTCCTGCAGGACCGTAGTCGTGAGGCCCAGAGCACTCTACTCCTCCACACCTATCGTACCACTACCGCCACTGCCGCCACACATTTATTCAGCAAGTGTTTTTTGCTGATCCTGGAAAGGACCCTGTATAATTTTAAAATTGGTACACCGCGTCTCAAAGACAAGGAGGCGGATAGCAGCACAACCATAACATACAAACCGACGCTCCTGTTGGTTGCCTTAAAAAGCTCCTCTGGCCTTTCCTTCCAGCCAGGGAAACGACTGGACATCTTAACCAGGCAACGGAGCTATATAAGCAACGCACAAAGCTTAGCATGGCACAGCATGACACAACACAACACATACATACGTACAACGCGGTAAATGCGAGCCCACTACACTGCAAACAGAAACAAAACCGTCTCACCGCGAAGGTTTAGCTTTTTCTGCGCGTGTGTTGCGTCTGTTGTTGTTACTTATGTTGACTTTAGCAAAATGTGGTGATGTTCCAGGTCTGATAATAGAAAAACGATGCACTTCTTTATATTTGCAATAAAAGTACAGACTACGTCGTACACAAGAGCCATGTATCTGAATGGGGGGTGTAGGGAGACCCGCGAGGGAACTATTTCGCGGCCTACCTGCCGCCGCCATTCACTCCACCGGGTGGTACGCGGGTGGTACCACCCGGTTTCGCAGCTTCGCAGCAGAAAAATCGAAGGGATGCGACAGAGCAGGCCAGGGTAAGGCAGTAGTACATGGCAGTCGCAACGGCTGCTGCGGCGGCGGTGATGACGGCGGCGTGGGCAGCGACAGCGCTCTCATGATGCAGCAGTTCGCGCGCTTCTCAATAAATATAAAAAGGAGCAAACAAAACCACTCCGTGTACGGCAAAACAAAACTCACCACCACCGCCATCACAACAATCATCACCTTCATTACCACGACTGCCGCTTTTGTCAAATCCGCCTGCTTCACATCTCAGGCCATTTCTCTGCACCACAGTGCCCCACCACCACCGCCACCATGGTGAGCAGTAGCACTGCCACTGCCTGCACCTCCAAAGCATGCGCAGAGGAAATGGCGGAGAGGGCGCAGTAGCAACAACAGCAGCTGCCGCTGCGGCTTCAGACCTTCACCACCTGTCGTGCACACGCCAACAACTGCTCGTGCGTCTTCCAAATCATAGCGCGGGCCGACACCTGCGGCAGCCCCGGGTCGCTGCGGGCCGCCTCAATGTACGACGCCAACGGATGGCCGCCGCGTGCCAGGATGACATCCTGCGGTCGCAGTGCCAGCGCCGCGCACACATCGTTAGCCCCGTCACCGCAGTACACCAGAGTGCCGTACATGTTGCCATGCAGCAGCCGCTGCAACTCCAAACCCTTGCAGAGGTTATCTGGGCAGCGAGGGCATCCGTGCGGCAGCTGCTGCTTCGCGGCCGCCGCCACCGCAGCCTTGCAACAGCATTGGCCACCGCTGCCGCCGCATGCATCCTTGTCTGGCGATGGTGAAAGCACAACCGACTCGTCCCGACCGTCGTAGTGTGGCCGAATGACCAGTCGCTGACCAGTCATCCGCTGCAACGCGCCGGCGCCGCCGCAGTCTTGCATTGCTGCCGCGGGCGCAGCTTCAAACGCCGCGGGGTTGGTGATTACCTCCTGTACAAAGCCCTTGAGCTTCGCGCCGGCAAGAATGTGCCCAATGAACACGGAGTTACAGTCCGACAGAATCTTGACGTCGACGCCGGCGCCGTACATAATGCGCAGCATCTCGCCCACCGCCGGCGGCACCTCGCCGCCAAGCTGCTGCAGCGCCGCCAGCAGCTGATCGCGGCTGACGCCGCGGCGCTGGATCTCCGATAGGATCGTGTTAGTAATCGGAATGTACGACTGGCGGGCGTCGAGGCCCACCAGCATGGGCAGCAGCTCCGGCGCAAGTCGCTCGACAATGGCCTCGCCAGCATCGAAATCGGTGAGCGTCTTGTCAAAGTCCGTAATAATTGCGAAGCGCTTCGTCGGTACTGGCTGGCGCGGACCTTTAAAGCTGTAGCGCGGACGGCTAAGGCTGCTGCAGCAACTGCTACAGCAGCTACTGCTCTTCGCGTCGGCCAAAGACAGCTGCGATGACTCTGGCGCCGCCGCCGCCGCCGCAACGGGCGTGCTGGGCTTAACAGGTGTGACGGCTGTCGCGCCGCCGCCGCCGCCGCCGAAGACAGCTGCGCCATGGAGCAACCGAGGCCGCTGCTGCGCCGCGGCGGCGGCAGCGGCTGCCGCCCGCTCTTCTTGTTCCACTCGCGCGGCCTCCTTAGCCTTCCCTATTATGGTCTCGATGGGGAAGTCGTTGTTACGGAACCACGTCATCATATCGAAGCGGCGCTGGAGGAAGGGTCGTACGTCGGTCTTCGTGGATAGCACCTGTGGAACAGAGCAACGCGGGTCGCAAATGGCAGGGGGTACATATTCAGGTCATAGAGGAAACTGTTCGGCGCTATTAGACTCCCTACGAGGGTTCTCGTCCTTGCACGGGATGTCAAGATGGCTTAACGGGCAAGTGCCAGGTTGGACCGAGGGCCTGCCTCCCTTCACATGCGTGCTACACCGCCAATATTAATGTTATATAAACTTTAACAGTCAGAGACCCTCTTAAAACGCCGTTGTAAGGTTGTAACGTTAACCTGGTGGGGGTCAGGGACCTAGGACGGCGTCAGGGCCCCGCCGCTTCAACAATACACACACAGGCAACACACAAATGAACCCAACATGGCCCGAAACGTACCTGCAGCAGCGGCAGCACCGCCTCGGCAAGCAGCCGGTCGTCCATGTCCCCTCGGAACCCCAGAACCGGAACGCCGTTATCGGGCTGGTGCAGGAACGCCAGCGGTGTGTCGTCAACCAACACCGTCTTGGCCAGGTCGCGACCCACTCGCGCCATGTCCTTGACGCACTGGTAAAACTCCGTGCGCAGGGTGCCTTCGCGGTAGATGCGGTGGGCGAAGAGCTTGCCGCTGGGGTCGAGTGCGTCGATGATGGGCTTGGCGTAATCCTCCAGGCCTGTGTGCATTGGAATGGGAGTGCAGTAGAGGATTACTAATAGTAGGGGATTACTATGGGCAGGTATCTCTAAAGGATGCCGGTATGAATTTGAGTACGAGAGCTTTTCTTGTGAAATCCGTACCAGTGTTAAATCAAACGTGATGATATAATGTTGTGACTTCCAGATTTGAGTTTCCAGAAGGTATTAAGAGCATCGTCAGCATCAGCAGCAAATATGCAATTGATACCCATCAACATGTCGTTATTGGGTTTCTAATCTGCATGGTATGACGACGTGTCCCCTTACACGTGTATTATCACAGTACACGTACGCCTACGTGTACCTCACTCGCGCAACTCACCGGCCGTGAAGATGACCACCTCCGCAAACGAGGCGAGCTCCTCAAGGAACTCCTGAAGCCCCGGCCTCTCCACCACAAACACACCGCCGGGGTTCAGCTTGCTGCCAACCCCCACAATGTGGGTGCGGACGTTAGGACCACACAGTCGCGGAGCACGGCGCGTCGTGAACGAAGAAACCAACGTACCGTCCAAATCCAACAAGACACACAGCCGACCCGCATGCTCGGGCCGCTGCGGCGGCAGCAAGCCCCAGGCGGCCGGATACGGTGCAGCCGGTGCCGCGGCAGCGACTCCGCTGTCGCTGCTGCCGGCCGTAGGACCGTGGACTGACAGAACTTTGAGCGACTCGATAAAGGATGACAGGAAAGGGTCGACAGAAAGCGAGTCGACATCTAGAAGTTGGGGCTTGCGGCACACGGGACAGTTGTAGAAGCGCTGCACGCCGTCGGCATCGTCGTCCTGTGCTGCGATGCGCTCCAGGAGCTGCAAGGAAGAGGAATTGCTGCTGCCTGCGCCGGCGGCTGCACAGCACACACACAGCCGGGGAAAGGGGAAGCGGAGAAGAGTGAACACATAGGGAAGATAACAGTGCGGGGAAATGTGGCGAGATCGGGCGAGTATCTATCGGTACAGAAGATTAGGAAGGAGTTCATAGCCATGTTCGGCGCCTACAAATTCGTTAAAACTGAATCCGGAAGAAACACATGGACAGACTCACCCTTGCTGTCCAGCGCCGCAGGTCCCACTGGCAGCTGCTGGTCACGGACCGCCGTCACGTGCGCCACCAAACATCCCCAACAAAACCTGTGTGCGCACGTCAGCACCACAGGATTGTGCAGGACATCCAGACAGATGGGGCACTGGTAGTCCTCCAAAACGGACTCGGGTGCCGCCGCCGGAGACGAAGGAGGCGCCGCCGCAGGAGGCGGCGGCAGCAGTGGCGCCGCAGGCGACACCGGTGCCGCGGCGGCAGCAGCGGCGGCGACAGCGGCTGCCGCCGCCGCCGCCAAGCTCATTACCCCCCTGGCACTCGCCAGCACCTCTGCCTGAGTAGCTAAGTTGGCGAGCCGCGGCGAGGTAAAGAAGACTTCGTGTCCTAGCATGTCCAGAGCCTGGAGGGAGGTGCTGGCGGAGGCGCCAAATGTCTCCCGCAGATGGCGGTTGCGTTTCTTGATGGCCTTGACCACCTGCGGGCGTGAAGTAGAAGTTATTGGGGTGATGGATGATGGAGTTATGGACTTATGGACTTAAGGACTTATGGAGTTTCAAAGTTGTGTAGATTCAAACTTGGATAATTGTCGACCTTCGGAACAAAGGGAGAAGACTCGATGGTCTCCAGGACAACCCGTACTAAACATTCAAACGTCGTAATTAGCAAGCCTTTTTACTTAGGCAGTAAGGAATATGAACCGCCACCACCTCGTTTTGACTTCTTTTCATGGCAGCCTCTCAAGCACACATCAGTCCGCCCATCCACCTTCGCTAACCCGTACAAGATTCCCTAAAATCCTCTAACCCACACCATCCATTTTCACATTCAAATCCACTTACTGCAAGGTAATTGAGTGCAACGAACTTGATGAGCTCCTTAACCTCCGCGCGGACAGCGGTGAGCTGTTGTTTTTGCTGTTGATTTTGCTGTTGCAGGGGCATTGGGCTGCCACCGCCACCTCCGTCTTGACCTTCACTCCGGTGTAAGGCCTTCAAGGTGGTCTGTGTTGAACAACAGAGGACACGAACAATAGAAAAACAATAGACGAGGGTAACGGCATCAAGCAACGGAGCAAGGGATGGAATGAAGTTGAGTGATTATAAGGTGTGAAGGACAGTGTGTGAAAGTGAAAGGCACCCGCACACACACATAGGCGCGCCGTACACAACGGGACGTTCTCCCACCAAAAGGACTGCAGAAGGTCGCGGCACCGCCACCTGCCGTACCTCTATCCGGTCGGCAGCTTCCGAGTAAAATTGCGACACTTTGCGCAGCTCCGCCTCGAGAAGTTTTTGGAAGCCCGACCCAGCCACATCTGCATGCAAAAGAGGGCAGTCGGTTTCGTTATTTGCGTTGGTTGGGAGAGGCGGCACCGAGGGAAAGACGCAGCCGTATGGATCCAGATGCGGGCAAGCCCTGGGGAAACCGTCCCAGCGGGAGTTGTAGGAGGAACCTCTACTACCAAGCTACTACGTCACGGTCCAGCTACTAAAATCAAACTGCTTTCACCAAAAATGCACATCCGCGCGGCCATGCGGCGGCGTCTGAGAACGATAGCTGGATGGGGGTAATACGCTCAGTCCTACCGAGCGCGCGCCGGTGGAATGCTACGGGTTGGCCGGAATTTTTCCGTGGCCCGTCATCTTCGGCCGAACGAATAAAAGTAACATTGTAGAACGCGGTACGCAACCAGGTTACTCAGGATGTCCTGTTTGGTTCTTTCCCTCTCACCTGAATTGCGAACATCGTCCTTTATTGCCTTCTTAGCCGCCCGGTAGTCAAAGTAAGCAGCCGCAAAGGATCCCTTGCGGCTCGCTTCGCTCGCAAGCCGTTTTGCAAATTTCATGTCGCTGCAGGGCGGCGATGGGTCCCGCAGCGAGAGCGGGGCATGCGTGCGTTACGACCCGCATAACCGTCCCAAATTTTGCACAAGGTACCTACTTATATAGCCGAAGAGCTAACCAAGAGGGCCGGCGAAGGCCAGGAGGCTTAGCCCTAGGGTTTACGCAGGGTGCTTCCCAATAGACAGCTTGGATCAAAAACGACTAGCACCAAGCGCATTGTATCCTTAACTACAGGACTCAGCAAAAGCATCTAGCCCGTGGCAGCCGCTGCGAATAAAAGCATTCCTGACTGACCAGTCCACCACCTACATTCAGACGACTTGGTCCGCACGTTCTCTGATAGCCAGTAGACAAACCTGACACCAAGCAAAGTAGCTGCAGCGCGCTAGACGAGAAAACGGTACAGTCCGGTTGCTTATGACAGTTAGCTTTTCGCTTCTGACTACTGACGAAGGTATAGGTGGAAGACGTAAAAGCTACAAGCATACAGGTCTGTGACAAGTATGGCATATAGTAGTTCTTAGAGATGAGAGAATAATGCTTATACCTTCGGCGGCCCGATGCCCAGATGCCAAACAGCATATTACTGTACGACGACACGGCAGCCTCTGGAAAACATTGAGCACCTTCGTTAACATTTGCTGCCATGGCATCAAGCAAAAAGATGGGCAACGTTTGCCCTATGGGGGAAGTAGAGATTCCCATTAGTCGTTTGGCTCCTAAACTTCCTCGATTTAAAGGGGTGCATTTTGAGCGAAACTCAGGCCCTCCTGATAAACATCCAAATTCTTACTTGTTGCGTGAATGTCGCAACCCGACTGTTGCACTCTTGTGAATACGCGTCATTGCGACGACTGCAATTCCGCTTTTTTTGTGTGCCATAACAATACACGTCCTCATCTTACAGGGTTTCAATGCTGTAAATAACGTATAGAAAGGTTGTGGATAATAACATAATGGACAGTAGAGACGTCCCGCTAGTGGAAGACCCATTTCGCTAAAGTTAAATACAGAAGTAAGTGCTAATGAGTAGTGCGATTTTCCAATCCGCTTGATATATGTATGCTGTTCATCGCAAATAACCCTCCTCTCAGAAACTCTCACAGCCCATTTGGCATTTTAGCGCCTTGTTATTATGCCGTGTTACCAGGCAATGTCCGTTCTGTTCCCTGTCGTTGCCAAGTTATAACTGAGGACTCCTTCTACACTACTGTTACGCCGCTGCTTCTTTCGCGGCTGCGTTGCTAAGTTAGGGATCCACGGCGTGTCATAGTACGCCCTGGCATTTACAGGATCGGCGCATGATACTTAGGATACGGTACTGGGCTACCACCCAAAGTCTACTCAAGGAAACCGCCTGAACCTTCCCAGTCGTGCTAAGCTTAGGAGTACCACCCAGCCTCCCCAAGCAGGATGCAACCGCAACCGCAACCTCGGAAAACAGCAGCGCCCCTACCAAGCCACCATCATCACAGCCTAGTCGTGAGGCCACGAAATCAGCAAACTCCAAAATAAGAGGGGCGGCTGTGAAGCACCCCACAACAGACCGTCGACCAAGTCTTTTGCACCCAGTGGTGTTCTTAATCATCAACCCCTCCGCCAGCAACCGCCGGGAATGCAGCATCCGCCATTGGAGGCCAAGCTGGGATGCATATATTTGTCATTTCATTATTGTAAATGTTGCTCCAAGATTTTTGACGTATGTCCCCCTGTGGTACGGCTTTACGACAGGGTGCTGAAGTACTCCAGCGACTTAGTTGGATCGGCCTTCATGGTCTTGGCGCCGGGGTTCCAGTTGGCCGGGCACACCTCTCCATGCTCGTCCGTGAACTGCGTGGGTTCAGACCGCCCCAAAAACACATCAAGCATGCAAATAACAAATCAATGGGAAGACTTCAGAACCACGGTTCCCGAGGTCATAATGCTTCGGTCCTCTATCCGGAAAATCATTATCTTTTTAGAGCATTGGAACAGAAGCTGATGACCACCCACCTGGAAAGCCTTGACAAGGCGCAGGGTCTCGTCCACACTGCGACCCACAGGCAGGTCGTTGATGGTGATCTGGCGAAGGATGCCGGTCGGGCTGATAATGAACAGGCCGCTGCGGAGTAGGAAGCCGGGGATTGACGTTAGGCAGAATGCTACTTCAAGTGAAATTCTTTTGCCGCGCCTAATCATAGGGAAAAGCATATTGTTTCGACGCTCATTGAGGCAAAAGCCGAGCTCAGCGGCATGCATGATTAGGCACAAAATAAGCACTTGCAGCAAGTCAAACATGCTCGTCCCTCATTGCGATGTAAATTTATTAAAAAGGGGGGAACCACACAATCCAAAAAAGCAGATCCCTGCTTCTCATGTTTTGCACCAGAAATTGAAGCGAGCGGATAATAGTTTGGGTGGTAACGTAAAAGCTAACCCAGGACATACCTACCGCAGCGTCACGCCAGCGTCGGGGCCATCCTCGATTAGCACACCGTAATCCTACGGCGGAGAGGTGAGAAAGAACTGGGTCAGCAGAAATAATGCACTTAATATCATTTCAAGCAGATATGTGACCATGGACCAAAGCATGCATCAAAATCGGGACATGGGACTAGCGTCTAAGCACGAAAACATACAGACCATCCCAGGCTACGCTTGACAACGCCATACCTGCGCGATCTTCTTGGTAAGGTCGGCCACCAGCGGATACTTGCAGCCACCAAGGCCACCCTTGTTTCGGGGTGTGTTGCTGAACGCCAGATGGGTGAACTGGCTGTCGATGCTCGCGCCAATCACCTGCGATGGGAGCGAACGGCATATTTAATGTTTCCCATCGAAAATCTAAGTGACAGTAGGTTTAGATTGACATATTCAATGCTCCATGCAAGGTGCAACCACACCGGACTCATTCCAAGCCACCCACCTCGCAGTTGATGGCCTTAAACTCGTCAACACGATCTGCAACCGTCACGCGGCATACACGCGTCAAAGATGAAGACGAAAGACGTTGTCTATTTGTGGGCGCAACGAGAATTATCGCCGCCCGCTTGCAAACGTTTCCTACCGGAGAAAGCGACAATCTCCGTTGGGCACACGAAAGTGAAGTCCAGTGGATAGAAGAAGAAGACCACATACTTGCCCTGTAAGCATAGTAATGGGGCTAATAAGGAGCCCAGGTACGCATATCCGTCGGAGTGATCTACCGCTCATGTCACAAAGCGGTCTAGCACAAGACTACTTGTCTCACCGTGTAGTCATCGAGGCTGATCTCCTTAATTTCACCGCCTACGACAGCCTGGGCCTTCCACTTTGGCGCGGGAGCACCAATCTTGGCAACCATGGTTCCGGTACTAAAGATTAACCGCGGTGTTGTTGTACACAGTAATTTTCCTATCGAAACTAATATAGGCACAACAATACATCTGTGCCTCGCGTGCAATTATGGTCCCTCGCCATAGCATGGTGTACGACATCCCCGAACCTTCCGTCACACCGAGCAGAGGACATTCACCGATAACACATATTAAATAGCCCCCTTCCCTTCAACGTAACTTTGGTTTAACAACATCATTGATATCCTTCTGCAATCGCCTGGGGACCGTCCTGAGGTTGCGCTTTTCAACCCCAACATGTTCATCATGACCTAGCGGCAACTTCGCATAAGGTGGCGGAGTTGTCGCATGTGATTCTTAATAATATTTTTAGCCCATCGGCATGAATGGACAACAAATTCTAAGTGAAGCGCCGACCAGTCATTCTGTGCTCCTGTCTCCCTTAACCGTATTCTCGTGGCTCTGCCGATTCTGACGTCCTTGCTGACCGTGCTTGGAATGGGGGGAGACGGGAAGCGGGGAGACCAGCTGCCAAGGGCCCTTACACTGCAGACCGAAGAGATAACCGCTCATCAAGGCGGCGGGAGACTTCAAGTGTCGCGCCGCTTGGAGTGTTGTACTATGGCATATGGGTATCGCTTACTGGGCCTGTTGCTGGATCCTGTGCGGACCCGGAAGAACTCGTTTCGCTAAGTGCTACAGAGGACATCCGACCGTGTGGGTGCAAATGCCCCAAACCCAAAAAACTGTATGCGAGTCTGCATAAGCCGAGCAAATTTGCCAACTTGTCGAGGCGCTGCTCACACACACAAACGAAAATCATCCCTACCCGCGATATGACCCATTGTGCAAATGCTAAGATCCCCCCTCCTCAATTAAGTCATGACACTATCCGACCAACAAACGGGTATCGGTTGCAACGCCAATCACCATGGGAAACGCAAAACCAAACTACATGGCAAAAGCAAACAGTTGGGAAGCCTGCCATATTGAAGCGTCCTCCTGTGCCAATGACCAACATAGCTTGGTTATTGGCGCGGGCTCCACAATGTGGAGTGGCGACCCTGCACAAGCAAAGATGACACGGTTAAACATGCGGATTCCAAAGACTAACGGTTGCATTTAAGCGCAAACAGCAGTTTAACCCCTATGATTGCGGCCCAGGCTTACCGTGCACGATACCGTGCTAAGGCGCCTCACGTACGTCGCAGCCTCGTTAGAGCTGAGGCCGCGCAGTCCTTCAGAGCTTCAAACACAAAGTCTGCGGAGAGGAGACCCTGCACAAGTACAGACGACACGGTTAAACATGCGGATTCCAAAGACTAACGGTTGCATTTAAGCGCGAACAGCAGTTTAACCCCTATGATTGCGGCCCAGACTTACCGTGCACGATACCGTGCTAAGGCGCCTCACGTACGTCGCAGCCTCGTTAGAGCTGAGGCCGCGCAGTCCTTCAGAGCTTCAAACACAAAGTCTGCGGAGAGGAGACCCTGCACAAGTACAGACGACACGGTTAAACATGCGGATTCCAACGACTAACGGTTGCATTTAAGCGCGAACAGCAATTTAAACCCTATGCTTGCGGCCCAGACTTACCGTGCACGATACCGTGCTAAGGCGCCTCACGTACGTCGCAGCCTCGTTAGAGCTGAGGCCGCGCAGTCCTTCAGAGCTTCAAACACAAAGTCTGCGGAGAGGAGACCCTGCACAAGTACAGACGACACGGTTAAACATGCGGATTCCAACGACTAACGGTTTCATTTAAGCGCGAACAGCAATTTAACCCCTATGCTTGCGGCCCAGACTTACCGTGCACGATACCGTGCTAAGGCGCCTCACGTACGTCGCAGCCTCGTTAGAGCTGAGGCCGCGCAGTCCTTCAGAGCTTCAAACACAAAGTCTGCGGAGAGGAGACCCTGCACAAGTACAGACGACACGGTTAAACATGCGGATTCCAACGACTAACGGTTTCATTTAAGCACGAACAGCAGTTAAAACCCTATGCTTGCGGCCCAGACTTACCGTGCACGATACCGTGCTAAGGCGCCTCACGTACGTCGCAGCCTCGTTAGAGCTGAGGCCACGCAGTCCTTCAGAGCTTCAAACACAAAGTCTGCGGAGAGGAGACCCTGCACAAGTACAGACGACACGGTTAAACATGCGGATTCCAACGACTAACGGTTTCATTTAAGCGCGAACAGCAGTTAAAACCCTATGCTTGCGGCCCAGACTTACCGTGCACGATACCGTGCTAAGGCGCCTCACGTACGTCGCAGCCTCGTTAGAGCTGAGGCCGCGCAGTCCTTCAGAGCTTCAAACACAAAGTCTGCGGAGAGGAGACCCTGCACAAGTACAGATGACACGGTTAAACATGCGGATTCCAACGACTAACGGTTGCATTTAAGCGCGAACAGCAATTTAACCCCTATGCTTGCGGCCCAGACTTACCGTGCACGATACCGTGCTAAGGCGCCTCACGTACGTCGCAGCCTCATTAGAGCTGAGGCCGCGCAGTCCTTCAGAGCTTCAAACGCAAAGTCTGCGGAGAGGAGACCCTGCACAAGTACAGACGACACGGTTAAACATGCGGATTCCAACGACTAACGGTTGCATTTAAGCGCGAACAGCAATTTAACCCCTATGCTTGCGGCCCAGACTTACCGTGCACGATACCGTGCTAAGGCGCCTCACGTACGTCGCAGCCTCATTAGAGCTGAGGCCGCGCAGTCCTTCAGAGCTTCAAACGCAAAGTCTGCGGAGAGGAGACCCTGCACAAGTACAGACGACACGGTTAAACATGCGGATTCCAACGACTAACGGTTGCATTTAAGCGCGAACAGCAATTTAACCCCTATGCTTGCGGCCCAGACTTACCGTGCACGATACCGTGCTAAGGCGCCTCACGTACGTCGCAGCCTCGTTAGAGCTGAGGCCGCGCAGTCCTTCAGAGCTTCAAACACAAAGTCTGCGGAGAGGAGACCCTGCACAAGTACAGACGACACGGTTAAACATGCGGATTCCAACGACTAACGGTTTCATTTAAGCACGAACGCCAGTTAAAACCCTATGCTTGCGGCCCAGGCTTACCGTGCACGATACCGTGCTAAGGCGCCTCACGTACGTCGCAGCCTCGTTAGAGCTGAGGCCGCGCAGTCCTTCAGAGCTTCAAACACAAAGTCTGCGGAGAGGAGACCCTGCACAAGTACAGACGACACGGTTAAACATGCGGATTCCAACGACTAACGGTTTCATTTAAGCACGAACACCAGTTAAAACCCTATGCTTGCGGCCCAGACTTACCGTGCACGATACCGTGCTAAGGCGCCTCACGTACGTCGCAGCCTCGTTAGAGCTGAGGCCGCGCAGTCCTTCAGAGCTTCAAACACAAAGTCTGCGGAGAGGAGACCCTGCACAAGTACAGATGACACGGTTAAACATGCGGATTCCAACGACTAACGGTTGCATTTAAGCGCGAACAGCAGTTTAACCCCTATGCTTGCGGCCCAGGCTTACCGTGCACGATACCGTGCTAAGGCGCCTCACGTACGTCCCAAATCGAATTCGTCCATGCAACCTCCGAACGGCATTATGCCACGAAACCCCACAAGAGCATCCGTCCATGCAAGCCCACAAACCAAATTGTGCCAGGCCATGTCCCCCAAACCGCACCATGCCAGGCCATGTCCCCCGAACCGCATCATGCCAGGCCATGTCCCCCAAACCCGCATCATTCCAGGCCATGCCCCCCAATCGCATCATGCCAGGCCATGCCCCCCGAACTGCATCACGCCAGGCCATGCACCCCAAATCGCGTTGTGCCAGGCGATGCCCCCCAAATCGCATTGTGCCAGGCCATGCCCCCCAATCGCATCATGCCAGGCCATGCCCCCCAAATCGCATTGTGCCAGGCCATGCCCCCCAAATCGCGTTGTGCAAGGCCATGCCCCCCAAATCGCGTTGTGCAAGGCCATGCCCCCCAAACCGCATCATGCCAGGCCATGTCCCCCAAACCCGCATCATGCCAGGCCATGCCCCCCAATCACATCATGCCAGGCCATGCCCCCCAGTCACATCATGCCAGGCCATGCACCCCAAATCGCGTTGTGCAAGGCCATGCCCCCCAAACCGCATCATGCCAGGCCATGTCCCCCAAACCCGCATCATGCCAGGCCATGCCCCCCAATCGCATCATGCCAGGCCATGCCCCCCGAACCCGCATCATGCCAGGCCATGCCCCCCAATCACATCATGCCAGGCCATGCCCCCCAATCGCATCATACCAGGCCATGCCCCCCAAATCGCATTGTGCCAGGCCATGCCCCCCAAATCGCGTTGTGCAAGGCCATGCCCCCCAAATCGCATTGTGCCAGGCCATGCCCCCCAATCGCATCATGCCAGGCCATGCCCCCCAATCGCATCATGCCAGGCCATGCCCCCCAATCGCATCATGCCAGGCCATGCCCCCCAATCACATCATGCCAGGCCATGCCCCCCAGTCACATCATGCCAGGCCATGCCCCCCGAACCGCATCATGCCAGGCCATGCCCCCCGAACCGCATCATGCCAGGCCATGTCCCCCAATCGCATCATGCCAGGCCAGCCCCCCGAACCGCATCATGCCAGGCCATGTCCCCCAAACCCGCAGCATGCCAGGCTATGCCCCGCAAATCGCATTGTGCCAGGCCATGTCCCCCGAACCGCATCATGCCAGGCCATGCCCCCCAGTCACATCATGCCAGGCCATGTCCTCCAAATCGCATTGTGCTAGGCAAAACCCCAAACCGCACTTCGCCCGGCCACCCCAGGCCCCGACAGCATCCGCCCAGGTACCTCCCTGATCATTTTGCATGGGCCCATTACTGGAAGTTTAGTTGCGCAAGTCCTCGTGCTGCATTGATTCCATGTGACCGTCCAACCGAAACCGTTGGTCATTATTAACGTTGATCACTCGATCGTTTACAGAACTGCTGTATTCGCCACTCATTGATATATTTATTATTAACCGTTATACGGCCGGTATGGCGTTTACTGTACGACACCATTCGTTCGGTCATTGCTCGTAGTTGGCGCTGCATGCAGCCAACAAGTTATCAAGCCAACAAGAATGGCGGCAACTGATGATGATGACCATGATTATAATGATGACGATGATGATGATGATCATGATGATCATGATGCCGATGATGCCGATGGCCTTTACAGCAGTTGATAGTTGCGGCTATATGCCGCCGCCGCCGCCGCCGCCGCCGCCGCCAGCCAACTGGCCAGCAGCGGCGGCGCCCGGCTGGGTGCAGCTGGGTGCGGAGGAATTGCACCCAGCAGTGCACCTGAAGGAAAAGGGACAAGGCGGGGGAAGGGCGCGGGAAGCCAAAATATGGTTAGCAGTACGACACAACTAACACACACATAATTAGGTGACAGTTGCAAGCAAGGGTACCGCTGCTGGTCCCCACCACGCACACCCCATGCACCAAAACCCCAAGCCCATCCGCACCCACCTCAGCCGGGCCCATCATCAGCAACGCCCGCTCGGTGCCACTGGGGCGCACAGGTTGATGCCCCAGCCGCACCTGAAGAGGAGGTGCGTGATAAAGGGGGAAACGGCCGGAGGGGATAGGTAAGGGGGCAGCATACACGGGGGGGAGGGTGGTAAAACACCAAATGTCATTATTTTGCCTAAAAGTCACAAGGCCTCGTTGCGACACGTGCGCTGCGGCCCTGCGGCCTTTTTCCACGACCACTAGTTGAACCCAAATCACGAAGTACGCACCACACCCACACCCACGTCGCCCACCCACCCATCCACCCACCTGAGACGGGCGTTATAAAAGTACGGCCGGCCCCTGCGTGCGGGTGCCGGCAGGCCGGACGACTCGTACGCCCCGAGTCCCGGCAGCCAGTCGACCCTGCATTCGGGTCCTGGCACCAGGGAAGCTGCCGCAAACCCTGGCGATAAAGGGCCCGGGCCATGGCCACTGCTGCAGCTGCTTGCTGATCTGCCGGCTGCTGCTGCTGCTGCTGCTGCTGCTGCTGCTGCTGCTGCTGACTACATAATAAAAAAGTAAAAATACGGTGACAGGAGGTGCAAAGGCCTGGGAAAACCCATAACCTCTACAACCCCGGCACCCTAATGCACGCCTTAGCTTATTAGGCTGAGGCGCATTACTAATCTATAATAAGATATTTAAAACAGAGTAAATAAATAAGTAAATAAATAAAGCGGAAATAGATATCATGGTTCAGCTTTATTTATTCATCTATTATTTAATAAGGTGTAGCCTCCCCTTATTTAGGTAATCCCCAAACAAATGAAAATCAATTGTGCACAACCAGGGCTGTGGGCACCACAAACGAAAACACGACAGACTGTACACGCGCGGCAACAGCCGTGACACGCGCACACTCGCTGATGCTGGTTGTTGGCTGCTGGCTGATAGCTGCGTAGCGTAGCCCATTTAGGCAATATAGCTGGCTGCAGCTGCTGGCTGGTTAGATAACGCTAGCTACCATCCACAAAACCCAGCGACGACAATAAAACCGGCCGGTCACCACCAACTGTCCACCAACTGTCCACCAACTGGATCAACATCTGCCAACCTCTTCCAACCAAACATATCTCCAACGGACAACTTCCACCATGACAACCATATTTCTCGACCCGATCCTCCATATCTTTGGACTCCCTTATTTTCCTGCTTTGAACTAGTCCTTCCGTTTGCAACGAATGTCGTGGTTTGAGCAAGGATGTCTCCCTTTTCATCCTTCTTTTGTGCATGGTAGGTTTGAAAGCAGAAAGGTGGCAGCAATGCCAGAGGTGAAAAGCCGTAGCGGCGGCAGGGGAGGGAAATGCACCGCAAGAACAGCAATTTGCTGTAGCGATGAGAGGAAAGGAAAAAGGCCGCGGTGGCAGCAATGCCAGAGGTGAAAAGCCGCAGCGGCGGCAGGGGAGGAAAGTGCACCGCAAGAACAGCAATTTGCTGTAGCGATGAGAGGAAAGGAAAAAGGCCGCTGTGGCAGCAACGCCAGAGGTGAAGAGCAGCAGCGGCGGCAGGGGAGGGAAATGCAGTGCAAGGACAGCACAAAGGCTGTAATGTCAGATGTGACGGTGACGGCGACAGCACGAGAAGGCTACGGTGAGAAGGTGACTGCGAGACGCCGACGGCAACCTCGCCGAAGGCAAGAAGGCGACAGCACGAGACGGCGACGGTGAGACTCCGACGGCTAGGCGCCGTCGGCGAGAGGTCGACGGCGACCTCGCCGAAGGTGAGAAGGCGACGCGATGGCGAGACGCCGGCGGCCGGCGAGAAGGCGAGGCGAGGCGCCGTCGGCGTTAGGGCGACGGCGACCTCGCCGAAGGTGATAAGGCGACGCGATGGCGTGGCGCCGGCGGCCGGCAAGAAGGCGAGGCGAGGCGCCGTCGGCGTTAGGGCGACGGCGACCTCGCCAAAGGTGAGAAGGCGACGCGATGGCGAGACGCCGGCGGCGAGACGGCGACGGTAATGAAAATGGCATGACGGTGACGGCTGAGGGGGATCCGGGGATTCGGGCGGGGATTACGTGGTGACATACACACTACAAGGCGGTTTCGGAGTGGCTGAATTGACAACAGATTCCAACGAAACGCAAGACATGGAACCAAACGACCCCTCGACCATGCCATGCCATCATGCATACCACAACAAAGGGTTGATGATGCAGATTGATTGGTGGTCGGCAATACAAATCCGGCATCCCAAATCCGACATGCTATGGCAAAGCGTTGCAAGACGGCATGGGGACGTGTGAAACGAGGCCCCTCTCGTACTTACATTCTCACCCATGACGGCGATGTACGGCGGTGGCGACGCCTGTGATGCTCGTCGCGCCGATACGTGTTGTCCTGTTGGAAGTCCTCGCCCAGGCTCGCTCAGACCGGTGGCGGGAACGGGCGGGAGGTGGGCGGGGAAATACACACACACACACACGCACACACACACACGCTGTTAATCAGCTAGCAGGGGACACAACGAGCACAGACTTTGCACAGCAAAACGACATGGGCAGTTGTGCACAATATGCAGAAACGTACTAATACGCACACGGGCACATCGCGGGCAGTTGGGAATTCTCCATCACAAGTAAAAGCAGTAGCACCCTCACACATACACATACGTATACGCGTGCGCGCATGCACACACACACACACACACACACTACACCCTCTTACACACACCTACATACACTTACACACGCACACGCGCGCGCGTGAGCACATTCTCGCCCACATTTGAACAGATACCTACATACATACATACAAACATACATACATACAATTGCGCACAAATACAAGACACTGAAGACCGCAACAATAACCATCGGCCGGCTTTGCAGCTTCTATCTGAGTTTGCTGACCTTATCTTTGCAGTTTGCTGCCTTTGTGCTTTTGCTGTCGTTGTCGCTGTTGCTGCTTGCCGGCACGACAGGAGAAAAACACCGCGCCACGAAACACCCACAGCAAGAAACTTTGCTGCGAACGTATGTACGACATCACTACATCACGAACGGACACAAAGTGGCACCCACGCAGTGAACATACGGGGAAAGACCTTCATGCCGTACTCCCTACACGCCGCACCTTACCAAGGTACAACAATTTCATACCGAAATCCCCCTCTGTCACCAACTCGTCTATCCATTTGCAACGCGCCTTCACCCATAGAATCCAAGAACGATGGCCGACCTTGATACGACGTGTAACGGCCTCACGGCCGGAAATCTAGGCGCGTTCTAACGTACGACATGTACGGGCGACCGTGCATCCGGTGTCACTCACCGGCACCGGAAGACGATGTGAGCTTGACTGCGTTGATTATAAGCGTTGACAACGGTGAGACTCCGACGGCGAGGCGCCGTCGGCGAGAAGGCGACGGCGACCTCGCCGAAGGTGAGAAGGCGACGCGATGGCGAGACGCCGGCGGCGAGACGGCGACGGCGAGAAGGCGAGGCGCCGTCGGCGTTAGGGCGACGGCGACCTCGCCAAAGGTGAGAAGGCGACGCGATGGCGAGACGCCGGCGGCCGGCGAGAAGGCGAGGCGAGGCGCCGTCGGCGTTAGGGCGACGGCGACCTCGCCGAAGGTGATAAGGCGACGCGATGGCGTGGCGAGACGGCGACGGCGAGAAGGCGAGGCGAGGCGCCGTCGGCGTTAGGGCGACGGCGACCTCGCCAAAGGTGAGAAGGCGACGCGATGGCGAGACGCCGGCGGCGAGACGGCGACGGTGATGAAAATGGCATGACGGTGACGGCTGAGGGGGATCCGGGGATTCGGGCGGGGATTACGTGGTTACATACACACTACAAGGCGGTTTCGGAGTGGCCGAATTGACAACAGATTCCAACGAAACGCAAGACATGGAACCAAACGACCCTCGACCATGCCATGCCATCATGCATACCACAACAAAGTGTTGATGATGCAGATTGATTGGTGGTCGGCAATACAAATCCGGCATCCCAAATCCGACATGCTATGGCAAAGCGTTGCAAGACGGCATGGGGACGTGTGAAACGAGGCCCCTCTCGTACTTACATTCTCACCCATGACGGCGATGTACGGCGGTGGCGACGCCTGTGATGCTCGTCGCGCCGATACGTGTTGTCCTGTTGGAAGTCCTCGCCCAGGCTCGCTCAGACCGGTGGCGGGAACGGGCGGGAGGTGGGCGGGGAAATACACACACACACGCTGTTAACCAGCTAGCAGGGGACACAACGAGCACAGACTTTGCACAGCAAAACGACATGGGCAGTTGTGCACAATATGCAGAAACGTACTAATACGCACACGGGCACATCGCGGGCAGTTGGGAATTCTCCATCACAAGTAAAAGCAGTAGCACCCTCACACATACACATACGTATACGCGTGCGCGCATGCACACACACACACACATACACCCTCTTACACACACCTACATACACTTACACACGCACACGCGCGCGCGTGAGCACATTCTCGCCCACATTTGAACAGATACATACATACATACATACAAACATACATACATACATACAATTGCGCACAAATACAAGACACTGAAGACCGCAACAATAACCATCGGCCGGCTTTGCAGCTTCTATCTGAGTTTGCTGACCTTATCTTTGCAGTTTGCTGCCTTTGTGCTTTTGCTGTCGTTGTCGCTGTTGCTGCTTGCCGGCACGACAGGAGAAAAACACCGCGCCACGAAACACCCACAGCAAGAAACTTTGCTCCGAACGTATGTACGACATCACTACATCACGAACGGACACAAAGTGGCACCCACGCAGTGAACATACGGGGAAAGACCTTCATGCCGTACTCCCTACACGCCGCACCTTACCAAGGTACAACAATTTCATACCGAAATCCCCCTCCGTCACCAACTCGTCTATCCATTCGCAACGCGCCTTCACCCATAGAATCCAAGAACGATGGCCGACCTTGATATGACGTGTAACGGCCTCACGGCCGGAAATCTAGGCGCGTTCTAACTAACGTACGACATGTACGGGCGACCGTGCATCCGGCGTCACTCACCGGCAGCGGAAGACGATGTGAGCTTGACTGTGTTGATTATAAGCGTTGACAATGGGGGCCCTTGCTTCACGCCGACGCAACATCGCACTGGGGTCTTGGAGAGTTGAAAATGTGATGTACGCAGAGATTCTCGTTGCCAGGTGGAATGCGGTCGATCTGGAAGGTCTTGGGCAACTCCAATGAGCAGTCGTCTCTGTCGCGAGGAAGGTCACGGACATCGGACGAAGTGGTCATGTATCGCCTAACGACGTGTACTTTCCTGCCAGACCGCCTAGCTTTCAGCCTTCGTAGGCTCCTTATACAGCTAAAGCACAACTGTCGGGATTACGCTCAAACGCCGCATACGCCCATATTCTTGCAGCAGAGCGCTGCACAAACACATGCCCGTCGAAAGCCCGTCGACAAAGCCCCTTATGTTTCAAAGATCCATACACAAGCTCGAGAAGCAAACATCTCACCTCAAAAAAATGAGTTGCCGCAAGTCGCACCTTGCCCTCACAAATGAGTCAGGCAAGTCGATGTCCGTGAAGCGGCGACGCTGTGCCTGAAGCAACGTGAGCAGGGGTTCAATAAATAAATGCTTGAGATAACCGCGTAATAAATTAGAGCAATGGAACTGAAGTGCGGCGGCTACAGCATGAAGGTTTTGCAACGAACAGTACCTTGCAAACGTTTGCAGGGTCCACAGCAGCTTCTCAGGGCGCCGCGCAGCTGTTCAGGCTTCCTCATTTGCTGGTCATATGTAGGAAGCTAGCAGCTTTTACGGACGCACCAGAGCTGGAACAGGCCGAAAAGAAGGGCTCAAACGTTGGGTGAAAGCCTGTGATCAAATATCGGACGTTGTTCACATTTGCTAATGGAGCTGAAAGTGCTATGGGAGGTGCCTTTTGTCAGAGGCCAGCTAAATTGTACGGCGCAACAGCTGCAAATCCAAGTGTGTTGGTAAGGTGCAGTTCGGCGAACTCACTTTGTCAACAGTTAGCCTATTAAACTTTTATGTTATAGCTGTATGTCACTGCATTATCACGTTCACCTCCGTTCCTCTGCACCTGGTTACGTCCTCCCCGGAAGCAAGATCCCTAAGTGCAAGCCCTTGCAAACAACAGGTCAAGTTATCATGAAGGCCGTTGCTTCATTTTTGCTTATGTGGCATAGCGGGCGATTGACGTAATCTGCCCATGGCGGAAGTGCCCAGAGCTATTGATACAGCGTTATGGTTCTTGAAGTTCTTCTTGAGTATCTAAGGTGCTTTAAGTCACGTTTGCTTACAAAAGGAACTGCGGCCCGAACAAGGGCGCCTTGGAACTATCATGGGGGGCTTTCCTTTGACAGGGCTAAGCCATCCGTAGCTTCTTCTTTCGAGGTCATCCATCGATGCAACATCATTGTCACCCAGCACTGCTGTGAGCAACGAGATCGTGCACCGCCCAGCTCCCTATCACCCTATATCCCTCCCGTTCACCCTCGCCTGTTAGCCCCTTCCCGCCACATTTCCGTTCCCTATCACTTGTTGCCATCCATCCCTTGCTCCAACAAGTTCATGATCAGCTCCATCACTGTGCTGTCATCCCAACACCAAGTGACAATATGTAATCCGCAGCTGCCTTCATGATGCCGACCGAGCTGCGGTAGCCTGATAGTGGTCCACAGGGTGGCTGCAAGACAGACGGTCCGACACATCCAAGTACAAGAGAGTGTATGTATGATGTATGGGACAGGGGGGTCATATCTTCACCCTGCAGCCGCTACCTGGCAGATCCTGCCTTCCTGTGTTTATTTTCAATTTTGCCGGTGAATTTTCCAGTTCATCAGCTCCTAAAATGACAATTGCCGCGTCATAGATAAATGGTGGCAATGTAACGGTAAGATACCGAAGTGAACACAACAAGGGAACCGACGCGGGTGCAGGGCTTGACGACCAAAGCGCACGCGGGCGCTACGAACTGTTGAAGTACTTACACACCAACGGCACGCGGCCTGGATGTGGCGCTTACTGGTGCCGCTTCTCATCCAGCGCGTATCGGACAACCGCACTTTGCTGCTACTGCAGTTTCTCCTTATCTTCTGCTAGACATATCTATTGGATAAAAACGAGAAAATAGAGAGGTGTTGACAAGGTGCAGCTTTAGTCGCGAGCTCGGCTGTAGCCTCGATCACGGTGGGGCTCGAACCCACATGGAAATAGGTCCCGGGGCCGAATCTAAAATATAGACACCCTATCCATGTCCATCACTCCATGCACCGCCACCAGTTCCACGACCACCGCCGCCGCACTGGCTTCACCTCTGGCCTAACCGCACCTCTGCTCCTTGCCATACACAGATTTGCAAGAAATTTGCCTCAGGCACCCGCCAGTAATCGCAGCTCTTGAAGGTACTCAACTCCGGCAGTAGCAGCAGCAGCAGCAGCAGCAGGACCATCATGTTGATTGCAGGACCAGGTTCATGCGGACATACAGTGAGAAACAAGCGGGGAGGGCGTGTGTGTGGACAAGTCAGCGTGTGATGTGTCTATTACCGGCTCATAGCAAATCAAGCGCGCAATATACCTCGACGGTACGACACAGTGCTGCTGCAAAGCCCACCGTGCAGTTATCACTAATCCTCGTACCGTACCGCGACATGAAAAACACAATAGGATGATGCTCCACAAACTACGGCACACGGAAGAGTCACGACACCACAACCGATAGCAACCGACACAGCCGAAACAGATTGGTAATCTGCTGGACACATCCCTCAACTCAAATCAACGCACATACTGACACTCGTAATAGTGAAGTGCTCAGCCCCCCTCAGCACCACGACGGGGTGCCGCCGCCGCCACAGCAGCACCAACACGAGCATCGGGAAGAAGACAACGGAGCCAGGCGCCTCTGCCACCTAGGGAAGAACGATAAAAGGAAAACACAAGCGCGTCAGAGAACGTCCCATTTCCTAGAAACAGCGCACTTACCTCCTTTACCCGTCCGCGAGCCCATAACCTGAGCGGGTAGAAACCCACCGTACGAGCATCAGGCGAGCATGCGGTGGTCGGGCCCTGCATTGCAAAGTCCCGCTTCGCGCAAATAGCGACACGAACAACGGACGCGGAGGTGGGGCTGGCGAGTGGTGCGCTCTTGGCAGCTCCACCTAAGGGACTACTAAAAACGGACACCGGCGAGGCTTTGGCGCTTCTCAACCGTTCCTATCCTTCTCTATCTCGCCTCCTATGCACCACCCGCCCTCCTGCGGAAAAACTGCTCCCTGGTGACAGACAGTGCACTCCCGCGCAGGGAAGCGAGAGAGACCACTTCAGGCCACTACCAGGGAGACCACTTCCGGAATCCTGTGTTTTACGACATGCTACTGCAGGTTTTATTTGAAACCCTTGCACCCGTACCGCACCGTACGTTACTGTAAGGAACCGCACCGTACCGTGTGGCATTCATATCCGCGGTACCGTGGCAGCAGTTGCCGGAAGGCGTCGTTGTGGAGCGATAGCGCGGCGTCCATTACCGCGACGGTCAGCGTTTCCCACAACGAGGTCATTAAACACAGGCACATACTGAGATACACAGCAATCATGCTTGGATGGCGGCTAGCAACGCTAATCCGGACTTTGTTTTAGGGCTGGACACCTTTCCTTAAGGGGTCTGCTCCGCTGCGCTTTGCTACTGTTGCTCCTGCTGTTGCTGCTGCTGCCACCAACCGCCAGCCAAGTACGACTGCATAATCACGCGATACGCGGCGCAGGAAAACACAATCGGCACGGCGATACGTACACGCCACGATACGGCACGGATCCATATCGCCGACTTACCGCATGTATCATCTGGAGGGTGCTTGCACCGTAGATACCGCCAAGCGCCGCCGGTCAAAAGGAGGGTACGCGGTTCGGGGAACAGGTGGGGCGGGGCGGGAGGGGATGATATCGTTTGCTTTGCTACTGCTTTGCTGCTACTGCTGCTGTCGCAGCAGACCGCCAGGCAGACATGATTGCACGCTCCCAACAAAATGCGGAACTGAAAACCCTAAAACAGTACGACCAACCGCAAAGCGCGAGGTATCTTGAAATCCAGGGGCTCATGCAAGGACTGCAGCTCGTGTAGCGCCCAATCGTTGCGCCCTCGGCATTGTTGTTGATATACGGCCGCCGCGCAGCCATAAGGACGCACCAGAGGCAGGCGGGAGGACGGGGCAGGAGGATGGGCGGAGGGGAAGGAATAATCAGCAAGGTACGATGAGGTGGTTCATGAGGCCGTCTTGTTTGGGTTCACGAGCGAAAAGACATGCATAAAATCTTATCCATAATAGCTCACGCATTCCTACAGGTGTTTGCTTTGCCTTGTAACGATCACTGTCGCTGCTGCTGCTGCCGCTTCTGCTGCCAGCCGCCAGCCGAACACGATAGCAAGGAAACGTCCAACATGGCACCGGACAATACACCAGGCGCTGCACAGGGTACGACGAACTGCACTGTGAAGTGCAGTACAGCACGCAACGGCACTGGACGCAACGCCTACGTACCCCATCAAAGCCCACACTAAAGGTTGTCGAAATCATCAGTTCCTGCTTAACCTGTTTGCTTTGAACGCCTAGACCCAGCATGTCATCTCCCCGTCGCTCCATGTCACCGAGCCCTAACATGGGACGAGACACGGACGAGACACGGAACATCGCACGCTGAAAGGTAGATGTAATTGTCGTCCTGCTCACAGCATTCATCACGCAGATCTTCCAGTTTCTGCCTGTAAGCGGGCAAACAGAAGCACTTGTGAGGACAAACTTTGCAATGTAGTCTTCCTGGTGCTGCTATCCAATTGCCTGATCCTTAATGCAATCAAAACATTTCATAGCTCATGCATTCTGGGAAGACAAGAGACGGACAACTCCAACTTCAACCGTCGAAGGCGCCTGGACGACCTAGGTGCATTACAGTCAAACCCACAAAAGCCTGAGCTATCCAGCTCCGAGCCGTATAAAGCAATAATATACGTGTCTAGAATGAAAATATCTAACTGTTGATATGAAGCTATTTGAGTTTTGGCATGGTTCTGAGTTCTGGCTTCGGTTTTAGTTGCATGTGTTACACGCATCAGCCATACAGGCATCGATTCAAACACATGTAAGCCTGGGCTTAGGAAGCGCAGAACGTAACCCCGACACCCAGCGAACCTGAACCTATCGGCTATTGCAATTTGATCATGCCTTTTCGACGCGAGGAGAAGCCCCAAGGGCTCACACACCAAAGCATCCGCCACCCACCAATTAAAGTAATTTCTACGTGCTGCACAATACGCACCCGGAAATCCAATGTACTCCCCGGGCTGAGGGACAACCTCGGCAGGTTTTCTGGTACGACAGTCAACCCCCAACTGCAACAATCGCCTCGAACCTCTTCCAATAGCTGAATTCGTGACGGTATTCTTCATTTATGCACCTCCTTGCCTCTACGGTATACGTTTAAATTTGAAACTGTAGTCAGCCCAACCTTACAGCAACGATACCGGCAGCGTCGCTACGCAGCTCCGTTCTCCGTGTATTTTTCTCCGGGCAGCCTGAGTTGTGGTGCATCCTATACGCTTAATACGGTACTAGGAGTAGCATCTACGTAGAAACGGGCCCGGAGCCCAGAAATGGAACGGGTCGCTGACGTCCCAGCACACGGCGAGTCCAATCGGGACCCTTCTGACTTTGCTCTTACCAATAAGAATCTTGTTTGTTGCTACGTGTGCCGCCTAATCAAGTCGCGCAACCAGGTGCGGTGTTTGTTGCGGTGGAGCGTTGAGGACGCTGCTCAGCCGATTCCCTTTTGCAGTTCCATGATTCGGGTTGTGACAACTGTAAAAATCTTTTTGGACCTAGCATTTCATTTGAGGACTACACGACACCAAACTTCTCGGGGTAAGGACTGAGGCTTTTAAACGAATCGGGGACTTTGTTCTTACGGGCGAGGATGGGGGGGATGAGAGGATTCATAAGCACATGGCCTAACAATGTTGCTTGCAGAATGATCTCTATTATGGACCCTAAGGCCAGTTGGGCTTGCAAGTGGCTTCACCTCGGTAGGTTTCTCGGGACATCCGTGTTTCAGGTTCGGTCCATTGATGTGCGCGAGCTTATGATCTCCACCAGAATCTCGCCCTCTGGCTTAGGATAGAGGTACACGCTGGTGGGCGCATGGTGATTTTCAGGGGGTTCCGTCCAGCAGGCCCCCACCAGTTGGTAATCCTCGGGTGATGGAGGCCCTCCACGTGCATACCCCGGGTCATAGCTGCGGCCAGTCGCGCTGTTCGTTGTGCAGAGTGCGTGGGGAGAACGTCTTGTTTGGTCGTGCTCCTATAGCGATGCCGCCAACTCTTCATCCCTCTCAACCGTCACTGCATAGGCCGATACGTCCCAGGCTGCTACGCCATGGCAGTTAACGACGATGTCCCTGACGACCTCCAGGTGGGCATAGCTGAAAAAGTAGTATTGGTTACCCCATTTGCTATCGCTGCACGATGGGGGTGTGCAGACAGCGAGCAGGGCAGCCTCTCTTTTGCACTAACAATGTGTCTGTAGCGTTTTTAACCTAACCTCAGGATTAGGCAGTCTGTTCTGTAAAGGGGCACGTCCAGCGTGCTTTTGTCAGGAAAGTAGCAAAACTTCGTCTGCCAAAAAACTCATTGAGGCAGGCTGGTTTTGCCCTTCTTACAGGCTGCTAAATACTCTGCATTTCATCCCTCTGTCTTCTGTCGTATTGCTGCCGTTGCTTTTGTTACTGTTGTTCCTGCGGCACAACCCGGCTCAAATTCCCCTCATCCACCTCAGGACATCTTGGAGAACAAGGGCATCAAGGTCCGCCACGGGTAGTAGCGGCATCCGAACACACGTCCCCTTTGTTTTCTTTAATTGCCTGGCAGGCAATGTAGCCCTGTTTGGGTGCATCGCTCTGTGCCCAAGAGCGAGGATTGCCAGTGGCGTGAGTAGACGTTGCGTTGGTCATGCTGCGGCTTGCGTCCAGCGTACCGTCCAAGACACGACCCGACCCGGGACCCATGCGTCCTCTGCCTTGGGCTATCAGGACCTTTTCCTTGGGTTGCTATGACCACGTCTTTGAGCGTTCCATCTGCGCTTGGGAGCTTGCTGTGCTTCGTGACGTCGGTTTGGACTATATTTTTTGTCATTCGATGGCTTTCGTGACAGTGCAAGACAGTGCGAGGAATACATTGCATGGATATCGATGGTATGTTAATGCAAGGGGCCCCGGTTACTAGGAGGCTGGTGTTTCAAGAGCCGGTTGCCAGGTTAGTGCAGCAGGTGCAGCTGCGCTCACAGCAGAGACACAAAGCGTAAAAAGCAGGCTAGGACGACGGCCGACATTTTTGTCAACGTTTGGCAATTCAAAACTGTGCATGCACACTGCGTCCCAGGAGAAATTAGATCGTAGGGCACATCTCGGTTATCGTCTTAATCCAGGTGTGCAGAAACACACTGGGATTGATGTATTGTGAAGCCTATATAGTGCGGGGATAGCTTTGGCATGCCTGGTATGCGCACCGCATTGGAATTCCGCCTTCAGTATTGCACCGCCGGCGCATTTCGCAAATCTGCCCTGCTTGCATGACGCGTCCACTTGCGCATACGCACACATCGTGCTGAACGACGCGTTTAGGTTTGGCCCTGCTTTACTTAAATGTTATCCGTTGTTGCCTTCTCGTGTCCCAAGAAAACGAGATATGAGCCTCAATCGCGGAGCTGATCTCCAAAGTGGGCATGTAAATGTTCAAGAACCTACTGCCATAAGTTGCGCCTTTACAACATGCTAAACTGACCCCCTTTAACCCCATGACGAGGGTCGGGTCCTTGGTGGGTTGGATGTGTTAAGCTAGGTACATCCTGCTGCGGACAGACGGTCATCACGTATTTTGATAGACATGCGAGGGAAAGGAGGGTCAGGTAGCTCCCCAAGGCCTGAGCAGCGCGGATGTTTGTCACTCTCTAGTTCGACTCTGCTGCTGAGTTTGGCGGTAAGCCATACGGTATCGGGACAACACGGACGGGTCCGCTAGGACGGTCAGATGTACGGCATTTCGTACAGGGGCGTGTCCGCAGGCGGGGTATCACGCGACATCACGCATTGCTACCCAAAACAGCAAGTGCAACTTGTCCTTGCGCGTCAAACAATAGGCGGAAATTTATACAGTACATAGCGCATCCTTAAGGAACAATACACCATTGGGTTGAAGGCAAACTTATGTCAGCGACAGGGTTATCAAAACCAAAAGACGAACTTGCTTCCTTGCGCAACAGAAGCAAAGGCTTCATCAAAAGCGTCCTCCCACCGACAAACATTTGGATGTATACCGTGGACGATGAACACTCATCAAGACAGGGAACCACTTGTGCGAGAAAAATGTTGCAGGGGGCATTGCGAAATATCGCAAATTATTGCTTGCGGAAACCACACAATTAGATTATCGCATCAGAAGTATGAGCTACGTTAGAGGGTCGCCAGTGCCATTAACTGCGTACTTAGAAGGAGGGTACCATGATCTAAACCCTATTATAAAGCTGCCAGTTATGCACAAGTAATTTGACAGTATTATATGAAAGTTTCAGTTGTTTGAAGCAAACCTTTTTCTCCAAGACAGCCCTTTCCTGGAGCAATACGGCACAAGTTCTTCTCCGAGACTTTCTGCACGCTGTCTGCTTGTGTGTTTCCATCTTTGCCCAGGGGGTCTGTGCTACACAACTTTAGGCTCCGCCGGCAGTGGGCCGCTTCTTGTCAGGTCGAGCGATCGGCCTTGGCGGACACTTTTATCAGCAGGTACTTGTGCCTCATCACCAACATCACCTCTTATGCATTAAGGATCTATTGGTATAGTAGATCACAGTAAACGTATGATAAGGTGGCTGTGGTTGCGGCGGGCTTGGGACTCCCGGTACCGAGAGTCTTGATGGAAGCGCCTTCGTCCCATTTTATGTCCCCCAGGAGCGGCAAACTCTATACTTGGTCAGCTAAGCTGAACAATGAGGAACTCCGCGCTGTCTTTCGTGCGCGCGGGTAAGTTGGGGCATTGAAGGCTATTTTACGCCATGGCCGCCTGATGAAGTGACCGATTGGGAGTGTCGCCACTCAATGTGCAGGCGTGCTGCAGCTGGGCTCGCAGTCTGGTGTGAGGTACGCAAATGGGACACAGGCATTGTCTTCTGTACGTTGTATCAGTGTGCAATCTCACGTGCCTGCTTTGTTTCTGCTTGCAGTCTGCTGGCTCAGGAGGGTGCGTTTACGCTTTCAAAGCGTTCTGAGCAGGTACATTGCGCAGGTTGTGCGAGGTTTTTGTGTACCTGCAAGTCGCAGCGAAGTACCGGAAGCAATCGACCTTGGTTTTTGCAGGCCATCCTTCGCATCAGCCGCGCGTTTGCTGCCGACGCCAAGGCGTTGGATGAGCTGCGAAAGCCGAAGTTTACGAGCAAGTATCTGATTAACCATGTCTCCGAGAAGCTCATTCCTGCCGTCAAGGAGTGGGAGAAGCAGTACCAGCCTCCGGTTATCCATTTGGGCCGCGTCTTGTCCGTTGGTGACGGTATTGCCCGTGTGTATGGACTGAAGAGCGTGCAGGTGAGTTGGTTAAGATGTTGCAGACTGCTTACATGAAACTGTTAATGGTCCTGGCAAGGTCAGCGGATTCCAGAGTACAAGGTGAAGCTTCACTTGGTTTTGCTTCTTTGCAGGCTGGTGAGCTTGTTTGCTTTGACAGCGGCGTGAAGGGCATGGCGCTGAACCTGCAAGCGGACCACGTCGGTGTTGTCGTGTTTGGTAACGATTCCCTGATTCACCAGGGTGACCTCGTCTATCGCACTGGCCAGATCGTGAATGTGCCGGTCGGTCCGGGCACTCTTGGTCGTGTGGTGGATGCGCTGGGACAGCCCATCGATGGCAAGGGTCCGCTTACAAATGTAAAGTCGTCGCTTGTCGAGATTAAGGCACCGGGTGAGCATTCGGGGGGCCGATATCTTGCAGTGCAGACACGTAACAAGCAAAATGTTTTGCATGCACGGGGCTTCATCTTTGTGTTGGTTGTTAGGAAAGGGATGGAGGACCTCAATTTCTCATGTATTAAGTACTCAAGTCTTATGTGGAAGAGACTCGTACAGGGACAGAAGTTCTGGTGAATGCCAATTGCTTTGAATCCCTGGGGGAACCGACGTCGCGGTGACGCAGGTATCATTGCTCGCCAGTCTGTGCGCGAGCCCCTGTACACTGGCGTGAAGGCGGTGGATGCTCTTGTGCCGATTGGCCGTGGTCAGCGTGAGCTGATTATTGGTGATCGCCAAACCGGCAAGACGGCCATTGCGGTGGATTGCATTCTGCACCAGAACTACCTTAACGGCATCACCAGCCGGAAGAACCGCGTGTACTGCATTTACGTGGCTATTGGCCAGAAGCGCTCAACTGTGGCGCAGCTGGTGAAGCTCTTCGGCCAGACGGGTGCGCTCAAGTACACCATCATTGTGTCGGCTACGGCATCGGATGCTGCGCCTCTGCAGTTCTTGGCACCATACTCGGGCTGTGCCATGGCCGAGTACTTCCGCGACAACGGCAAGCACGCTGTCATCATTTACGATGATCTGTCGAAGCAGTCGGTAGCTTATCGCCAGATGTCTTTGCTGTTGCGCCGCCCGCCCGGCCGTGAGGCTTTCCCCGGTGATGTGTTCTACCTGCACTCCCGCTTGTTGGAGCGTGCTGCCAAGATGTCGGCGGCCATGGGTGGAGGCTCGCTCACTGCTTTCCCTGTCATCGAGACGCAGGCCGGTAGGTTGTTGAGATCTTAGTGCAAGACACCGTGGCGCAGTAAAGAGTGCACTGCGATCAGCTGTGGAGTCTACACAAATATTGGGAAGCTTTAATCTGTAAAACAGATGCATAAGCGTGGGTGGCGGACGCATGACATGTGCTAAGGTAATACCCCTTTTTGTTGTAGGTGACGTGTCGGCGTACATCGCCACGAACGTGATTTCGATTACGGACGGTCAGATTTTCCTGGAGACTGAGCTGTTCTACAAGGGTATTCGTCCCGCGCTGAACGTCGGTCTGTCAGTGTCTCGTGTCGGCTCCGCTGCACAGTTCCCAGGCATGAAGCAGGTGGGCAAATGTTGGGAAGGCAGCTTGAGAGCCATCAAAGTTACGTGGCTCTTGAGCTTTGGCTTACATTGTACGCCAAATCCAGAGGCATAGTCGATTAAGGCAGTGGAAGATCGCTGGAGAAGCATACGCATTGTATAGGCACGCGTTGCACTGCCTCACGGTGCACAGATGGTGCACACAACATAATGGTGACTTGAGTTTCTTTCCTCTGCTAAAGAGTTGAGGTCGCTGTTTTCCGTTATTGCGTTAGGTCGCTGGTACGCTGAAGCTGGAGCTGGCCCAGTACCGTGAGGTGGCTGCTTTCGCCCAGTTCGGCTCGGACTTGGATGCCGCCACTCAATACGTGCTGGAGCGCGGTGCGCGCCTGACGGAGGTGCTGAAGCAGCGCCAGTTCAACCCAATGCCTATTGAACAGCAGGTACGATACCTTTGCTTAAGGACGGTTAATCGGATTGTTACCTGTCCCCGATGCATGCATCTTGTAGCTGTGACAACATTGTGTCTCAATGTGAACGCGAGTTTGCATGCGCCTAAGATTTCGGCGTGTTTCCTAGGTGCAGTTGTGGACCAGGTGCGCGTTTTTTTAGAATATTAATACTAATTGACTGCCTATTTCCTTCTTCAGACTGTGGTGGTGTACGCCGCCACCAAGGGCTACCTGGACAAGGTGCCGGTGTCGAAGGTCACAGCTAGCGAGGACGTAATCCTGAAGCACGTGGATCCCAAGATCTTCAAGGTCCTGAAGGCTAAGGGAAAGATTACCCCTGAGATTAATGCTCACCTCGCGCAGCAGATGGCCACCTTGCCACTGTAAACGGGGTAACATCGGGAAGCGGTTTGTCGCATTTGGGCTTTCTGTGCTACTAAGCGGTGGGTGGTGAGGTTTCTTCACGAGAACGTACCGTGGTGGTAAAAACCTCGAGAGAGTCTGGCGACAACTCAGCATGGAATTGAGACAATTCGTATTGGCATTGTGAAGTATAGAGCTCGGTTGCTTCGGACGCGTCCTGCTAATTCCGTCGCGGCTATCTTGCATGTGGATGGGGTAGTGCCTGCTTGGCGTGTCGTGGAGCGGACAGATAGCGCTTGCGTGGTGTCGCGTGCGCATTATCGGGAATGCACAGCCGAGTGCACAGCGAAGGTGGTTGTTCAGTTGGTATGCTTGATTTCGAGGTAGCCTAAGCTTGTTCATATGTAAGCAGATGTAAAAGGAAGGCTTAGCAGATACGTCAACTTACAGGGGGGATCTGGCTTCACAACTTGACTCAAGAAATTATCATATTAATTGTAATAGTCGGCAGCCACGATGGGCAAGGTGAACCTTGCCACACTGCAACCTGCCACACTGCAACCTTGAACCACCTTGCCACACTGCAACAACATGCGAATGCGCTGTAGGTTTTTTACGCGTGCCATATCTGTCGCTTTGTGCAGTAATCTTTGCGCAGAAGTCCTTTTTATAACTTTACATATCCATTACAGAATTTAGGGATTTAACCCTTCTTTTTATGCATTTTTGGGCGGGGCCCCGGCGCGAAGCGCCCAGGGGGGCCCCGACCTGTAGGATTGCCCATGTCCGTGTGTGTGTGTGTAACGGACCAAACATAATATTTCACCCGGCTGAAACGCGTTATCGGTACTATACAGCATTCTCTATTGCAAGGTATCTCGCATGTAGCTAACAAAGACCGTATGAGCACAAACAAGTTTAGCTGCCTCCATTCACCGACCTCAAAAGTCACATCAACGCCTCTCGCGCTAAATTTCATCCCGAAAGCTGCCGCGTATCTCATAATGGAATTCTGAGATGACGGCGTATGATAACTCGAACACCCAGCTTGTGTTACCATTTGCCGGCATGGGCAATTCGACTTGCCACCAGCAGGCCAACATAATTTGCTTTCATTTCTCTATGAAATAGACAAGCTGCTTGTTTGTACATTTACTTTGGCCAATGCACGGGGCCTCCGAAGAGTTGCACTCTGCCGCTCTTATCTGTTTAATTATTACAAAGCCATGCGGCAGTGGGGTGCTTTCCTGTAGCCGCTGGTGCTTCAAGACCTAAACAACACAGACAGCACCGGACTTCATATGTTAAGCAACGGCTCCGTTTGCGGTCTGCCGTACTGTCCATGCGGCATGCACCCGGATGTCGATGTGGCATGCACCCGGGATGGACGCAGGCGATGCTCACGAATCCGCCGGTGCCTGTGCGACGGAATAGTCCCGAAATCGCTCGAAATATATACATTCGTTACACAAACACTACCTCCCACCATGTTGACATTACCCATCAATTGTCACACTTGCCACCCTTGCTACCGGCCTGTACGGATGCAGAGGGGCCCCGCCCTTTTTCCGGCTTCCTTGAAGCCGACACCCAATCTTGTCCATAAATCCCTGAAGTCCTTTAGCAGCGGCCATCATCGCTGCAATCATTGAGATCTAGCCCGGCCCCTGTAGATCAATCGCCATTCCACCACTTCCTGATGATCCGATTCCTATCCGCCGCTCGACACTCCTTTCCCCATGCCGCCCAACCCGAACTCGCCACCTGCGACCGTGCCCGTCATACTGCTTCCCATGGGGGCCCCCGGCACCAGCATACCTGGCCCCACCCTTCCCATGCCTCCCACCTCCATCGCAACGCTTTTACCACCCGGCGGTCCCATCCCGCCAATGCTCATCAACCCAGGACCGCCTGCCATAAACTGGCTGTGGCCTGGTCCGCCGATATTCACTCCGCTGCGAGCAACGCCGTGGGCCATACCGACATTTGCCATGCCTGACATGTGCCCAGGCGCAATGCCCTGCATGACGGGCCCCGAGCCGGCCGCCGGTGGCAGGTACCCCATATCCTGAGGGCCTCCGGGACCTGCACCAACCAATTGACCAAAAAACGTGGGTTGCAGCTGTGGTGGTTGAAACTGCGGCTGATGCTGAGGCGGCATGAAGGCGCCACTGCCGCCGTTGCCGCAGTGCTGGGGGAGGGGCTGCCAAGGGGCCAGGCCCAGCTGCGGGAAGGGCTGCTGCGGTTGGAAACGCTGATGAGGCACGAGCAAGGGGGCCATCGGAAGCGACGGCGCCGCCTGAGGCGTCAGTGGTGCAGAGTTTGAAGATGTCAGTGAAGGCGGCGGATGGTGCAGTTGCCCCGCCGGCAGCGACTGTTGCAACAGGTGCTGCTGCTGCATACCCTGTCCTCGGGCCTGTTGCTGTGGTTGGGGCACCTGCCAGTGCCGCGGCGGCCACAGCTCGCCGTCCCATGACACAAGCGGGTGCTGCTGGGAGACCTGTGTGGATGGCTGCATGTGTGTCGCCGGTACCTGGTGCTGGGCCCCACAAAACTGCTGATGCTGTTGTGATGGTGGTTGTGGTTGCCATTGTTGCATCTGTGGCTGCTTTTGGGGCAGCGGCGGCACCAGTGGCGATTCATCAGGAGGCGGAGGCAGTGTGGGAGATGAACCCCGCAGTGAAGCTTGTGCCTCGATGCCGTCAGCATTGTTGAGCTGCTGCTCCTCAGGCAGAGGCGGCGGTGGTTGTGGGAACACTGGCCCGGCCGGAAGCGGTGGCGGTGGCGACACTTCCATGGTCTCGCCCCTATTGACTTCACCTCTACCGCGTCGTCCCCCGCTGCCACCGCCGTTGTGGACTAACCCTGATGCGACGGTGCCAGCCGCGGAACCAGATTCCGACGTTCGGTGGGCTGGGGCCGCCGCCGTCGCCGCTTCCTGTGATGGTAGCACTGGCGCCGTTCCACCAATGGGCGACACGGCGGCTGTGCCGTCGCCAGAACCTTCTGCGGTGCCGCTGCTATCTAGCTGGCGCTGTGGCATCTCCTGCTGCTGTTGCTGCAGCCCTTGAAGCCTTTGGCCTTCCTCCCCTTGCTGCCGCTGCACATGCTGCTGTTGCTGCTGCTGCTCCGGCAACGGTGGGGGAGGCCCCGGGAGGCCGGCAACCTTGGCCCCTACTTTAAGTCTCCACTCCAGCCATGTCCGCGCCTCCCGACGCTGCCGATTGACCGTTGTGAGCGCTGCGATGACGCCCAGAAGCGGGTACTGCACGTCGTCGAAGCCCTCCTCCAAATTAGGCAAGGTAAAGTCCGCTGCGCGGTCCCCCAGCACCAAGCGACATAATCCATATTTCAAGACAGTGGAGACAGCAAATGCCAGATGACGATAGCAGTGAACGGAAAGGCGGTGGCGACAGTGATAGCATAGGACGTCAATATTTTCAGTGGTTGGTAGTTGGTAGGTTTTGCAGGTGCTTGATTACGTGCACGTGGCAGACCTTGAAACGAAACATGTATCAACTAGCGCCAACCACCGGGAAATGGGTCCGGGTGGCGATGACAGTGAGGAAATGGCGCCTCCGCGTGCTCGCAGCTCTCTGCGAACCCACCCTTATTGAGTTCACGCCATCCTAGCACAGCCCCGCAGGTTCCCCCGGATCGGACAATTCCAAACCCACCTCGCAACACTGCCATGGCCTCATCAGGCACCACCTTGCCCTCGCGCTCGAACGCCTCCTTCTGCTGCGCGAGCAGTTTGTCCTCGGTTGACACGACCGCCACACTCGCGCAACGGAAGCCCGCGGCGCGAAAGGGCACCACTGCATTGCGCCGCGACTTGCTCGTCACACTGTTGGGGGGGGGGGGTGGAGGGGGAAATGACATGCAAACTTTCAAAGAAGCAGCTGCCGACGGAAGGGGCTTAAGGGAGGGTCCAGGCCCAGGCCCGAACACGTCAGTCCAAACAGCCCGGATACGGCTCTGATCCAGACATGACTGCGTCGTACATGCACGGGGAGAATGCCGCACGCGCGGCCGTACAGGCAAGTCAGGAAGCCATTAGAACACACGTTCCTTGGTCAGGAAGCATGCCACCGGACGACCCCCGAGGTACATGGAAAGGAAAATATTGAGAGATTGAATGAAGTCCATGTTGCCCGCCCTCCTTCTTTTGACTCCTCACGATTCATTTCCTTCCTCTCCCCTTTCCACCCGGCTGATATCTCCCCACCTCCTCCTCAAGCATACAGACATGTACGTATACTCACTGTGTTCTGTCAAGGATGTAGTTTCTGGGTGTTGCTGGCGCTCGCGCCTGGATGCGTGTCAGTGTGTCGGCCACCAAAGCGAACACCTCCTCGGGTTTACCCATGTAGTGGAAACGGCGAGTGCGGGGACAGGATAGCTGCCGACGCAGCAGCAGCAGCAGCAGCAGCAGCACCAACAGCAATAGCATCCGGAAAGGGAGGGGCGGAGAGGGACGGACACAAAGGCGTGGTGTGGATTGCGACGGCGAGGATGAAGGGGGGGTTGAGAAGGAGAGGGGAGGAAGTGAAACACATCATGCGAGAACGTAAAAGCATTCCCACCGCCGATATCCCATGAAGCCGCAAAGCAAAGAAATCAAAGCCACGAGACCACAAGGTGCGGTAGTCAGTCGTTCGGCTGAACCTGCTGAGCCCTTGTGCCTTCCCGTGTGTGTGTGTGTGTGTGCGTGTGCGCGCCCTCTCTGTCACACCTATACCCTCTCCCTCCCTCTTCACCCTCATCCCAGCCACTCTCACCCTCATCTGCTCTAGCACCAGCTGTGTCCCCAACACGCAGTACCTCCGAGCAGGGTGTGCGGCGCAATGCCGGGCTGCCCAGGTGGTCTTGCCGCTGCCGGGGAGGCCTGTGTGGAGGCTCCGTGTTCCAGACCGGCACCGGGGACCGACACGGGAATGAGGGAGGCGAATCCCGTGAGGGGCGGTGAGGGGCTCCGATGTCTCTTAAGGTGGGCTTAGGAAGCGATGGTGATGATGGATGAGGGAGGACCGCACTGAAGGCCGGGTCATGTTACTTTAAAAGGTTGGGTTGCTCTCCCTGGAGCTAGCACACTGACGCAGCAGGCACCCAGGCTGACTGGGTGGATCCGCGGCCTCGATGCTTCCCCACGCAAGCAACCCGACCCGGGCCCCTGACCCCACCACCAGCTCTGTTCCCAGCCCTCTACCAGAACCGTCACCAACGTTATATCACCGGGACTGGCCCCGTTGTGGCCCCTAAACTTCACCCATCCTCATCATCATTATGCACCGGCAATCAGCCAGGCCCCGCGACCTGCCAGTCGTCGAGACACCAAGAAAGTCGCGCACAGGGGCCCCCTCGAAAACATAGTACGTGCTGTCCTCACTCTTTCTCGTGCTCCCTGCGTTTTCATGCGGTACCTCTTAGCTTCATTCCCTTGCTGTCGAGCCCTTCGTTTTTGCCCTTTTCGGCTTAGTTATTTCTCCTACTTCCCTTCCCTTTATCCTTCAGATGTTTTTCCTCCGTACGGCATGCGGCAGTACGGCATTGCGACGTTTTCGCACGCTTCTGTGCGCATTTGCCATCACACTTCCTCCTTTAGGTTAGTCTTGTAGCCGTAGGTGCATATAGCCACGCCATGCCAAGACACGCACACATGGGACCTGCCTTCGCTTCTGCTTTTGGAAGTGCTAAACTCCTTTCCCCGCGTGCATTGGCCTTCGCGATGTCTACCGCTGCTACCACCCCCATACTTCGCTTCGCATAGGCAGCGTCGGTAGAGCCGCACCCCTTGCATTACGAAATCTCGGGACTTAATCGGGAACGAGAGCGCTTGCACGTCCCGCACTCATTTAGGGAAGCAGCGGCATTTTTTTGCCAGAAGCGAACGGTTTACACAACTCCTTTTCACGAGGTCACTACTACACACGTCTTCGGCAACAAGACCGTTTGATAAAGCGCTGGATATGATGCGCTGAGGACGACTGCCGCTGGTACACGACCCCCCCAAAACATGTTGGCGGTGATGTCGCCATCGTTTTGGACTCCTCTTCAGCAGTTTGCAACTTTGGACGTCAACCGGCAGTTGTTGTTTTCACTTCTCACTTGACTTGACTTGACTTGGCATTTCCCCCCCCTCTCCAAGCACACTTGCGTACAGTGCAGCTGTATCGCCAAGGACCACTGAATGACAGGACGGGGATTTTTTCAATCACCGCGCCCTTCCCCTACCCCCCGCTTCATTGCGCTACCACAGCTCCTTTGCACCTCCGGGGACCGCCCACCCGGTTTGTGCTTCCCATGCCCCCACCCAAACCGTTCGGTTCACGGGCACCACAGAGGGCAGTGTCCGGGGTTCGGGGTGCCGTGGCGCTCTTCCCGGTAGGGTAGGGTAGCCCCAACCCACCCGGGTCGTCTACTACCGGTTTAGTGTAGGCAGGTTCAAAGTTCCCCCTCCATTCCCCCACTCGGACTCCGACAGTTGGTGCTCTGGAAGTCGGGAGATTTTTCCTTCTTGACTTGCGCACGTGTGCAGCTGTGCACGTGTCATATACCTCTGAATAGAGTTGCGTTACTCTCCAAAGGTGCAACGCGCCCACCCTTTCCCCCTCCCTTACCCCCTCCCCTACAGACCGGTGAGCACCAGCACCTCGCACTTGGAGGCAGGTGGCAGCTGTCCGGGCGGCGGCATGGTGCTGACGCAGTCGGCGGTCACAATGGTGGCCTCCTAACGTAGCCGGGTGGGCGGTTGGGGAGGGCGGGTGGGGATTGAGCCCTGGGGCAGGACCTCGTGACTTCTATTGGGGAGGGGGGTGGATGGGGTTGCTGTCATGGTCGTTGGCGCATGCATACATATACATATACATACGTGCCACATATTGTTTTATTTTTACCGGCCGGGGTTAAAGTTCGCTGGTCTACCAAAACACTCATGCCTATTAACAGCCACGCCCAAACGCCTGGCCCTTCGCTTCCCCTCCCTCCCGCTGTTGCGTTCTGCCTCCCTGAGTCGCGGAGGCGTTAACTGTCCTTAAAAGACCCTCCAATCTGCAACACACACAGACACACAGACACACACACACACCTGCCACGGCCGGAAGCCTCGCTCCAGCAGCCCCGCCGGCAGTTCGTGATGCCGCTGGGGTTGCGGCTGCTGCTGCCGCTGTCGTTGCAATTCCTTGGTTCCCTGCGGCTCCGGACTCTGCGTGCCCACGAAATCCGCTGTCGCGGACAGGTTCCGGAGCAGGATGTGCGGAAAGTACGCCTGCAGGGCGGGGCGGGGTGAGGCAGGGCAGGGCAGGATAGGCGAGAATTAGGGGAAGATAGCGGCGTCCGCTTTCCGTCGCTGCCGTGTGCATAAACACATGAGAATTTAATGTCGCGGCGTGCGAGCGTGCAGAGGAAATCGCCTAGATGGTTCCGGAGCCTGAACCCCGGAGTCCCGCAGTCCCTTGCGGCGCCCCGGCCCCCATAACACGTGCGCCGGACGTTTTCTTACGCTACTCTTAGCATCTACACACATACATACATACACACACCTGCATGGGTTGGTTGGGCAGCGGCAGAGAGAACAGCCGCACCAGCTTCCCACCGTTGACCGCCACCCACAAGCTACCCTGGGGCCCTTCACCGGCGTTTGCGTCAGCTGCGGCCGCCGCCTCCGCCACCGCCGACGGCGCTGGATCCGCAGTATTCGCCGCCGCTGCTGCCTGCCTGCCCCCTGGAGCCGGCGCCGTCGCCAGGTCGAGCGCGAGGGTAATCGTATCTCCTGGAACAACTCGCGGACCGACGGCCTCCTCGAAGACCGGGTACCCGCCGCCGCCATCACCGCCGCCATCGCCACCGCTGCCGTTGGTGGGAGCTCCTGGGAAAGAGGCCCTGCTGCCGGTGCTGCAATAGGCCCAGGAGTAGGGCACCTGGCAAAGGCCAAGGTGGTGGTGGTGGTGATGGTGGCGTGGGGCGCAAGGAATTTAGCAATACACCGGATTACAGGGCTTGTACGGCGGAAGGTTTCTCGAGGCGTATATTGCCGGGGGAACGAAGGGCTCTGGTCCTCTTCTGCCGCCATAATGCTACTTTATATTTAATGCGGTTTAGTGTCCGTTTGATTTGGGTCAGTTTTGGGTGTGGGGTGATGTTTGGAGCCCCTTTCTTCACTCAGCTACTGCAGCCCTCGACAGGTTAAGAGGGCCTGCAGGGCCGACGGAAGCCCAATAGGGTAGCAGCGTGCTGCGCGGCGCTCGGAATGGATGCGACATATGTGCTTGTCCCGATGATGTGTGATAGATGATCGGGGAATAGTCCTCGAGACAGCAAAAAGACTTTCAGTAACCTCTCACCCTCCCTGGTGGCTTAAAGCTTTTTTAAACCAATAATTTATGGTGGAACGTTTTTGGTTTCCCCTTTGGTTCCCCTTCGGTTGTATGTCCCTTTTCACCGCTGTCATCATTATAAGGGGCTGTAGGGCAGCTTCACGATTTCCATCATCGTTTCAGGTCAACTCAAGCAAAAGTGCTCCAACCAAAACCCCCCCGATAGAACAACGCCGGGCCCCCCCCCGATACCCGCAATACATACATCATGTCGTTGTCTCGGTGCACCCCTGACCCCTGGCCACGGGTTTGGAAGGTCGTCCACGGCGCACACCGCAGTCAGTCCCCCGTCCCAATGGGGAGCGGCGGCCCCCGCCCCCGGCCCCAGAGAGACACCCAAATGGCGACATGCAAGCAGTTACAGCCACCGCCACCGCCACCGCGCACCCCTGACAGTACGCCTCCTGGTTGTTCGTGATCGCGTTCGAGTCGTATCTGGGTCGTTTTTTTGTTTATCCGTTGTTAAACCCGGAGGGAGTACACCGCACCTCGCCCAGCTGCTCCACGGCTGTCTGGAAGCGCGAAACGCCCACTCGGATGCCGTACGCTGTGGACAGCGCTGCCGTGTTGTGTACGTTGACCGGCCGGGGGGCTCCGACTGTGACCCTGAAGAAGAATTTGCCTGTCGAGAGGTGGATTTGGAGGGAGGAGGGGAGAAGGAAAGAAAGAGGCCGGGTGGGGGATTTCATTCATTCAACGGAGGGCGAGGGGTGGGATTTAAGGAAGCAGGGTTCGAGTAGAGAGGACCCGGAGAGATATGGACAGGGTGAGATCAGGAAATAGTTATTTTTGGAAGCGAGGCACGAAGAAAGCCCCAGGAATGTGTCGCAAGATACTTGGGACCGCCGAATGAAAGGGGAGGAGGGAGAGCTGGTCGAGTATTGCGGATACAGCCATCAGCTTTTTGGGAGCAAGGCCGCCAGCAAAGTTGATGGCTCTAGCAATAGGTCCGTCCGGCAGATGAAGGGGTGGGGCCGCTGCGTGCAGCAGGGAGAGCGGACCAGGCCTACCTCTCGCGAAGATGCCGAGGTTTGCCCGCACTCCAGACCAGCAGTAGCCGCAACCAGCCTCCGAAAGCGTGTGTGCGGACAGGCGATCGCTGCTCAGAATCGTGTCCAAGTTGCAGTCCAAAGGATTGAGCGAGACGCTGTATAGGAAGGGCGTCGCCGCACCATCGGTGGTCATTTTTGCGAAGGCAAACAGCAGCCGCCCCCCCAAAGGTGCGTAATATGAGTGCTGTTCAAAGGAGGAAACGCTTAGGTTTCATTGTTAAAGCGACGCGTGTCACCATCACTTGCAAGCCCCCTGATGCCCTCATCGCTCAAAGCACAGCACGCGCGCCATTTCCGTATTTCTGACGGCAAGCCCTAGCCTCAGGGTCTCAGCCCTCGTAAGTAATTTTCCCTATTCGTATTCACTTGATATTTAATACGCATGAAGGTTGCTTTGAGCACCGTGCGCTGCGCAACTTATCGATGTTATTCTTTTACGCTGCCGGGTTGGTTGGAGGCCACCTCTTTAGGTGCGATGTTGCTGGAGCCTTTGACCCTCAGCTCACTGGACATTACCCTTGGCCCGGATTGCGGGATTGCTTGGGGTGTTCGGACGTCCCGGAAAGCCTCTTGCCGAAGAACTCCGTGCCTGTCCCATCATTTCAGCCTCAGGTGCTCTTACATCAGCACAGGACTTGGACACCAGCGAAAAAGGTTTCGGTCACCCGCCGATTCCCGGCCGCGCACGAGCCCCTGACAAATGCATCTTCGCCGCCTATGACGGGGTGACAAACGATCACCGGGAACCATCCCTCAACTGTACTGAGCGGAAGAGCGGCAGCTGCTGTCACTCCGTTGGCCGCGGCAACGGTATTGATGGTCGAGTGGTCAGCAGCTCCAAATCTGTCGCACGTCGTTTCAGCACAACCAGGAAATGGGTCGGCAGCCTTGGCGCCAGTACCGCCACCGCCGCAGCTACCGCCACCTTCTCCACTCAATCCAGACCCAACGCAGACGCCGCCAATGCCACAGAGAAGCAGCAGCAACGGACGCCCCCTGCGGCTCAGCCGTCGCCACCACCACTGCCGCAGCGCCCCTCTGCCGCCGATCTACTGGGCCCTATACTGAAGGATAAGCCGTTCACAGTTGCACAGGTCAGTGTCGTACTTCATGCCGTGACACATCTAGAAAGCAGTAGTTACGTATGCGCCATACCGAGTACAACTCGCGAAAGTCTTGAAACCTGTGGAGCCGTACGGTATGTGTGCACAAGCCGGCCTATGAGCCCCTGTGCTGCGTGCCACCGTACATCTCCTCAGACCTCCCTATTCCCCGCCTCCTTCCATCACCTCGTTCCAGGAAACCGCCACACTCGGAATTCAAACGAATCCCCAAGTGCACAGGATCCAATGCCCCCCGTACATTCCTTACTGCCCTCTTAACTTTACCCCTCCCGCCGCTGCTGTGGACTCCTATGGCAGTTGGCGCTTTCGACGTAACGAACTGTCTTTGACTTCCGCTCATATGAACTCCACCCTCCCTCCCGCCCTCACCCACCTGCTGTCCTGAACCTCATTTCCCCCCGCCTGCTCACCCGCAACCGAGTGGCGCTCGGGGCCACGTCGGAGTACGTTCGCTCGCTGTCTAGTCTTTCCCCTTAGCCCGGCTCCGTCCCGTCCCGTACCGCATCCGACTCTGTGCTGCCTTTTTCCGCCTGATCCCTGACCCGCCCACTCCTTAACCCACCCCATCCCTCCCTCCACTTCCACTTCCACTTCCTGGCCGCGACTTGCTGCTCATCAGCTGCCTGGTCGAGGTCGTGGTCTGGTGGCTGTTGGGTCCATCCCCCGGGGCCAGGTGGTGCACCGGGAGGTGCCTCTGGTGGCCTTTCCGGAGCTGGGGGCCACACACGGGGTGAGGGAGCGGGTGGAGTGCGGGAGCATCGCAGGGGGGAGGGGGGGAAGACGAACCACGAACGAGTGAAGCTGCTGCCAGGGCAAGAGTGTACCAGACGTAGAACTGACTAAAAGGCGTTCCCGAAATGGGGGAGGGGGGAATCATGTGCAGATGCCCCTTGCTCCCTTGAGACATCCGCAGCTGACCCTTCGCCGCTACTCCGTACTACCGTATGATTTCCCCATCAGCAGCTATGATTTCCCCGCAGCTTCAATCGTGTGTGGTTCGTCTTTCCCCATCCCCCCAGGTTTGCTACCACTGCCTGGCCCCGCTGACCTCCAGCACCACCACCACTAGTCCGGTGCGCCACTCCGGACCCAACCGCCGCCGCTTCTGCTGCGACAGCTGCATGAACACAGCCCGGACGCAGTACCTGGACGTGGAGGAAGCAGTGGCAGCGGCAGCAGCAGCAGCCGCAACCCAGGGCAGCGGAGGAAAAGGAGGAGGAGGGCAAGGAGGGCCCCTGGCGCAGCTGTACGAGCAGTGCCGACAACACGGCGAGCGGTTCCCGCTGATGGCAGCCCGGCTGGCATTTATGGAGGTTTCGGAGGCGATGCGGCAGTGCCTGGAAGGGCTGAGGACGCAGACAAGGAGGAAGAAGACGTTGGTTTCGGAGCAACAGCTCGATGGACGCGGCGATGTTTGCGTCGGAGTGGGACACGTCTTAGCCAAGTCCCCTCGCGGATCCGGCAACGATTCTGCTGCTGCTGCTGCTGCTGCTGCTGCTGCTGCTGCTGCTGCTGCTGCTTTTCCTTCTCCGGCCATCACGGATTGTAGTGGTGGTGGTGGTGGTGGTGATGATGCTCATGTCCGGAAAGCTCAATTTAGTGACACCAGGACGGCTGCGGCTGCTGCTGCTACTACTGCTACTGCTACTGCCGCCGCTGCCGTAGCCCGCGGTGACCCCCTGAGCAGCCTTCACGTACTGTGTTTCGCCAACGTGGCGCCGCCATACCCGGATCCCTGGGTTGAGCAGTACGGCCTGCTGGCGGCAGCATTTCGCGCGCTGGCTGCTGACCTGGCGGCGCTCCGAAACCTAGCAGCGACGATGGTTATGGCAGCGGCGTCAAGGTCTCAGCAGAAAGGAGCCGTTACGGACATGGACATGCGCATGGAAGCCGAGTTGGATCCTGATTCGGTGTTGGATTCCTTGTCTGGGGTCGTGAATAAGGCGGTTACGGAGCGAGTGAACGTGGAGTGGTTTGTTGGGGTGATGGCCCGACTGCATCTCAACGTCTTCCAGGTGGGTGCAGTGCTGCAGGGGGTGCAGTGGTGGTGGTGGTGGTGGTGGTGGTGGTGGTGGGGTGCAGCTGGGTGATCAGGGTGCCAGATGGCGTTCCTCCGCAGGGCCAGCCGCGCCAGGTGGACGTCGTGCCGCAACCCTGCCGAGATGGGTCGGGTCGTAGAGCAGATCGAAGAGCAGATATTTTAACCCTCCCCTTACTCGCTCACTCACTCAATCATCCACTCACGTATTCTCCTCGTCACCCTAACCTTCACCTAATCACCTAATCCTGATTGCGTCTTCATTTCCCCACTCCATTCCTCCTCCTGCTCCTCCTCCACCGATGTACATACAAACAGGTGCACAACCCGCTGGCAGGGGCCGACCCCGCAGACCTGGCGGCCGCCGCCGCCGCTCTCGTGTCAGGCAGCGCCGGCGGCGCCAGCAGCGGCAGCGCCGTCTACCTTGTCGCCTCTCTCTTCAACCACTCTTGTGAACCCACCCTGGAGCTGTCCTTCCCCGATCTGGACGCAGCCGCCTGCTTCGTAGCCGCACGCGACATCGCGCCCGGGGAGGAACTCTGCGTGTCGTACCTGGACGTCGGCTTGCCGTACAATGTACGGCAGCGGCATTTGAAATGGTCATACGGGTTCGTGTGCGGGTGCGCGCGGTGTCAGGAGGAGGAAGCTGCGGCGGAGGGTCAGGCGGAGAGGTGATGGCGGCTGATGGCTGAGGCGCAGTCGACAGAGGGGGCGAATGCACTGAGGCAGAGGCGGCAGAGGCGGACTGCTAGGGGAGGGGAGGAGCGGAATAGGTCATTCGGCTAGGTGGGTCTCGCGACTTAGTTTAGTACGGGGCCCCGCAATCACAGCCAAAGGTTGGCAGGGGGGTGGAAAGGCGCTGTCGGTTCGGTGACTGGGTTGCGTGATGTTGGCTGGGCTGTTTGCGGCTTGGGACGCAGGAATTGCCATTGCAGGCTAGAAGTAAAATCAGGAGTAGCGGAAGTAGGAGTGGTGTGTTGGGCCGTTCGTCGTGACGTACGTGTCCGGGGTGCGGTTGCACAGGTATATGTGCTGTGTGTCTTTTACACTTCGGTTGCGTTAAAGAGGTGTAACGAGTGCCCATACGAGCCAAATTGAGGCACAAGAGAGGGTGGTGGATGATTGCAAAACACACCACTATCCCCCATAGATAGAGCACACACACACACATACCACACACATACACACAACCACACATGGACGGACGTCCGGCATGGGGGATCTTGGACCGCAGTACGTACGTTACATAGGACATGCATGTCATAATGTTGCGCTCGTCGCGACATCTTCTGCCTCGTTGAAGCTGCATGGATGGCAGTTCCAAACACGCCTCTGCACTTTGGACCCGGTGGCTTGGGAAAAAAGAATTAGGGGTCCGTTTACAGGCCGGGCGCGAGCGTCATTGTGGACATTGGCTGTGCTGTTGCGCTTTCCGGCAGTGATTCGTAGCAACGGACGCATTTAGTCAGGGACTCCGGTGCGATTGCAATCGCGCTTTCGCTAAAAATGCCTAAAAATCAATAACAACCGACCCATGGGTCCCTACCTGCCGGCGAACCTGCAGGGAACACCCTGAATTAAAGGGGGTGCTTAGCCTCGCAGTCCACACGTCCTATGCTCTTACTGTCTTTCCTTCGCGGCTCAGTTTTGGCATGCGGAATGTGATTTGACGCATCAGGTCGCCATCATCATCGCCACAGCATCATCATCATCACCATCGTCGTGCGTCATCAGTCACCCTCCGGGATAAAGTCAGGCGCGAGTCGGGATTGTGGGTTGGATGGGTGCCGCGTGGCGCATCGCGTAAGACGTGGAAACTTCAGATCTGGTGGGGTACGGAACTTCGGAGGGCTTTAAAGTACCTACTGTAGAGATATATCCAGCCCGTTAAGAACTCTGAAAACGCGAACCAGAAAGAAAAAGCTTAGCAAACAAAAGAAGCAGCATCTGCGTCCTCCGACGAGGCTCTCTCTCCGGAACACCTTTCCATCCGACACCACCGCAGCCTCCGACATCGCGGAGCAACAGGTGATAGCTGCCATATTATCTGCAACTGTATCCCTTCAACTGGCCTCCGTCTCTTTTCAAGGATGGAAGTCATATCGCAGGCACTACGAACGTTGAGTCGTCACCCGGACCAGTCAAGGTCAATCAAGCAAAGTGGCCTCCAGCCACTTACCACCAGCGCCTTCTCACAACTACGACACCTGAACCCCCGACACCTTTGTAGCAAATCCCACCGACCGCCGCCTTCCATCACCGCTGAACAATGCGCAACTGTCTGTCCCTCGCTCGAGGCTGCTGCGCCCTTAACTCAAGCCGCGCCCGCGTCACAGCCGCGGCCGCGGCGCCGCCGCGCGGCCTCAGCTCCCTTCTCCCCCGCCGAATAACCTCCTCGCCTACCGGCGCCGCCCCCGCCTCCGCGGCCTCTTCCTGCGCGCCTTCTTCTCATCGTCTGCCGCCCCTGGGCCACTTCACACGTGTCGATCACCGTCGCGGCGGAGTGGTCGCGTTCAGTAGCCACTCCAAGGAGGAACTGGAGGCGGTGGCGAGGGAGAAGTACGGCAAGCCGTACGATACGCTGAGTACGGATGAGAAGAAGGCCGTGGGCGGCGTGATTGGTGGCCGTGTCAGGTGTGCGGTTCTGGGGAGGTGGGGTGTGGTTCTGGTGTGTGTGTTTGTGTGTATGTGTGTGCGTTGGAAACTTGGGACGTCGTGTGGGCGGTGCATGAGAGCAGAGAGACAGAGAGCAGTCGCTCCCCCCCGAGCTGCAGCCGGTGCCTTGGGCGCTGGTGCAGCTGTTTGTCCGACTGTCGCGTCATGGGGTCGGGTCATTCCCTCCTTACTGCCCCGATAACCGCTCGTGTGTGTGTGTGTGTGTGTGTGTTGTGTTACCCGCCTCCCCTCTTCCCCTTCTCAGGAGCTCCCAGCTGGGTCACGAGGGCTACCAGGTTAGTTAGTTAGTTAGTACGGCACCATGACAGTCAAAGAAGTGGGAAGCCCCAGGAGTGTCAGTTAGATGACTGTGTACTATGATGGTGTGGTGCGCTGCTGTTGTGCTCGAAATAGAAAGGACAAGACGCTCCGGGCGCCAAGGCCGACGCGCTCCCGCGCCCAAATGGTACACCGCTGTGTCATCATGTGTTCATGTGTTTCGACTGCACTGCCTCGTGATGTGGTTGTGAGGGAGGGGAGAGGAGGGGAGAGGAGAGGAGAGGAGGGGAGGGGCCCTGGGTTGTCTTCAGGATGCGTGCCGACGTCGTCCTGGGGAAGGGGGGAAGAGGGGATGTCCAATCTCCATCCCAACAAAAGAGATGTGTGCTAGTCTCTCTAAAAGCTTATAACGTATTTTATCTCGCGGGGGACGTTTCCCGGGGACTGCTCGTCCGCCTCGGTGTGGCTAGGGCGTATGCATTCTTCAGGGAAAGAGAGTCATGCGGCCGTTTTGCCGTTGGTATTCGTGCGCGTGCCTATTCGCCTTCCTCCGTCCCTCTTCCCTCTCCCTCCCCCCTCCTTTCATCAGCATCAGCATCCTCGCTTGTGGTTCGTCTTTCCCCCCCTTCCCTTCATTTCTGGTACATCAGTTTTTTCTTGGCATCACCTCCCCCCCTCCCCCGTTCCTTTCAGGAGTTGGGCCACCTAGGTGGTGAGGCGCGTAAGGAGCAGCTGAGCCACGAGGGGTACCAGGTGGGGGAGGCGGGGGAGGCAGCGGTGTGTGTGTGTGTGGGGGGGGGGGGTTGCGTGGAGGAGAAAGGGTGATTACGGGCGGGAGTAATGGCACCCGTATTGGCGGTTGACAGTAGGATGTGCCCCAGCATCACTTGTACGACACAGCTGCCCATTTGTCCCGTACCAACTCTACCAATGTCCTGCCGCGCGCTTGCCGTTTTAAGCAAGCCATTTGGGGATCAGGCCTTTCACATCACCTTTTCTTACCGCTCGAGAGCCTCCACCCGATCCCGAGGTCGCCCCATTCAAGAACGCCTTTCGGTCAGTTCTACGTCTGGTACACTCTTGCACCCTGGCAGCAGCTTCACTCGTTCACGTGGTTCGTCTTTCCCGCCCCCTCCACCACTACTTCTTCACACTCTGTCGCGCCACATCACATCACATCACATCACATCACATAGCGTACCTTGCCGCCCTTTGCCAAACCCAAAAATCTGGTTGAAGCGTCTTCCTTCCTTCCGTCCTTCCTTCCCCCCGCTACCTGGATCTGGCCTCAACTCAAACTTGAGTTTGAGGTCCACTTCATGGCCTTCACCCCTCGCTTGCCATGCGATGACCTTTTGCCCCTGACGTTCCCATTTCCCCCTGTCGCTGCAACTCTCCAGACACCTCCCCTCCCCCCCCTGCCTGTCTGCATGCACAAACAGGGCACATCATGTCAGCAGCACCCTCTACGTCGTCCCTCCCTCCCTCCCTCCCTCCCTACCGCCGCCTTTCAGATCTTTGGGCAGCCGGTGCACAGCATCGTTGCCATCCCCCCCTCCCCACACTCCCTGCTCTCTTCGACGACACATCTGCCAATATCAACAACATGCCCGGGACAACAGGAACGTCATCGCGGACTCCCAACCGGCACTTTTACCCCATGGATCCGTTGAGGCTGCAACTACCTACCTTGTATGAAACATCGTTGCCACACACCCCCTTTGCCGTCCCCACTCCACTTGCCAATCCTTTACGATAGTGAAATCACGGCGTTTCGGCATGCGGTGCAGTTCGGTTTGGTTCCGTTGACTTGCCCGCTTACCCTCTTTTCTGCCACCCTTAGGCGCTACGGGGCGGCATGCAGGTGCCCCGAAGTGCGCGCGGGCTGGTGGGGCCCACCACCTGCCGTACGCACATGTTTTGTCGATGCTGCAGTCGTACGACGCGACACTCATTCCCTTCACCCGGTCTCGGCCGAACTTCATTGTTTTGCATTTCTTTCGTTTCCTTCCTTTCCATGCACTCTTTGACATACTTCTACGATGCTTACCCTTCTTCCTCCTCGCTCCGGGAATCGTGTTCTTAATCCTTGTACGACCGTGCCTGCCTTGTCGTTCGGCTTCCCATTTAAGGCTTCTTCTTTTTCTCCTATACTCACCAAACTAAATTATAGCTTTTTCCATTCAGCAGCGCTTTGCATTCCTTCCAGGGGAAGCCCTGTTCGTTTTCTTGCTGCTCACAAACCATTTTCCTTTTTTTCGAATGCTCTCTACCCGCTGCCGCTGCCCGTTGCCCGTTGCCTCTGCTCTTGCTTGTGCCGCCCGGACAGGTGAGTCCTTGCGGTTCCGAGCTTAGTCGTTGGTCGAGCCAGGATTGTGTTAGCTGGGGGGGGAATGGGAGTCGGCGCCGACTGTCCGATTACATCAACACTACACTTATCGATACCCTTCCTCCTTTGCCGCCTGTAAAACGTGTACACGTCACCTCTACGGCTTCCGTTCTTTTTCCCTGCTTTTACAAGGTTTAGGTAGTTCTTCGGCGTTTTTCGCCTTCTGCCTTCTTTTTGACTTTGAACTTGCCAGCTAGTCATTCGTCTCGCAACCCAGCTATGGCCACGTGGCCGCCAAGATTACGCAGATGACATCACTGGTCGGCAAATTTTTCCTGTGAGCATCTATCTACTCCTGGACTATCCGTCTTTGGTATCTGCACCATTCGCCAACGGCTCGTCTTTCCCCCCCTTCCCTTCACTTCTGCAACATCAGGTTTTTCTTGGCATCACCTCCCCCCGCCGTTCCCTCCTCCCTCCCCGCCGTTCTTTTCAGGAGCTGGGGCACCTAGGTGGTGAGGCGCGTAAGGAGCAGCTGAGCCACGAGGGGTACCAGGTGGGGGAGGCGGGGGAGGCAGCGGTGTGTGTGTGGGGGGGGGGGTTGAGGGGGGGGCCGTGGAGGAGAGGGTGATTACGGGCGGGAGTAATGGCAGATGTCCTGGCGCCTTACAGTGGATGTGGTGGGCTTGTGCCCCGCACCCCCTCCCTAGTCCTGCTGCTGCTGTTGTTTTGTTTCCTGAAACTCCGCAGTACATGAATATTGCTTTGGTTGCCATACTGGTCTAGCCGTAATGATAATGCCGCTGGTGCCGCACGGCGGCGTCGCCGGTCTACACTTCCCCTTGGTGCGATCGATGCGACAGGAGACGGGCCACAAGGGCGGTGCGGCACGAGGAGAGGGTGCCGCTCGTCAGGAGGAGCGGCCGGAGGAGGTAAGGAGAGGAGGACGACGGGTTGGGAAGTGGTTGGGGTTAGGCAATAGGTAATAGCAGCGGCCCGCTGTGAAAACGGGGACGCAGATGGCTCAACAGGTTGGGACGAGGACATGCGTTAATCATTCTTGCTTCCTGGCCAAAAATCTTATCTTCCTCCGGTATAACACGGGAGTCGCTAAGAATTGCCTGTTATTTAATTGATCTTGCTTCTGGATTTCACTCTATATGGAAGCTGGGCAAAGAGATCACCTGTACATCGATGGGGGACCCTGGGTGATCTGTTCGTATGAACTTCAGGAATTCGTTTTATAAGGAGAGGAGGGGTGTTTGTCAGATCCTCGCGTGGCATGTGTCTCTCAACGGCATGGTTGTTCTTGTGATCGATTTGCAGGAGAACCACCACAGGCGTGGTCGCCCGCGGAAGCACCCTCACGAGGAGCAGTAGGCGGGTTGTAGTCAGGAGTTTGCTCAGGACTGAACTGATGATATTTGGTATTATAGAAGTTTGAAGTTCTAGCCTCTCGGTCGCAAACGGCGTTCGGCGGATAGCGGCCGCTGACTCGTACGCGTGGTGGTTGATGCCGTTGATCAAACAACACCCCGGTTGCAGAGTTTTGTGTTCTTGCTGTTCAAATCGACGGCGTCAGGGGAGTTGTCGTGCTTGATGGAAATTCGTTTTATTAGCGCAAAATGTTTTGATTGTCGGTGGCCCCAAGGCAAGCCCTTCAAGTTGTAAAACTTTGCTTGAGCAATCAATTTACAGCCATGGCTGCCGCAGCAGCTCGGACTGGTTATCTTTTTCACGAAACATACTTCTGGCACAACGCTGGGCATGTGCAGTCGTTCGACAAGCACATTGAAGCGTGGCGACACTGGGAGAACCCGGAAACGAAACGCCGGTGAGCGATTCATTGGACTGGCCATAAAAAGGAAACTGCATGTATAATAACTGGAATGCATAAGCGAAGCAAATTAGTGACATCGAGGGAGGATCTCTTTCAGGTTTCATAACCTTGTGGCAGTAAGCGGGTTGCTGGACAACCTCAAACATTTAAAGCCTCGACCAGCAACTGATGAGGAGCTTGCTAGGTGAGTATGGGCCAAACCATTTAAGACCCGCTCTCTTTCACCTCTGAACACAACTCCGCGCTCATTTCCCCTTGGGATCAGATATATTTACCATGGCTTCCATCCACCTAACCCAAATTGTACTCTTTCTGTTACAGAGTCCACTGCCCTGACTACATCCGGCGGGTGCGGGAGATGTCAGCGGACGACACTAAGGGCCACCACACAGCCGGCGACGTCGCCACGTGAGCTTACTAAGTTGATTCAATTGAGGTGACTGAGGCTGCTGCTGGGGCCCTGCGGCCGCACAGCTGCGGAAGGCAGTGGGGAGATGGATGGATCTCGAAATGCGTGCGGGAGAGAAAACGAACTTCGGCTTTTGGTTTCAACGCGGGGAAACCCACCGGATATGTGACGACAAGACATCCCCCCCACGCACATACACAAACCCACCCACCCGCCCACCCACCCATCTAATCGCAGGTTCTCCCCGGGCGGCTACCGCATCGCTGCCCTTGCAGCCGGTGGCGCCATAGAGGCCGTTGAGGCGGTGTTGCGGGGGGAGGTCCGCAACGCGTACGCCCTGGTACGACCGCCGGGTGAGAGGGGCTCCGCCACCCAAACCACATTCCCATCCTCCCTCGCATCACCCTTACAGGTGCTCCTCACGTTCCCCCTCTTTCCTTGGCAGCAGCTTCACTCGCCCGTGGTCGTCTTTTCCCCCTCTTTGCACACCCCACCCACTCCCCGCAGGCCACCATGCGGAACGCGACCAGGGCATGGGCTTTTGCATCTTCAACAACGTGGCGGTGGCTGCGGCCCATGCGTTGTCCGTCAGGGGGCTGCGGAGGGTGGCAATAGTGGACTTCGACGTGCACCATGGCAACGGTACGCAGCACATGTTCGAGAGCGACCCGCGGGTCATGTTCATCAGCTTGCACCAGGACTCCAACTACCCTCTGAGATCGGGGTGAGGGAGGGGGAGGGGGAATTCATATGTGAAAAACTGAGGTGGTGCGAGGGAGAAGGGGAGTCTGGGAGGGGGAGGGGGAGGAGCAGAAATGAGGATGTACGGAAACCGGGAGGGCTCAAACGGGGCGGGCGAAACACGTCAATCAGTTAGAACTTCATGGCATTGGGTGTAGAAAAAAAGATGTTGTTGGCTGTTGGGCTTCCAATGGTGCGTATCCTTGCCAGCGAACATACCTCTCCGCTGCTGCTGCTGCTGCTCCCTACAATCTGAATACCACTTCTCTCGCTGCCCATCCACCCTTTGCTTTGTCCTCCCTTTCGGCCCCCCTGCTCTCGCGGCATGTACCTCCCGGCAGCTATCCCGTGCCTAGCACCCGCACACCAGGCTGGCAGGCCGCCTGCCTGGCCTTCGTGAATGAATGGGTGAATAAGTGTGCGGCCGGTATGCGGGTGTGTGTTCGCACATGTCCATGCCCGTGTGTGTTTGTTCCCGTGTGTACGTGTGTATGTCTATATGTTTGCGTCCCTCCAACCCTCCCTCCCTCCCCGCGTTCGCAGCTACATGACGGAGAATGGTGTGGGGCAGGGCGAGGGCACCACCCTCAACGTGCCGCTGCCCCCCGGCTCCGGCTCGGGGGCCTACCAGGCCGCATTCACCCGCCTCGTGAGACCTGCCCTGGAGATATTCAAGCCCGAGCTGCTGCTCGTGTCAGCAGGGTACGACGCGTCGTACATGGACAACCTGGCGGCCATGATCTTGTCCAGTGCGGACTTTGGGTGGGTTGACTTGTGTTGACCTGGGAAGGGGATGGGGCCGGGAGAAAGGGACTGACTTGGAGCACAAGTCAAAGACGCAACTGCCCACGTCCTAAGCACCATTTGTTGGGCGAGGGTGAGAGGGCGGGAGGGAGGGAGGCACGAATGATGGGAGCGTGCGATGGGGTTTTAGAGCAGATGGGAGGGTGGAGGGCAGGAAGGGGGTCCAAAGGTGTTTGTAATGTCGCAGGAGGCATGACCTTGTGGGGCCTGGGTGGGGATGATTGCATGTCAGCACGTGTGAGCTACGAGTCCGGCGAGCACGGCCCCCAGTCCCCCTTCCTCCTGTCCCCCCCAATGCCAATGCCAATGCCAATGCCAATGCAGGTGGATGATGCGGCAGCTGGTGGAGGCCGCCGAGTCCCTGTGCGGGGGCCGTCTGGTGGCCCTCCACGAGGGCGGCTACAGCGAGCTGTACGTGCCCTTCTGCGGACTGGCGGCGCTGGAGGCCTTGAGCGGGGAGAAGACGGAGGTGCAGGTGTGTTTGCACGTATGTATGTATATATTCTTTCTATGAGTGTGAGAGAGAGGGGGTGAATTGTGGGCAGTTGCATCATCGCTCTGGACTCCGAGCATCGGTGATGTAAATGACCCCTTGCTTTTTGACCATAATTTTCTCCCTCCCCCTCCCTGCCCCTCCCCCCCCCCCCTCCCCCTCCCTCTGCATCAGGACCCATGGCTCCACGAGGTGAGCAGTTGGGGCTACCAGGAGCTGCAGCCGCATCAGGAGGCGGTGGTGGCGCGGGCGGAGAAGCTGTTGGACAAGCTCAGGCAGGCGGTGGCGGGGGACACGGCGGGGCGCGAGGGGGACGGCGGGATAGCGGCAGAGGCGCCGGCAGCAGCAGCAGCAGCAGCGGGGGGATAAGAGTTGTAAAAGCCTCGGGGCGCAGGGCGGACGGGGTGTCGGTGGCGCCCGAGTGTAGTTCTGTGTTATACAAAGGTTACGGTCCCTCAGGCCATTGCCCCACACGGCGACCGGACCGGGGGTGTCTCGTCGACCCGAGATTCCCCCGGGGGGTGGGGGAAGCTCCCGGAGGCAGTGGTCCTGGCGGTCGGTGAAGAAGGGAAGTAGTTAATCGCGCACAGGTGTGTTATTTCATGATGTGAGACGCGGACAGGAGCTTGTGAGGAGGAGGATGACACTCGAGTAACGTTACCGAAGCAGGTGGTGCGTGTGTTCACAGAGGTGTCTGTGTCTGTGTGTGTGGGTATAGGTATGGGTGTCTCACACGAAGCGTGGGTGCCCGTCCCGGTAAGAGCGGGTTTCCTTCGGCTGAGGAGGGGCTCCAGGAGGAGGAGGAGGAGGAGGAGAAAGGCCGGGGCCCAGTGCCCATGGTCGTCTCCTGTGAGCTACCTGTGAGGCCTTAGCGGCGCTGTTGTGATACGGCGGCTGTTATGGAGGGGGCCGCGGCTGCCCAGTGCGCCACATGACACGTGCAGATGCTGACTGCGGGGTTCCGAACCTACTTGATAGCTATTTCAGCTATAGCTACAGAACTCCTTCCTGGACTCCATCTTTGGGGGGTTTTGGGGACCCGGGACGGACACAGACATCTTCAGGGCCGGGCCCCTTACTTCACTGCAGCCGGGCCTGTGGCGGATGGATGGATGGATGCAGTCCTTCATGCGGGTCATCGCTGCCAGGTAGAACTGAAGCTGTGAAATTGAGTCACGCAGCAAATCGGCGGCAAGGCCCCCTCCCCTACTCCTCCTGTTATCAAGGTTTTCGTATGGCACAAGGCAATCTGGGCACTGACCCTAAGTCCAAAGACCTACAGACAGACGTGCAAACCGAATTCCGTCATTGTCACTTATGCAGTCTTGCAGTGCGATTCTAAAACCGATCTCCGGAACAATAAAAGATGCTGACAACCTTTTCTGTCGTCAAGTCCAAGGTGTGTCGCCATTCGCCATTCATTGCTTCGTCTCATTTCATACGAGATGGCCATACGGCATCCTCCCCCGCCCCCGCGATTCCCCCTGTACACCCGTCGCCTTCACCGGCGTCTGTTTCGCCAGTAGCACGATAGCCTTTCTGGCCAAGCCCCTCCCGGCCGCAGCGGACCGCAAGACTCTCACATATGCCCCTACATATGCCCCCGTTCACATCACACGCAAGGTCGCACTCCCTCTCTTCCCCCGGCCCTCCCGTAGACCTCTCCGCTCTCCGCTGCGCACTCTGTCCCCGATATCTCCGTCCAATGCCAAGGCCCCCCGGTCGCAACAACGATGAAATATTCATTCAAGAGCTCCTGACGGAAAACCCTCTGCAACGTCTGCATGCGTATGTGTGGACCAGGCATACTCCCACCCTACCATCCACCGAGTTACGAGGGATCCCTCAACGACTGCGATGCACCGCTAGAAGCCACGCAGACCCGACCTCGTCTTCCCAAGTTCACGCAACGCCTTCCTCCCGTCCAGTCACCCACCGCCCTGCGGCCCATCCACCTGCTGCCCTCCACACACGTCTACTGGGGAGGGAAGGAAGGGCATGCGATGGGTCCTGCTACCTGACTTGCTCGTACTCGACGCCCACCTCCCGCGGCTTGCCGTCCCATAAGGCCCAACCGTCAGGAATTTCTTTCCACATCACAATGTCGCCCACCTTGACGGCACGCCGATCAAGCCGCTCCGAGATCGCTTCAAAACTGTCCTCTGGATCCGGAACCACCTCCGCCTTGTACAGCAACGCCCCCGTACCACCCAGGCTGTCCTTGGACGCAACACGGGAAATCTCCTTTGACCGGAGTTTGACCAGCACGAGCGTCGTCGCCTTTTCATCATGGACATCAACCACCATAATAAACCGTGTGGTCTTTCTGACCGTTCGTCCCACAGCGGTGCTTTCCAACTTTTTGCGAAACGTACGGCAAAAGATGTCACCCGGCTGCCGCTCTCGCAGCAGCGCTGCTCGAAAAGCCTCAGGCAGCATTCCCAGGTAGTTGACGGAGGCGGCCGTCCGCACCAGGACCTCGATGGGGCTCCGTCTGGGGGATGTAGAGAAGGAGCTGGAGCTGCTGGCGTGAACGAGGTGGTAGGAGCTAGGGGCGGCAAAAGGGGTGTCGTACGGCGCATAGGGCCGGCTATAGGTGGTAGTAGAAGCGGCAGAGGCGGGGGACGGAGGCGACGCAGGCACGCGGTGATGGTGCCCTCGATGCTGGTGATGGATTTGTTTCTTATGGTAATGGTGATGGTGGTGATGTTGCTGTAGGTGTGGCGGCCCGAAGTGGTAGTGCTGGATGGGCTCGGGACTGGGAGGGGAGGGTTTTGGTGTGACGACCGACGGTTGATGTACGAGCGCGTACATTTTGTCGTACGCGGTGCTGAGACCTGTGGTGAGGCTATAGATGGTGAGGTTAAGGGCGCCTGGTTCTTCTTGTGTAGAAGGGCGCCTAGGGGGTGTCTGCGGGGGGCTGGAGGAGGAGTTGGAGGTAGTGGAAGGCGAGGCCAAGTCAATTGCCCTGTGCGGCACGTACCCTTCCATGCTGCTCGCGCCGGCATCCTCCGAGCGCCACCAAGGCACCGCCGGCGGGGAGAGGGGCCGCAGGTCCGCGGCTGCTGGTACGGTACTCTCCGGCCGCCTGGCTGCTGCGGCGGTGGCAGTGGCGGCGTCCGTGGCCCAGCGCACTCTTAGAGCGGAGGATGTCGTGGGGAGGATGCTGGCTGTCTTTGCTGAGGAGGGTCCGGAGGTTTGCGGAGGCTTCCTGTGTTCTTGCGGCGCGCCGAACGGGGATGTGGGCGTGTGTTCGGGAGCCCCAGTTCCGCCTGCGAAGCGGCTCAACGCGTGTGCGTTGATCGCACCCATGTTCAAGGCCGTAGCGGTCATCGCATCCGTGGTGCTTCTTGGAGAGGCGGTGGCGATGGCGGTTGTCGACGTGGTGTTGGGGGTGTGGGTGCTGGTATGTGCTGCTGGCAACCCCGAGGAAGTTCCTGCTGCTGCCGCTGCTGCTGCTGGTGTGGTGGGTGTGGGGGTCGGCACCATTGCCGCAGCCGGCGGCTGGGCACTGGGTGTGCCGCTGAGCAGCGATGAAGGTTGTAGGTTCAAGGAACTCTGAGCTGCACGTGCAATAGGGCGGGAAATGGTATGGTAACGGGCTAGGTGTGTGTTTTGACCAGTTTGCGAAGCTTGCGCAGGCCTGGGGACTTACGTGTTTCCCTGAGAAGGGCCTTGATTGTGGCCGCGGCCTCGGCATAGGTGCCCGCAAAATAGAGCTCGCGGTCTTCGCGCGGCTTGGAGAGTATGATGACACGAGCGCGAGCCTTTTCCGTTAGGTTGAGGCCGGGCAAGTGGTCGAGCGACTCTATCCATGTCGCCTTCGGCCAATAGGACATGCCTCAGACGAGAGGAGTCAAGCAGGTCAAAAGGTTATATTATAAGCCCAGGGATTCTGTCTTTGTTGCGCAAAGCTGTCCGTGCCGATTGGTATCTTGTAGCTTCAACATTAAGGGAAGCGCATCTCCAGGAGCGCTATGTCGCAGGTAGGGCATTTAAAGTGATCTAAGAGTTATTCATTATGATGATGGTATGTTTTTACTTGCCAAGCTGCAACCACTCCATGAAGGCTTCCAGCGCACCAACGAAACGTCACATCAGTCCTCCCACAAAAAGTCCACCGCGTCCGACGCCCCGATGTACTTCTTGTCTGTTATAATTTTTAATTCATTTCTAGCTTGTATCATTATATGCCAGAAACTCAGCATAATGATAAGATGGGTGAAAACCGGGTTTCGGTGTGCCTGAGGGCTTGGTGGCCTTGCGTTGCTATGCCATGATAAATGTAACGAAATGTTATGTCATTAATTTCAGGAAGTATGCAGTATACCATCAAGGTTACACGTCGGGTTGCAAACCTGATGCCGTGTCGGCGTGAATTATCCAAGTTGAAGACTCATGGTTTGCCAGGGTCCTGAAAGGCTAAAAGAGTGCAATCAGATATTTCATATATTCAAACATGTTGCGTGAGCATCCCACATGCTCCGCTCAAGGATTTGCTAAATGTTGCATTAGCTGAAGTTTTATACCTTTCCCACCGCAAGGTAACCACACGACGTCCTTGTGAACAACTGCTGCAAAATGATTAGTTAGGATGCTAGTCATTGGTTTAAACTGGCTAAGCTTTGCTAGCCGTCAGTCGAACGAAGCGAAATGCAGTACGGGGGACGATTTTTGTCAAAAACTTTCCTTAAACTACACGGCAGAGAATAATGGCGGCGAACGGCAGGCGAAACTGATGGAAATCAAATGGTGCTTTTGCAGCATGATAACCAGCAGTTTCGCCGCGCTATCAAAGCGCGATGCTGGAAGCGCTCCTGTAAGTACAAGCATGCGTTAACATAAACACTTCAACTTCTTTGCTGCAAGTCCACCTCGAAAGCGCATTCTAAACCGCCTGCGACAGCTTGCATCGTGCCGATGTTTTCCCGTGTTTTCTTTGCTGCAGCCCAGCCAAATCGTAGCTCCATATTTAGGGCCCCCAACCTCCGCATGCAACAGCTTTAACCGCGATAAGGCCCATAAGAACACAGCACGACGTCCTTCCATGGCTCTCCGCGTCTTTTCTTGCAGGAAAACCCCAGGGTTGAGGCAGCCGAAACTTCGAGCCGTCATGCAAGCGGTTGCAAGCCACGCATCCACGTCCTCGTAAACATCAGGCCCATTGAGACTACATCGCCGCCCAAGGATGGCTGAAGTCGTTGAGCTCCCCCGATCAGCGGCCCTGGAAGCTTAACAGCGCTGCGGCCTGAAAGTCACTGAAAGTCACTGAAACGCTGGCCGACGGAGCGCAATTCTGCACTAAATTCTATCCTACCATTAAGACGGCCCTGTTGTGGCCCATATTGGGTGCGGCGCCGACGCCCACATCCTATCAGAGTTTTATTGCTGCTAATGCGCTGTCACCACCTCATAATAAAAAGGGCATGTTTATGGTCCCCACCTGTGAAATATAACCTCGGATTTAATCAAAAGAGAGATAGAGCAGGGTGAACTCTGTCGTAACCACGCCCCACGTCATTTTGCCGTTCAGGACCACCTTGGCTGCTGTTGTCCTGGTGGAATGGAATGCCATGCGGCGGTGGTGGCTTCTGGGCTATGGCTCCAATACGTGCTGACCCTTGTTACAGGTTCCAGAACTGGTCGTGAGGACACACAAGTCGCGAGGAGACAAAGAAGTAGCTCGTCACCGCACACCCCCTTCTAGTTGCTATTGCCAAGCTCTCACTATTGGGACTGTGACTGTGACGTAAGACCACAAGCCACCACCTCCAGTCTCCAAACATCCAAATCCGGATCACGATGCAACCGCCAACCGACAATTTCAAATTCCTCGCCACCCACTTGCACAACTCGCTCCAACTTACCAGATGCGTAAGATCTAGTTTTACCTTTGATTACCAAAAATGCACGCGCCCGCCGTAATCCAACACCACCAGAGGGGGAGCACGAGGACCACCCCCTCAAGCACCCACGTATACAAATTAGGCGCGAAAGCCACAACAGAACAGAGCATCATCGGACGTCCGCTTTCCGCAGGTAATAAATAAGTACAAGCTCAAAAGGTACAGCTCAGCCTCTCCTTTCCATCCGCTTTTCCGTTCCATGTCATTTCCAGCCGCCATGCCTGCTAGCTACCGCGCCCTTGGGGTGCATGGCGGCGCCTCCGAGGGCCCGTACCGCCAACCCAACCCGACCCTGCCCGCCCTGAGGCCAGGCAGGGGGGTTCGCTCTGAGAGGAGGGATCTCTTGCGGCCTCTTGTTACCTCCAGCCTATTATCTGTTTGTTTGCTTGGCTTTCCTTCGACTTGCTTTGATCGGTGCGCCGCCACGGAGCACCTCTTCGAAGTCGGCATGGCTGTTCACAATCTGCAGCACACACACACACACACACGCCCCAACAAACTCAAAAAAACAAAACCCCGTCAACTACCCATGTGCGTGCGTGCGTCTCACTCTTCAACCAGCACCGCCTGCGGCCCATCAACACCACAATCACCCCCGTAAGCTGAACTCGGATGCGGCACACGACGACTTCGGGAATTTGCTGTCCCCAAGCAAGCACCTCCGCCAAGGGCCGTACATAGGGCCGTACGAAGGCCGTACAAAGGCAAGCTTATAAGATATTACACAGTACGTTCCCGCACGTCATTCCCGCTGCCCGTGTATATGTGGAAGTGTGTGAGGCGTCGATAGGAAGCGGGGTATCGCGGGGTTTCGGTACCTCCGTTACCCTGGTGGTGGAATAACGGGCGGCACTACAGTGGTGCCAAATCTCGGTCCACGATCACGGTCGAGTTCAGCAGCGTGCGGAATTACTTAAGCGTTTTTTTTATCACGATACTGCTACTCCGATAAGAATGGGATGAAAAACGCTGACAGGGCGGCGGACAACGCCCAGGCGAGGCCGATGACGCCGTCCGCAGCAACCAACACCCGCCACCAACCCCCCAACCAAAGGAAAGGTAGTACGCAGGCGGGTGGGTGGGTGTGCGGTGTTCAGCTCAGCAGCAACGGCACAATGGGAAACCTGTGCGCGATGCCGTGGACAGTTCTAGTATGACGGTGTGCCGTACTCGTACCTGTAGCAACAAAAATGTGAAACTCCTGGTTCCACACTGGGGGCCCACTACCACCACCACTACTACCACTACTGGTAGTAGTGGTAGTAGTGGTAGTAGTGGTAGTGGTAGTGGTGGTGATAGTGTTAATGGTGGTGATAGTACTAATAGTAGTAGTAGTAGTAGTAGTACTAATGGTGGTGGTAGCCATGGCGAGATATCACCACAAAGGGCGATACAGCCGCCGCCGCCGCCGCCGCCACACATCGCCAACACGACGCGGACGACAGCAAATAAACTCCGCAAGGCGGGGCCCTTTTACTTCCTCGGCATGGCATGTACGGCATGTGAGCACACGCATCAAAAGTATAGTTGCAGTTGAGATGCGATGCTGTGCGCAACACAACACGTACAACATGACAACACAACGCAACACAACACATCGGCTTTGCTGCGGCGTCACAAAAACTTGCACATATTGCAATGGCGGGGTACAAATATACCGTCTACATACATACACAAACACCTACGTGGGCGGTTCTCTCCTGACTCCAGTTTGTACACATCGTACATACAAGCAGTGGAGACGTCTGCAATGATAAGCATAATGAGGTGGCGTATCTCTTTAGCGGGTGTCCCAACCTAACGGCAGAAGTAAAATAAAACGACAGAGCGACCACAGAGGGCGCAACAGGGCGCCAACCCACCCCCATACCGCATCTCCACACACACGCACACACACACACACACACACACACACACACACACACACACACAAAATACCTGTTGTTTTGGCTGCCGTACCTTACGGGTTAGCAGCAGATTTTGACTCGCGCTCTTCTATCTTTCCATCATCTTTTGTATTGCAGTACCGTTTTTTGTTGTCCAGCGGCGCCTAGCATTTAGCATTTAGCTGCGGCAGGACAACTAACTTATTATTATAACCGATAACTGATCGACCCATGATGAATGGCAATGTAAAAGCAATGTCCGGGATGTCTCCGGCGGCATTTAACAACCAAATTCAGACAGATACACAGACGTACAAACACACAACCTACATATACACACATGACCAGTACGATACTTCATTTCAACGTGCAAAAGAGACAAGGGGCCGCAGCCCCACACACACAACCCGACATACATCATCACCCCGACAGGAGGCACCGCGTACTCAGGTAGCCAACCGAGCAGCCCGTAGCTATAGCTATAGAGCCGAAACAGCTTACGAGTAAAAATAATGTCCTGCAACAGTTTCCTGCCAAAGCATACCATCATCTTCATGCGCATGCCTGCATGCCTGCGCCAAACTACACAAAAAAACTTCATGCACCATCCATCCACCCATCCATCCATCCATTGTTCGCTACCAACGGTTTCCAGGCCATCCGCCATCTCCATCCATCGCCACTACGCGCACCGAGTGCCGCGCAGCCTCTTCTCCCCCTCCCCCCCCCTTGAGTCAACCCCCAACGCGACCCGGGCTCTCCCGTACCGTTTATTCGTACATTAATAACGGAAGGAGGAATGTGCTCCTCTCAAAAAGAAGGCCTTCCACAAACACACACACACACAAAGTGGACGAAACAAACTGCCCTCTCGTTCGCACCCATCCGGCGGCCGAAGGGGGAGAGGAGCGGAGAGGAGCAGTGCTCGCACGCACCAACTCATCCGTTCATCATCCGTTCTCACCCATCCACGCCGAAAAATGCGAGTCCCTCGTAGAAGAACGCAACCGTCTACAACAATTCACCATCTCCTTTACTTCGTACAAGTGCCGTACAATACTATCTAAAATATGAATATTTTGTGATGTTGGCGATGATCCAAATCACACGGTCGCTCTGCAGCACCAGGATTTCACAGGCGACCCATTCCACGGTGCCCACTTACCGGGGCTGCCCTGCCACCACAGTACCTGGGCGGCTCGTACGGCGCCCTGGTCAAGCCCCTCCGAAACCGCCGCAAAGCTGTCTGCCGGATCCGGAACCACTTCCGCCTCGTACTCCTCGGGGTGCTGCTGGTTACGACTGCTGCTGCGGCGGCTCACCTCCATTGTACGGATCCGTACCGCGATCACCAGCACGCCGGTGGTCTCGTTACTGCAATCGTACTGTGCGCGAGAGGCGCTGGCCTTGCACGGGCACCGAGGGGAAGAAGAGGGGAAGGAAGAGAAAGAAGACGGAGACCGGGACAGAGCTGTGAAGGAGGACGAAGGAGAGGCCAGTGTAGGGGATGGGGATGAGGAGGAGAACGAAGACGAGGAGGAAGACGTAGAGGCGGAGGAGGCGGAGGAGGGCGGCGGCGGCACGTACACGTTGACCGCCATGGCAAATTTGATCCGCGTCCGCGTAAGGCTGGCGCCGCCGTCGGCAGCAGGGACGAGTTCCTTGACTGTGCGGCAGAAGATGTCGCCCGGCTGGGTGGCGCGGAAGCGGGCCGCGCGGAAGGCTTCCGGCAGGAAGCCCAAATGGGGCACTGAGGCCGCGGTTTGCACCAGGATTTGGCTGGTGGAGGGCCGGCTGGACAAGGACGCGGAGGTGCAGCAGGAGGAGACGTTGGTCGAGCTCGGGCGCAAGCTTTCTAAATTAGCTTCCAAAGCAGCTGCCTCGGCGCAGAGAGTCAGGCGGAGCGCTGTAGGTCCTGGTGATGCGCTGATGTTGCCCTCCGCTGGAAAAGGTTGCAAAGGCGGGTGCAAAGCAACATTAGAGTTTTAGATATGTTTTGCATTGAAATGATTAAACTGAAACGTACGTGTTTCCCTGAGGAGCGCCTTAATGGTAGCCGCGACCTCGGCGTAGGTGCCTTGGAAGTAGAGTTCCCGGTCCTCACGCGGCTTAGAGAGGATGATTATGCGCGCCCGTGACTTCTCCGCCAAGTTTAGTCCGGGCACATGGTCGAGCGCTTCTATCCACGACGCGTACCTCAACATGTCTGGTCCAAAACTTGATCAGGTCAGCACACCCCTATTTGTAAAGTTTGCGCCTTTAAGTTCTTGGTTTAAAATGTGTGATGTGCTTCAGAATGGGAAAAATTGGGGCCTTGGCATCTGCCAATCAAATCCGTACTGTTACGTTATTTACCCGAGGCAGCACATATGCAAGCATCACGTAGCGTATGTGTATATGTATTAGAATTGGGTATGTTGGCGCATACATGTACCCGACACTTGGGTATCTTCGTAGCTGTTGCAACGGCTACCGTGAAGCTTCTTGCCTACCTGCGCCCTACCTAAAGCTTACCTCCTGTACTCGACTACCAGATAGCCTGCATGTATTTGCAAGGGACAAAAGCACGGCATACACGTATCGCTCTATGACCTCATTTCTTGTGGAGCTGGAAGCTTCCAGTAAGATTAAGATGTTCCAAACCCAGCTTCGGCACGCCTAACAGTTGACCTCGCAACGAATTGCAAACCCCAGAACCACGACGCGTTGACGACAACATATAAATTAATAATGGCAAAGAATGGCAAAGGTGCAAACAGCGTTGTAAGGCATAGTAATCCCCAGTCAATCCCCAGTCAATCCTCTCTACTACCCAACAGATGATATATGCGGTAAGTCGGCGATATAGATCCGTGCCGTATCGTGGCGTGTACTACATGTTTCGTATCGCCGTGCCGATTGTGTTTTCCTGCGCCGCCTATCGCGTGATTATGCAGTCGTACTTGGGTGGCGGTTGGTGGCAGCAGCAGCAACAGTAGCAAAGCGCAGCGGAGCAGACCCTTAAGGAAAGGTGTCCAGCCCTAAAACAAAGTCCGGATTAGCGTTGCTAGCCGCCATCCAAGCATGATTGCTGTGTATCGCAGTATGTGCCTGTGTTTAATGATCTCGTTGTGAGTCCTGTTTTACAGTCTTTCATGCCCTGTTATGAGGAATACATCGTCCCACTCATCGTCCCACACACCTGCAGTTCACGCCGCCACCAGCAACAGCGGGCTCGGCGTGTGTGTGTGTATACATGTATGCACGGCACACACAGCTGGAACAGCAACGGCATTGGACTCCAGCCCCCGCGCACAGCCCAAAAGCCCCATAGCGCCCTTGCCCCGGACACACATATACCACATGCCCATCAAAAAGCAACATTGCCGTCACGTGCGCCGTACATTTCCGTACTTATGCCGTCCCACACGAAAAGCGGTCCTAAAAGGTCTAAAAGACCGCATGTAACAACAGAATTACAGACACAGCGCTATGTGTGAAACACACTTTTAGCTTATGGACATGAAATGTGGTGGCAAGACACAGACAAACAGACAGGCGAATACACACACGCACATCTCCGGTAGCCTGAACTGAAAAAACAAGCACCGATGCGCCCCCCCCTTAACTCAATAAGCAATCTAGCGCACATCAGCCGCCGTACCAAACCAAACCCGGCGGGTCTCCCCGCGTCAGTAGCGGCCAGGAGGATTCGCCGTACGATTATACAAACGTTGCTGCCGTACACCTCAAAAATGGTCTAACGACCCCTCAAAAAGCCCCCAAATGAAGGAATCGTCAAATCAAATCGTGTCTATCATTACATGGCAACGAAGCAGAAGACTCACATACCCACTCCCACTCCCACCCATTATGAGTGTAGGTAGGTGCCTATGCGGTGCGGCCGCCCATAGGGGGAACATATTCGCGGGCTCACGTCCCTGAACTGCATGTGTGCATGTGCGAATCGCGGTCCGAGATGCAGGACATCACCTCCCGGCTACAAAAACTGAAAAGACAAGACCAGACCAGAGGGGCCTTACCTTCCTGTCCTCCTCCCGCCCTCTCCCCGCGGAGAACTTCAAACTCAGGAACCCCTCCCGCCCCTCTCCACCTACATATGCACCCGCACCCGCACCCTCACCCGCACCGCAACACCGACTCAATCAACCCTTGGGGCCCCCCACCCGCACCCGCAGTCAGAACTCAACACCCCCCTGTCGAACTGGCCACCCGCCAGCCCCTAGAGCCCTTCTCTGACTTCGGCTTTTGTCCGGAACCTACGTGCTCCCACACACTCATACACATACATACATACAATTTTCGCCGACCATATGCGTTCATCTGTGCCCAGAAGTGGATTTCTGTACGTCGTTAATCTGTCCGTTGTAAAGGTCGCCATGTCCTCCATTCCCAGCCTGCGTGTGCCCCCCCACCCCCCAGCCCCCCCCTCCGTCCACCGCCCCAGGCTCCACGGGGTCAGCAACACGAGGGTGACGTGACAGTCTCGAGCTGTGTGACCGTACTCATATGAGTAAAACCTCCTGCGCGCCTCGGTTGGCTCAACCAGCTCGCAACAGCCGCCCAGCTGCCCCGACCCACTGCACGCAGTCCCGCCCCCACCCCCGCTCCCACCCCCACAGGGAAACTACTCACATGCTCGAGCAGTCGGCCCGCCTCAGCAAGGAGGCTTCCAACTTACCGTATGCCCACTTGTCCTCCGCAAAAACTCGAGGAGGGAGTATATGCACACACACACACGCATAACATGTCCGGTGTTTATTATCCTATCATTTTGTCGGACTGGAAGGACTTGGGAGAGTTCCGGCAATCGCATTTCAGATCAAACAAACCCCGAAGGTATTGAATTGCAACATCGCCCATCCCCAACGCGACCGCTATCCCGTACTGGAGTCGTACTGCAGCATGCAGATCCAAGTGGGAGACTCCGCCGTCATTGCGTTGCCGTCACCGCCGCCGCCGCCGCCAGCACCGCCGCCCCTAACGCCGAGCCGTCGTGGCTCAGTACGAACTTAATCAACGGAAACAGCTCCGAAGACCGCTTGCCAAGCTGCTCCGAAACAGCCTCCGTTAGCATGGTACGGTAGGCGGTAAAGCGTTCGTACACGCCGCCGTCGATGGCGACCGTGACGGGCCGCGGCGGCGACGCTGCCGCCCAGCCGTTGTGTCGCAGGATGGCCAGGACCGCCATTGCCGTCAGCTGGGCGCTGCGTCGAGCTACCAAGGTGCAGACCTGAAGGGAAGTACGGGAAGTACGGTTGCAAAAATGGCCCGTGTGTGAGAAAGACGTTTGTGTTCCTTATTGTTTAATAAACGCCTGAGCCGCGGGAAGAACCCTGGCGATGAGGAGGAGGAGGAGGAGGAGGAGGAAGATGTATGTGTGTGCGTGTGCGCGAATCTATAATACGTAGACATGTTACGCACGATGTGGAAGGGGAGCGCGATAGGCCTCGAGTCTAGTTGGGCTGGGTTGGCTCGGGTGGACATATTCGGTTTGTGAGGTTGCGCTGTGTTTGTCACAGGACCCAGTTGCCACTCCGCCGCCAATGAAGCAGCGCAAGGGGCCCGGCACAAAAGAGTGTTTCAACCAGCCAGCAAAAAACGCCGTACGGCAAACATCGCGTCAGCCCGCGGCGATAACTTCCCCCCTTCCAACCCCCCCATCCCCTCCTAAACATACACACACAACCTAAACATACACACACACCAAACAAACCCTGTCCCGAGCCCATCCTACCTCCTTGACCACCTCAGCCGCCCGCGCGCTGGGCTGGTGCATTCCCAGCTCCGAAACCAACATCCTCCTCGTGGTCCTGAGCCCCCAGCTGCGGTCATGCACAATGGCCGACAACGTTGCGCTGCTGAGCGATCCGGGCGTTGCTAGCGGCCCCGGGATCATGGCCGCCGCCGCCGCCACCGCCACGTTGCCGCTGCTGGCCTCGCGCGCCTCCTCCAGCACCGCCCGCACGTCGGCGGGTCGCGCCTTGAACAGCCCGGGCACCTCCTTGGCGATTGTAAACAGAATGCGGCGGGCGGCCTCCCCCAGAAACATGCCGCTCAGAAGCTTCTCGAACAGGTACTTCCCCGGGTGGGGGGAGGCGGCATCAACCTGACCCAGCAGCCAGGTGCGGGTGGGGGTGGGGGTGCGGGTCAAAGATTCGCGAGGACACGACACGACAGGAGGCATAGTGGACATGTCACGTCACGACAGGAACGTAAAAGACAAACGAATGCGGAGATCCGTATAGACATTACCAGGTTGGACACGCAACCACACACACACAGACACACGCAGCACCCATACAAACATAACCTCACAGCATCACCACCCTCGGCATTTCCCTCATTGCGGCACAGATCAATAGCACACACACGTGACCTGCTCCGCCATTTCCCCCCCCAACCCCCAAGCTCCCCCCTCCCCCCTCAGTTCCCCATCCTCACGCAGGAGGAGACGCGCTCACCTGCAAGTCCTCCATGCACCGCGGCAGCTGCGGGGAAAAGAACGCGCCCCATTCCATATTAATCGCCGTGCGCCCATCTAGCCCCGCCCCTCCAGCCGCTGCAGCAGCGGCAGCAACCGCTCCCGGCGGCGGCTCCCACTTCGTCAGCGCCGCCAGTCTCTCCACATAGCAGGCGTTGGTGCCCGTGCCGATAATGACCCCGACCTCCGTGTCGCTGTCCAGGTAGCGCTGCGCCGCCAGCACCCCCACCGTGTCGTTCAGCAACGCAGCCACCCGGCAAGGGCGGCCCACGCGCTCCAGAGCTGCAGAGAGCAGCGCCACGGGGTCGTTGCCCACCACGCCCGAGCAGGAGAACCCCTTGGTCCAAGCCAGGAGCCTGCCGGAATCCAGGCCGTCCTGCTCTACTGCGAAACTGAAGCAGAAGCCGAGGACGGGGAGCGTTGGCTGTGGCTGCGAGGCTGAGGGGGGGATGCTGTGGCGGTCGATGAAGGACTTGAGGGTCGTGGCTAGGTAGTCGAAGAGCTTGTCGCCGGCGCCGGTGTAGATTTCCTTGGGCAGGGTGACCTCCTCCACATTGCAGGCCGCCACCTCGCCCTTGCCGGGGCCCAGGCGGACGTGCATGACCCGGAAGTTGGTGCCGCCCAGGTCCTGGGGTGCAGGGGTGCAGATGCAATAGCGGAGGGCGCAGGGGGGTGCAGATGCTGGGAGGGAAGCGGTGCAGACGTGCTGCAGCAAGGATGCGGAAAGGATGCGGAAAGGATGCAGGAAGGATGGAATGGGGATAAGAAACGGAGGGAGCGGAGAAACGGAAGGTACGGAGGGGGAGATGCGGAAGGCTGAGGCCCATGGGCGGTTTTTGACGTGGGAATAGCGGAGGATGGCATGTCTGGAGGAGACGAGTACAGAGTGTGGTGGAGTTGGTAGAGGAGGGGGAGGAGTTGGCGGTAATGGAGGAGTTGGTGGGGGAGGTATGCCGCCAGGTAATAATGACCGCTGTGGCCCTTGTGCGTGGTCCACCCCGTTGAGCCCGGGGGACTGATTGTCTCACCAGCGCGTAGCATTCACCCGTCTCAGTGCCGTCCGGCAGCCGTGTCACAAATGTCGGAAGCATCATCATGCGCTTGCCATCGACAACAACGCGTTTTGAAAGCCCATCTCGCATTTGCGCGAGGAACTCTGCCTCCACTTCAGCTAACCGCTCCGGACTAGCCAACAGTTGCTCCCTATAGCGTTTGAGCAGCAGATCAACTTTTTCCTCATCTTCGGTGGGAAGTGGAAGCTCAACCTTCCGCAAGGCCAGTGCCACGGCCAATGCGCTAGTCCCAATAACGGGAAGAGCGAATGCTAGACGCATGGTCAACCGCACAAGCAAGAAAAGGATGAAACGTGTTATCTAATACACGCGTAAGCCGACCGATCAGTCCTTTCCGGGCCAAAACTTCTTGCTGGTCGAATTGGTAGTACAAGTCTTTTGAGTTGCTGACGTCGGCCGAAAACGAAAGGACATAATGGCTAGATAATTTTACGAAATTATATGTTCCATGACTTGAGGACAATGCACGTTAGATACCTGTAAAACATGATTCAAGCAGTTTAAGCGGTACAAGTAAATCAACGTGCACAACTGCAACGTGACACATATTGCCACGCAATCTGCAGATCCGGACCTGTGAAACTTGGTTCTTGCACGACAGTGCGGCCCTTGCTCGCCTATCGAGGAAGAGCAAACCTTAAGCGCTTCCCAACCCCCCTCACACTGCCGCTGTCATCTTCATCTGGTTCACGCAACCATCACCACAACCACAACCACCGTTACCAACAACACCGCCTGCAGCACCAACACCAACACCGCCTTGTCTCCATTATGGACAAGGCCGCCGAGCGCGCCAGGGAGGGCGACCTGTCGTACTTTGAATTGCTCCCGGCCGAGGAGCTGGGTCGGTTGTGTCGCCGCAAGGACGAGGACGGCCGCTCGCTGTTGCACAATGCCGTACTGAGCGGGTGCTTGGAGCTGGTACAGCTGCTGGTGGGGAGGGGAGGTGCGGGTACGGCAGTGAACGATCAGGACGAGGAGGTGAGGGGGATGAGGGGAACGAGATTTACGACATCTGAACTAAGGTGGAATCCAAGCAACTTATTAAAAAAAACTGTATTTATTTCTTGTCACTCCCCTCCCTCCATTCCAGGGATGGACTCCCCTGCAGTCCGCCTCCAGCTGCGGACACGAAGCGGTTGTGGGGCTGCTGCTGCAGCTGGGAGCCCGGGTGGGGGACACCAACTCGGGCGGGAGAACCGCCTTGCACTATGCGGTGAGCCGGAGATGAGGGGGAGGAGTCGGAGGAGGAGGAAATGTGGCGCCGTGTGTGTATGTGTGTACGTATGTACGCACGTATGTGCGTGCCTGTGTGAGCGTCTGTTTGTCCACCAACATGTGCTTTGCTAAAAATGGCGTAGGATTCCACAGCTGCTACTACCGCCTCCGCCGCCGCCGGCCCCCTCACTGCCGCAACGCAGGCCAGCAAAGGCAAAACTGCCGTGGTACGGCAACTTCTGGCGGCGGGCGCGGCCGTCAATGCCGCCGACGCCACGGGCTCCACGCCCCTCCACCGCGCTGCCTCCGCTGGAAAGCTGGAGGTGGTGCGGGTGCTGCTGGAGGTGGGCCGCGCAGCGATGGACCCGCAGGTGGTGGGGAGGGACCCGGGAAACAGCTCCGGGGGAATAGCACCCCCCGGGGGGCTACACACCCAAAGTGTGTGTTTTGTGCCCAGGTCGTCAACGTTCGGCTCCCGCGCAACCGCCAAAACCCGCACCCCACGTCCTCAGCCTCCCTTATCCTCCCTTTCTTCCTAAGCGTGTGCCGTATGTGTACTGCATGCCGGCTGTGTGGGGTTCTCTGATTGGAAAGAACTGAGCGGTGGAATGCAGTGGTGTGGTGTGGTGTGGTGTGGTGTGCCCAGGGCTGTAACTGAACATCCTGAGGGCTGTAATGTGACGTCCCGAGGCCGGGGAGGGGCCGGTGAGGAGCCGGTGAGGGCGGGGAGGGCCAGTGCGGCCGTAATGGGTGTAATGCAGGACGAGGAGGAGGAGGAGGTGGAGGAGGAGGAGGAGGACGCTCCGTGAGCCCCAAGTCTCTGTAGTGCAACCCGCCTCCGTGTGCTCTTCGGCTGTCTGCTCCCCCCCCCCCAACCCCCCGCCCTGCGCGCCCTGCTTGCCCTCTTGCCTCCTGCCGCCCTGTATTCCTCGCACCTCTCCCCCCCCCTCACAGGACAAGACGGGCGCCACTCCGCTGTTCGTGGCGGTGCATTGCGACCAGGCGAATGTGGCCTTCTTCCTGGCTGGGAGAGGGGCGGCACTGGAGGTGGGGCAGTGGGGGGAAAGGGGGGAAGGAGGGTGTCCCCGGTAGGTTGGGGGAGTAGGCTGGATTGCTCCCTCGGCCGCACACATACACACACACATGCTTACACGGGCAAACAATGCCCCCTGATATGACATGGGCCCTATAGCTGCGCACCCAGCACCAACCAGACAGACAGACAGACAGACAGGGCTACACCGTGCCAACACTTCCTCCCCTCCTCAAAGTCCTCATCCCCCTGCTACACACACACACACACACGCGCGCGCGTGCGTGCGCACACGCACATGCACACGCACACCATCAGGTCGCGACCAAGGACGGCGAGACGCCCCTGTCCATAGCCGGGGAGAACGGCCCCGCGCTCCGGCAGGCGGCGCAACAAGGCATGGAGATGGACTGACGGACAGACAGACTGGCCTGGCCTATTTGGGCGCCACGACGTCGGCTGTGGGCCCTGGGGCCCCGATGCAGGGTACTGGGCTGCGGTGTCGGCGGGGAGGGCTACCAACTGCACCCTCCCTGGACGACTGAAGGACGGACGGAGCTTATTTAAAAGGAGCGCCCAATCAGGAGTGCAGCGTTACGGATATTTAGTCACTATTGCTGGTGCAGGTGTTGTTAAAATGTTGTTGGAGTCTGAAGCGGTATGCAGCTCAAAACAGGGGGTGTCGCTGTTATGGCTAGGTAGTTGCCGCGGGCGTCACAGTGACAGTTATGTGGTTAGAGCGACCGTTATGGCGGAGCTGCTGGGCCGCTGCCTAGGTATGGCTGTACCACGGGGGTGGTGGAATGTCACTTTGGCGGTTAGTCAGACGGTTAGGTAGGCGGTTAGTCAGGCGGTTAGTTAGACGGGTTGTATGCCCGCCAAGGAGAGCGCTTGTGGCACACAAAAAAGTCTTAATTTCAAAAGTGATTTCCCCCTGTGCTGCCCTGTGCTGCCCGGGCCCCGAAAAACTCATCGTCCCTTCATAAGGCCCAGGGCTCATGGCCCATGCTGCCCAGCAAGGCCGTACGGCACTTCTCGCCTTTTCCCGTTTAAACACATCCAACCTCACTAAAACCCACAGGCCAGCTTATCCTTTATCCAGCAGCCCTGTCTTCCCGAGAACACGGTTACAGAAGTACCCCGCCCTAGCGTAGCTGCACACTTCTGGAGGTGTTGTGATTGAGCGATATCAGCTGCTTCGACCTCCTATGAGGAAAGTAACTGGAATGCAAACACGGCTACCTCCTTAGCAACCCCCTTAGCTGGACAGGGAGAGTGAACAGGTAGGAGATTTTCACTGGGAGCAAAAGGGCGCAAGAAAGGCTGAAAAGACAACAGCGTTTGGTTCCTTGTGCTGAGGCCATGTCGGCCATTACATTCAGCAACACGGGCTTGGTGCAGGAGCTGAGGAGCTCTTGTGTCAGCTACGACTGGCAGCTCGATGAAGGCGACCTGGCGGACACGGAGGGCAGCGGCATGACGCGACTTAGATTGAAGAAGCCATCTCGTCGCAAGGGGCTGATGCGGGCTTAACACAGAAGCGCCAGCCGCGCCAGCAAAAGGTCGAAGAACGGGTGCCGGCCGAAGTGCTGGCCGCCGTGGACGCGGCCATTGGACTCGGGCAGCACAGATCGAAGTCCGGGCGTCGAATCAAAGGGACCCGAAAGCACCCGAAAGGGACCTCCTTATACTGAATGAATGGGGTGTTACACTGTGCCGGGCCACACCCCAGTGCAGGGCAGGGGGCGTGTTTACATCTCTTCGTCCGTGTGAATGATTGGATGAATGAACGAACGAATGAATGAATGAATGAACAAATGGAAGGGGTGTTACATTGTGGGCGGCTCGCCGTGCACATGTCGTACAGTCGAGTGCCGGGGGCCCTTAGCCGGGCTGAACTACAGCGCAAGGCGGATATTCTGTTCATCTGTTTGTCTGAACGAACGAATGAATGAACTGTGAGCGGCTCACCGTGCACACACGCCTCTGGTTCGGGTCGGTTCGGGTGGTGGTATTTTTTCGTTGAACACACACACACAATGAATGTATGAATGAATGAGTACGGAGTACGGTAACCAGGCATGTAGGGTTCCTGCCCCACGTACCGGAATCGAAACCAACACAGTACGCACGAGAGACACTTGTAAGTGCTCCCCTTACAGAGCTGCCTTAAAATTCCTTCGATTCCGGGTGCCTGCCTGAGAGTTTCCGGGCCGACCCCGCAATCGATCGAAATTGCTCGGTACAAGGGTTTAAATTGGCACTGGGGCTACACCCGGGACAAGTTGAATTGCCGGGACAGGCCCTTGAATTGGCCTGACAGGGACATTCCGACAGTCAGAATTGGCCGGTTCGGGGTATCGAATTAGAGAAGCACAGGAATTCACGTAATGTGCGAACGGGGCAGCCCAAAGAATTGCTCTCCCCGACCCTGTGTCCTACCCTCCCCCCTCGTGGAGCACGAATCTAAAATCCGAAACAGGCAGGAACAAGAACAGGAACAATAAGTAAATCGGTATGGGTATGGGACGTGCAATTCTTACCTTGCTGCGCACACCACTAGAGGCTTTAGCGCTGGGCGAGAGGGGCAGGGGTAACAGGACCGTACAGGATGTGGTGCTGTCGGTGCTGTTTTCGGTGGCAGTGCCGGGAAGATCCAGCTCTTGAAGCATTTTGGGTTGGGGCTGATACCTGTGAGGAATGGTGCGGCGCCTTTGACAGTAGATGGCGTGGACTCTTTCCCCTGGCGCTGTAAGCAGTTGTGGAGCGTGAATAGGTGCGCAGTACGAACAAGGCCGTACTGCACTAAAACCAATCTTTATGCGATGAAGGGCTTTACGGGGGATTGAATATTTTGTTCTTCACCTCCACTTCCGTTTCCTTGATTGTGATTTACGGAAATTTGCACAATGCTTCATCCTTATTATTTAAACATTTGTACTCTAGACGCATATGCTTTCAAGTGATCATTTATGCATCTTTTTAAGCCCATACATCATCGACATTGCTGTGTAAGAGTACGTAACACAAACGCACTTTTACCGACATCGGCAAGTCAATTCCCACCGTTACAACGCCTGGCGGCGCTGCGTAGCCTAGAAAGCCCCCAGTTATATGGATCAGGACGTATCAGACGTACTCAACTGGCGCTCGCTTCGCTGGCAAGATGGCTGCACGTAAGTGTGCGCGCCGCGTGTGCTTTGCCGTTGCGGTTTGACTGTGCGGGCCCACGCCACGCTCATCAGGCGGTTGAGCATCGGCAGTTGTATCGGGAGGTACTGGAGTTGTGCAGATCTGCACCCTCAGACCTCACCTCCCCCCTTAGAGGAACCGAACACACCACATCTGGGCATCACAGGTACGAAGGCCTGGAGGCGGGCGGAGCCTGCGAGTCACACGGCGTGATAACGTGGCCCGATCGCCGCGAGCGTTATGAGGGGCAACTGCACGACAGCCGTCCACACGGTTACGGAGCGTACCGCTGGCGGGACGGCACGTGAGTCCGTTGAGGGGCAACGAGGGGCCCAACGATGAGCCCTTCAGACTCAGCCCTTTAGAAGGGGTCGAGGTGGGGAGGGATGAGATGGGGTGTATTTAATAACAGGCTAGGCGAGGTATAGAACCCCAAGTTACCCCCCTAGGCTAACCAGGTCGCGGTTAAGGCATAGCGGAGAGGAAGGGGTTCCGCCGAAGATACGCCAGGGCGGCTGGTGGGGAGGAGGAAGGGGGCCAGGGGGTCCGCAGGGGGGTGGCGTGCGGACCCAGGCAGCGCCAGGGGGAGGGCGTCTGCCACACAACGTGCTAGAGAGCTCGTCACACAGTGGGGGTTTACGTAGGATCTTAAATAGGCAAGGCAACAGGGTAGAGGTAAGAGGGATGGGGTGGGGATTTGGAAGTTTAGGGAAGATGCGATTCGGCCACAGACGGGGTTCCGCGGATTGGGTCAGGACTTGAGCGGAAATTGGGATAGGGATTATGCGCACAAGCCCCAGGGAAAGGAGGTGCGGAGGCTCCTCCGTATGGTCCCACTCGGTACGTGTGTGTATGATGTTGTTACAGGGTGGTATAGCTTCACCAGCGGCCCCCTTTCCCTTGGAGGCAGTTCCCTGCTCTCCCCTGCTAGAGGGGCACTCTAATCCATTCAACCCATCCGACTTCGGAATGTATTCGTTGGGTTCAGCAACTCACCACCAGCATCCAACCAAATCTAGCGGATCAACGGCGCCACAACTTAGTTCCTGGTCAGCTCGCAAGTTGATATAATCACGCCCTACACCGTCTACAAGATGGGGGGCCACCTCCCAATTCAACACCCCTCACACACCGAGAGGTGTCGGCAGGCGGATTTGAACCCGGAACCTCCGGGAGCAGAAGTCAGGCCTTAACTTCTGCCAGCCACCTGCCACCTGTGTGTATGTATGTATATCGGATGTGTGGATAGCCATCGGTGGGACTCGGATGTATGTCAGTACATGCATGTCGGTATATGTATGTATGTATGTATGTATGTCGTGTGTATGCTTCATGTGCGCGTACGTCGGGAAGGGAGAAACAAAGTACGGCAGCTATAAACCAACGCCATGGTTGGGAAAGAATTGAGTCATTGCTGGTGTGTCGTACCGTACTGCAGGCTGTACCGCGGCCAGTGGTACGACGGCCACATGCAGGGCTGCGGCGTGCTGATCTGGAAGGACGAGCAGGGAGCCATTCAGGCAAAGGTACGGATCCAAATCCAGATTTCGGCGCGTTTCTGCCGTATTTTGGAATTTCGTACTTAACGTAAAGAGCGGCGAGCTCACTCGGTCTGCCATTACCTTTTTCTGACACACCTTTGCAACATCCCTCTCCATCTTCTTCCTTCTCCCCGCACTTCAAATCAAACTCAGGTGTTTTTCCCCTTGCCTTTCCCCCCGCCCCCCTTCCCCCTTTTCCCGGGCCCCTCCCCCGCCATTCCCTCCCCCCTTTCAGGCGGGCAAGTTTTTCGGCGATGGTTATGTGGGCCCTGTGCCGGGCTGCTCCTCAGAGGCCGCTCACGAGGCGGCCTTGGAAGCTGACATGGCGGCAGGGAGGGCTAGGCTGTTCGAGGTGGGAGGAGGGTGGGGGGGAAGGAGGTTACGAGACGCTGTCAAAAGACGAGTTGACCTGGCGAAGTAAAGGACCGAGACATTGTCCCCGGCCCTCCTCCTCCTCTTCCTCCTTTCCCGTCAGCTCACCAACTGCAATAAACTCAGTCGCGATAGTCCATTATGACAGCAGCGCCGGTACAACGGCTCCACTTCTCGTCTCCCGTCTCCCTGCTCTTATGTCTTCGTTAAAGCTGGTTTGGTTTTTTTCCCTGCACATCATGTTTTCCAGTTCCGCTTCTCTTCACCTCCCGTTTACGAATCCCGCCAGACGCATCTGCCGCGGCGCCGTGCGGAGATAGCCCCCACCCAGCCCTCACCCGGCCCTCCTGGAGCACCCCCCGGCTGGGGGGGGGAGGGCGGGCAGGGAGGCGGCCAGGGGATTGGCCCCGGTCAGAGGACAACAGCCCCAGCCCCAGGAGCAGGACGAGGAGGCGGCGGCGGCGGAGGAGGAGGAGGACGGGTTGAGCCGCAATGGGAGCTGTCCGCTGTTAGTGGGGTCAGCAGCAGTAGCAGGGGCAGTAGCAGCGGTGGTGAGGGAGGCGAGGATGTCGGATGGTGGCGGGGTTCACGGCCGTTTTGGAGGCCTGGGGGGTTTGTTGCCCCTCGTGGTGCTGGAGGAGGAGGAGGAGGAGGAGGAGGAGGACGGCGCGGTCGTTGGGCGGCACGAGGATTGGGGGATGGGGGAGCGGCACTAGGGGATGCCGCGAGTGGGTATGCGGGGAGCAGCAACAGTGGTGCTGCTGGTGATGGTGGTTCATTTCAAGGTGGCAGGTTGGGGGCCGAAGTCAAGGGATTGATGGGAGGTGGAAAGATGTGGGGCTCTATTATCGAGAGCGCGCGTCAAACGCGCTTGGGTAGGGGTAGGGAGGCGGTGACGGAGGAGGGTGGGGGGTTGGGGAAAAGGGAGAAGTGGGGAGGGGACGATCGAGGACGCGGAGAGCGTGTGACGGGGAAGTTGGTTGACGGCCGCGGCAGCGAAGAAGGCGGCGGCAATGGTGGTGGCGGCGAGCTGTCCCGGTTGACTGTTGAGCAACGACGACGGTTAGAGCGGTTATTGGCTTCAGAGCTGCTGCCGGGGTTGGGGGGAGGTGGGGATTCGAATGGGATCCTACCTACCTTTGCCGGTACTGGAATCCGCGGGACTTGAAATGGAAAAAACAAAAATGGATCCAGATCCCAACGTGAGCCAAATCGGATATGATCGCGGGTGCCCTGAAGGTTTCGTTTAGTCAATGAAAGAGGGCATTTGTATCAACCCTGCGAGGCTGGGCACGGAAGGAGGTCCCTTTGGGGGGCCTAGGCAGTTGTGCAGCTGGAGTTTTGGGGGCTTGGGTGAGTTTACGTATTGAGAAGATTTGAAGTGGGGAAAACTCATGCTTGCGTCGGTATATGGGCGAAGCGAGGGACGGTGAACCTTGTTTGCTGACTACGGGACATTCGTTGACGAAATACAATAATGAAGGTAATCCATCTTTTTGGGGCCTGTTCGAATTTTGGTGTTATTCCTTGGCAGAGTCATGGCGCCGCGAAAACCAAACTTCAGCAAGAAGGACGTGCAGGGCCTTGAAGTGCATCAACTGCACCTTTCCGTTTGAAATCCACCTCAGCATTCGAATAATACAAAAAAGCAAATTGCTGAAAGCCTGCTGTGCGCGAATTATTCACCAGTGTGTAAGCAGCAGGGTGCCGGTTACTCCTGGGGTACGGTTACGTCTAACGGCTCTACGAGCGATGCCGCACTCCGGACTTGCAAAATTATGCGTAAAGCGCAATTCCCTACGATTTTATTATATCATGAAGCTTTCGTGGAAACGGGCGGTTTAGTTCCAGTGACTTGCCGTCGGTGACAGAACCTAGGTTTATTATACAAGAGTTTCGCAATACCAATTGCATTTGAATAACTTCATACTGCTATCCACAAGCGTTCGAGACAACAGTTCTTGTTCGCTTTGCGATGACCACCTTGAAGTTCGAATAGTCCAACAAGGTCCTGATGCTCCTTAAAGGCACTTAACCCAGAACTGCACGCTGACATACGGAGTATGACAGCTATGTTTACGGAAGAGCCTGGCGGTGCTCAGACGAGGTGCAGGAAGCTTGCCGTTGTCATCGGCGCGGGTGTGGCCGGCTGTCAAGCCGCCCGAGCCCTTCTCCGAGCAGGCTACGACGCACTTGTTCTGGAGCAGGGGCGCGGTTCGGGCGGAGTATGGAGACGCAACTACCATTCCTTCGCACTGCAAGGTCCGCAGCGGTCTCTTCTCCCCTAACCCCCCCCCCCAGTTCTCACCTTCATCTCTGCTCTTCCCTTTCCAGCTTAAGACGCACGCCGCAAACCCCAGCCGTCACCGAACAAGGACGCCTAGATCCATTCCATTCCCTCAAACCATTGCCGCCTTCGCGAGCGCTGCCACGTCACCCCATCCCTTTACACCCAGCCACAAACCTAACTGTGCCGCTGCCCGCACCCTTGAAACCTCCCCCCACCGGACCGCTGCCTCAGCCATCCGTGCCCTCTCCCAGCCCTCCAGCCCCCCCCTCCCGACATCTCACAGACATTTCCTCTTCTCTCTTCACCCCTGCCCCCCGACCCCTCGCCCCTCACCTATAATCACTACGAGGAGTGCAGTCCCCTGGTCCTGCTACACTTTTCCGGAGTTTCCGTACAATAAGGCCCCGCGGGAGCTGGCCGAGCGAGCCGCACGCGAGGTCTATCCCTCTGGAGAAACCGTCAAGGTGGGGCAGTGGGGCAGTGGCGAGATTTCGGGGTTGGGAGGGAGAGGTGGGAGGAAGAGGGAGGGGGAGGTGGGGTGGGCTTTGTTTGACTGGAGGGCATGTCGAGCAAATTCGCTGTCCCAGGCTTCTTGGGATTGTTCCCTTACCTGTACGTCTGTCTGTTTGTCTATACTTAAAAGGGTTGGGACGTGCCCAGCTCGGAGAGACCTTGTGTTGGCCGGCAGGTGACAGGTCGTTGGTCGTTGGTCGTTGGCCGTTACTTTGCTGATATGTTTCCCGGGGAAGAGTTATGATCACAGACCTGATATACGCTCATCTGGGGGCGAGAGGGGGGCCGCCGCCGCCGTCCCCCCTGAGTGTTTAGCTGTGAGCGCTGCAGCTGGTGCACCCCGAGCTGGAGCCTCAAACCCCCCGGGGAAGGGAACCGGATGGTGAAGCTTTTGCCGTTATGTTGGTTCTAGGCTATCCGCTCCGAAACCTCCTCTGAGAGCTCCTCCGGGGACACCCCGAGCCGTCCGGGGTCGCCCCCGGCTCGGCAGGCCGGTGCAGGGCGGCACGTTGCGGGGCAGGAGGGGGACCTGTGTGTGTGTATGTTTGTGTGTGTGTGTGTGTGCACAGGGCTTAGGAACAAGGGAACAAACACTGAAAGGGTGGCATGCTTCCATTCTGTCGTACACGCTTCCGTACCTGTCGTACACGCGTTCCCCTCTCACGGCTTTAGAGCCTTCCTGATCTTCAAATCTCAGTGTTTCTTTCCTGCCTCCGCCATATGGCGCCCCTTCTTCCCCATTTGCCTTTGTCATGTAGCCCCGCCCTTATTCCACCTCCTTTTTGCAGGACTATATCGCCGCGTACTGCGCATATTTCGACCTGGAGCGTCACATTGTGTACGGCGCCAAGGTCGTACACCTTGCCGTACTGCCAGGCAACCGCTGGAGCGTGCGTTTTCGCCATGCCGCCTTCCCCGGCCAGTCACCGCAATTAGGACCTCTCAAAACTATGGAGGCGGATGTCGTAGTCATGGCAACTGGCATGTACTACAGTCCGTATGTGCCGTCCGTACCGGTGAGTCATGTTCTGACCTGGCCTGGGCGAGGGGGAGAGGGCCTTCCATTGCCTTAAGCTCCCTAAACTCAGCCCATGTCCATGTCTTGAGCTGGGTTTTCCTTCTCCTCCTCCATCTCTTCTTTTGTTCGTCTGGTGTAACAAATGACCATCGTTATGATCACCGCCTTCACAGCTACCACTGCACACGAAGCGCGTTTCAAATACCCCGGAGGCCTCACCACCCCCACCCCTTTGACCCGGCGTCGAGCCCCCCGGCTCACCCGCCTCCCCGCCCCCTTAACCGCCCTTCCTGACCCCCTTCCCCGCTCACCCACCCCTCACCCCTCAGGGCCTCGCGAGCTTCAAAGGCACCGTCCTCCACGCCCGGGACTTCTCCTCCGTCGGCGGCCTGGCGGGCAAGAGGGTGCTGGTGCTGGGGGCAGGCAAGTCCGCCACGGACTGCGCAGTGGTGGCCGCGTCACCCGCCGCCCGCGCCGCCTCCGTCGTCACCTTGTTCCGGCAGGCGCACTGGCCCCTGCCCAGGCAGCTGTTCGGACTGCCCTTCCACCGAATCCTATACACTCGGTTCACGGCGGCGATGCTGCCAATGTACTACACCGGTACGGCAGTGGTTATGTACGGCGTTGAGTACGGTGGGAGGTGCTGCGTGGACTTTTGGGGGGATTTTCGGGGTCGGGCCCTCCTCTCTCTACATATCTATCTCTGCCCCCCTTTTTTCTGTTGTCGACGACATTCCATTTCTCCTCGCCCTCCCCTTCTCCTCCTCCTCCTCCTCCTCTTCCCCGTCCTTCCCCTACACACATACAGACATACATACAGACAGGCAGGCGGCTGGCAGAAGTTAAGGCCTGACTTCTGCTCCCAGTCGATCCAGTCGACCCGGGTTCAAATCCGCCTGCCAGCTCCTCGGGTGTTTGAGGAGTGATGAAATGGGAGGTGGCCCCCCATCATATGGACGGTGTAGGACGTGATAATATCAACTTGCGAGCTGACCAGGAACTAAGTTGATGCGCCGTTGATCCGCTAGATTTGGTTGGATGCTGGTGGTGAGTTGCCGAACCCAACGAATACATTCTGAAGTCGGATGGGGTGACGGATTAGGGTGCCCCTCTAGCAGGGGAGAGCAGGGACTGCCCCGGGAAAGGGGGCCGCTGGCGAAGTTAACCACCCTGTAACAACATACATACAGACAGACATACAAACGCACTTCTCACCCCTCAACCTTGTTGCAGGTCAGGACCGCGTCTCCAAGCGTTTGAAGCATGGGCTGATGTCCCCCCTGAAGAGGTTGTTTTGGAGCAGCTTGGAGCGCCACGTGGCCGGGAAGATGCGGCTGCTGGGGCACCTGAGGCCGGAGCTGGACTTCGTGCAGGATATGTTCTTCGGAGGCCAGGTGGGGCGCGGGAGGGTGGGGCCCGGCCCGGGAGGGGAGGGGAGGGGAGGGGAGGGGAGGTTGCGCGGGTGCGGGAATTCTGAGGTGTGGCGGATGGCTGCAGTATTTCCGGCGGGGGCTACCGAGGGGCTGTAGAGGTGGTGAGGTTGGGGAGTGGGTTAAGGACACGGAGGGTGCGGGGTGGCCGGCTTGGAGAATGGGACGGCGTTGTGTGTGGTGGTGGGGATGGGCGTGGGGTTGCTGTTTGGCGCAGGTATCTGCTCAGGAGGAGCGGAACACAGAGCACTCCGTACGCCCCACATTGGTAGTTGACGGTTTGGACGTCATTAGGTAGTTGACCGTTGGCCTTCGTGCACCATCAAGTGATTCCCTCCCTCAACTCCGCGTCCTGTCCATGCTCGTCCTCCGCGTGCTCGTCCTCCTCATGCTCGTCCTCCTCATGCCTCATGCTCGTCCTGCTCGCCTCAGATCCAGGACGGCTCCTGGAACGAGGCCGTCAATGCCGGTCGTATCTCCGCCGTACAGGGCACTCTGGCGGAGATACGGCCGGGCGGTGTACGGCTAACGGACGGCACCGTTATCGATTGTGACGTACTCATTTTCGCTACCGGCTACACCAAGGACTACAGCCTGTTTGACGCGGCTACTGCCGACCGGCTGATGGCGGCGGGGGGCCCACCCGGGTGCGGCCAGGCGGGACTGCACCTGTACCGCTCCGTCGTGTGCCCCTGGGTGCCTAACTTGTACTTCATTGGCTGCGAGGTACGAGTGGAGGCGGGTTAAGGGGATGGGGCACACACACATGCGGCCCACACACACACACATACACACACTGTCCGCACATCACACATCCCCCCCGCCCATCTCCCCCCACCTCCCTCCCTCTCCCTCAAGTTCCTACACACACACACACACCTACCTGCCCCGGTAGGTTGCAAGATTGAGGAATGGCGGTCAGTCGCCTCCCTTGTTTTAGACTCGTACGGCAAGTTGGTACTTTGGACACGTTGGCAGTTGGCCCCTTTTGCTGCTTTTGCATTATTTGATTCCCCAGATCCACAAAACTGGGGCCCTCACCACCTCCCTCTCCAAATACCCCAAACGCCCTTCCCTTTCCCCCCAGGCCTCCTCCTTCAACAATGTGTTGACCAGCGGGCTGCAGTCCCTGTGGATGCTGCACCACCTGCTGGAGCGCCTGCAGCTGCCGGGACCTCAGGAGCTTGTGAAGGTGAGGGAGAAGACCGGGGCAGGAGAAGAAGGACAGGGCGGGGAGGGAGGCCGAGTGACCCGCGGGTCGGTGTGTCGGTGTGTCGCCCAACAGCTGCTGTGGGGCGCAGCGCTGAGGGAAGTGATGGGAGATGGTTGGGCAGGCGATTGGGAGGGAGATACTGGGGGTAAAGGAAGTTAGTTGGGCAGGCTTAGTGACCCACGGGTCAGTGTGGGAGGGCCAGCGGCAGCAGGACCGTAATGCGGGAGGGGAAAGGGAAAAGCTAGGGGAGCGCATGATGTCGCTGTTAAAAAATGGTCCTATGGCGCTCCGGTCCCAGTCGTCGTAGGGGGGATCGGCGCGTGCGTGATAGACTTGGTGCTGGGCCCTGGGGCCTTATGGCGCCGCTGAATGGCACTTCTCAATGGCACCTCTCAATGGCACCTCTCAATGGCACCGCCTCTTCCATTTCCAAACCTCTCCATGTGCGGTGCCCCCAGCCGACCCGGCTCCCACGACACGAGCATCCTCTCCCGGGCGATCCACTTCTTGCTCTTCGCGCTACCTTACCCCCCCCCTTTGGAGCAGGACGAAATCGATGCCGGTAGGGTGATGCCACACTCTCACCCTACGAGCCGCCTCGCCACTCGAAAGCCTGATCACACTATTCTTATCCCGTCCCTGCCCGCCTTCCAACCCCTCGACTTTGGAACTCTCAGGACATTCAGAAGCAGCGGACCTGGCGGAGGTCTGTCATGCCCTCCCAGCACTACTGTGCCTCCACCATCATGCTGTTCCAGCAGAGGTACCACGACCAGCTGGTAAGGGACATGGGACACTCACCCAGGCGGAAGCGGGCCGCAGGACAAGGGGGCTCGGAGTGCTTCGGACTCTACACAGCGGAGGATTACACCGATCTGTTCGCCGATACCGCCGTACCCGGCCTCGCGGAAGCAGCGGCGGCGGCGCCGCCGCTGCGTCCTGCCGACGCGGTGGTGGCGGCGGCGGTGACGCTGATGCCGGCGGCGGCGGCGATCGGCGCACGGGTAGATCTGGCGGTGATGCCCGGCGGCGGCGGCGGCGGCGGCGTGCGGCGCGCGGTGCTGTTGCCCGTATGTACGGAACATAGCGACGCCGCGGCGGTGGCAGTTGCACCGGACGATGACGGTGGCGGAGGCGGCGGAGGCGCTGCTGCCGGCGGTATCATGAATAGCAGTACGTTTATTAGCGGTTTTGACAGCCCCGCCAGACTGCCGGTCCTTCATGGCGCGGCCCTGGGCTCTATGGGTCCTGCCGCTTCCGCCGCCACCACAGCCCCCCACCGCGTCGTACACGGTACGGCGCAGGGCGAGCAACCGGCGCGACATCCGGCGACCTCGGTCGAGGGTGCAGCGGGGGGTACAACAGCGGCGACGGAAGCGTTGCCCGACGCCGCCGCCACCGCCACGATGGCTGTCCTTGACACCACCCTAGCTGACGGCGGTCGTACAAGCCCGATGACCATTTTTGCCGTCAGTACAATCTCCAGCGCTCTGCCGTCCGGCTCCGCCAGCGCCATAGACAGCGCCGCCGCCGCCACTGCCGCCGCCGGCATCCCCGGCGTGGGCGCCAACGGCACCGGGCCTTCGCCATTCACCACGAACACCGCCCTCGCAGCCGCTATGGCGGTAGCGGGCTCGGCGGCGGCGGGCGGGTGCACGTCCAGCCCCCGGGCGCAGCAGCGGCTGACGCTGGCGCGCCGGGTACGGCTGCATGTACTGCACCTCGTAAACCGCAGCACCGGTGGCGGCAGTGCCGGCGGCGGCGGCGGCGGCGTCGTTAACGGGGCGGAGGAGGTCCTGGAGTTGGGCATGGCGTCGAACACCACCCTGAGCGGCCGGTTCGCCGACTCCATGGCAACGACCAGCAGAGGCCACGTGTACGGCATCGGCGGCGGCTCCGCCGTACACGGCTCCAGCAGCCTCTTCTATGAGAACATGCGCCATGCGGCGCCTAATGTGTACAGCGAGCTCACCGGAACGTTGGAGGTGCACTGAGGTGGTGACCGGACCGGGACCAGGGGGGGATCCGGGCCGCCGTGGCTTGGCTGCCTCCATTGGGGTTTGGCGGTGTGTCTGCGGGTGGATTGTGCGGTACCATTGTGATGCGAGTTTGGGGTGCCGTGTGACTGTGACTGTGACTGTGGTTGTGGTTGTGGTTGTGGTTGTGACTGTGGTTGTGATCTGATGTGACAAAAGGGGGAAGTATCCGACATGCTGCCTGTCATGGCGGCCAACGAGGAGGGGGGGGAGGCACCGGGGTGTTGCACTTGCGCTTCTCTCCCGCCAACACACACACCTGCATACATACATACATGCATACATGCATATGATTACAACGTGTCCTACGAGGGCCCCGGAGACGACGTTGAACAGCAATATAATCCAACAACGATCTGGCGTTTCTGCAGATTCTCAACCTGTAGGACAGGTTTCGCCTTCCATGCGCGCGTTTCCTTTATGAAATGCTGTCTGTTGCTGTTGCTATTGCTGCTGTTGCCATAAATGTGTGGTTGGTAGGTTTGGTCAATTCTGAAATTTGATGATTTCGGTGTTTGTGCATCCATCCATCCATTCAACCAGGGTGAGATCGATTGAGGTCTTGGATGCCGCCCTGCTCCCCGCCCAATCACACAACAACATTTTACGCGCCTATGGGTGTGCTGTGTGTTGGGGGGGGGAGGTAGTAGCTTGGTGATGTTATGATCTAACTGCCTCTTTATATTGTGGGGCACGGATTACATAACGCAGGTCGAGAAGGGCGTTGCCTCCCCGGGGCGTGAGGGATGTCTGCTGGTAAAGAAATGGTGGTGGTGGTGATGTGCTGGGAGATGCCGCCGCCGCGTGCACGGCACTGCGTCGGTTAGATGATTGGTGGGTTTGGAAGTGGGAAGGAGATTTCGCCAACAGCTAAAATGCACATGTACAAGTTCAGAATACTTTTTATCTCTTTTGACAGTACAGTCGACAGTAAAGAGAACAGAAGTTGCTTATCGCTGTTTGGACGGCTGGGTTACGGTGTCGCCAGAGGAGCTGATTGTGGCTGAGTGTAAGAGGGGAGGCGAGAGGCACGCCAGAGCGGTCTTGCCTCTGCTGGTCTACTGGTTGAAGGACGTGATTACTGCTTTTGGGGTGATAGTGGTTGAGGTGTGTTGAGGGTGCGCGGCGGGCGAAGGTGCGGGTGTTTCGGATTAGGTCGCAGGGGTTGGGGTGGGCGGGTGAAGTACTTGGTGTTTAAGTACTTGGTGCGGCTACTGTGACGTAGCTGGAAACAAGGCCTTACCGCCAAGCGTGGTGGGAGGAGGACGGAACGCCATCCTTCGAGGGAGCTTGGTCAGGAATAAAATGACAACCGATGCGGCACTTGATGGAGATTGCGCAACACTTTAAACGTTTTTTATGGTGGTTGACTGGAATGTCTCGTAGAGGGCTGTGTTGTTCCCTCAGCTGGGTTGCCTCGGGAGAGGCTTGTAGAAGTAAACTGATGAACTTGTGGGTAGGATTTACCGTGGGTGGTGTGATCCCAGCGACCTTTTGGATTTGCGGTTGGAAGCTAGAGTCTCTTAACTAAATTGCGCAGGCGGCACGCTGGCTGCAACATGATATCTTGTTTCTTTTTGTTGTGTTTAAGAGCTATGCTGATGTTATCGTTTTAATAGTTAGGCTGGCTATCTTATTGGCATTGAAGCACGGAGATGTTTGGGTTGGAACCTGTGACTGCACAAATCGCAGTTTGACAGAACCGTACGGGAGGACTTCTGACTCAGCAACCAGACTTGTTTTGTTTCCCTTCCTAACTTTGGTATATGAGGGTGAATATGAAGCCAATCCTCAAATGGATGGAGTTGGTTTGTCCCATAACAGCAACGGGAAGCACAGAAGGACACCGAAAAGGTTTAATATTGACCGGCGTGATAAGCAGCTGCCATTAAATCAGCAGCCCCGGTCTGATGAGGAAAAGCTCGCTGTTTTACGTGAGTTAGTTGAAGCCCTAAGGAAACTGCCACAGCAATCCAGTTACGCAAGGCATCGGCTTGCGGTCGCAAGGAAGGCTATTTCGCTTCTCGAGGAGAATCGGTAAGACACTCGCTCAAGTGGCTTGCTGTCAGAGGTTGTCCTGGTATGGGGGCAATTACGCTGACGGTTGCACTCTCTCTTGTAGGGAGCTGCGAAGTGAGCAGCAATCTTGTGAGTTGGAAAAGCTACTTAAACAGCTGAAGCTCTAAGCCAAGCTTTCGCAGGTACGCTTGTAACTGTGTCGACCTCACAGAATGCCATCGCTTACTCTCGGCCGCCGTCCTCACCACAATTCCCGCCCATCCTCTTGGCCCTTGCTCCGTCTGACAGTTACCACTGCAACGTTTCCAGCCCTGACCTTCCGTGCCTTTTAGCCCTCATCCCCGCGCGAGATGCCACCGCCCAGCCGTCGCACGCCACCGGCCCAGAAGCCCCACCGCGCGCACGGCCTGGAATGGCAGCAAGCTCCAGCCTCCCAGGAAGCCTCCACCTCTACATCGTCTGCCACACCCAGCGTATCCCCACAGGGACATCGGCCGCTGGTCGTCATCTTGCCATGGATGTGGGCCGCCCGGTCCGCTGTGGCGCGCCACGTCGCTCTGTACCACAGCCTGGGCTTCGATGTAGCCGTCTTCTATGGCTGGCCCGCGTTGTCAGTGTGGCTGCCCGCTTTGGCACGCCGCAACGCCGCCATGCTGCTAGCGGCCCTGACCGCCCACTTGCGAGAGCACCCCAGAGACGTCGTCTTGGCGTGCTTCAGCGGCGCCGCCAAGGGTGTGCTGTGGCCGCTGCTAGAGCGGCTCGTGCCGGACGCAGCAGTCGAGGCGGCAGCAGCGGCGGCTACGGTGTCGCGGCAAGGAGCAGAAGCTGGGCCCATCAGGCCGCATACGGTCCTGGCCCAGCAGCCGGCCCAATCGGACGCCGTTGCCACACCAGCTGCTGGGGTTACTGCTACCGCTGCCGCTGCCGTTACTGACACCTTTGCAGCTGGGCCAGTGCGTTACCTTTGGTCTCTTCTACCTGGTTCGTTCATGACGGGATGGCGGCGAGCTGGAATCACGGCTGCTTCATCGCAGAATCCCCAGCAGCACCAGCAGCAGCAGCAGCAGCAACTCCAGCAGCAGCAGCGGAAGCAATCCCCACCGGGGGACCCGGCAGCCCCGCAGCTGCTGATTCACCTTCGTGGAGTGCTGTTCGACTCGAGCCCCGTGGATTTCGATTCGGGCGTGGGTGTGCGTCTCTTCGCCACCAGCCGTCACCCGGGGCGGCGCAGCTTGCAGGCCACCGCCGGCACCGCTGCAGCCGGTACGCTGGACTTTTGCCTGTATGAGGTGTTTGAGGCGCAGCGTCGCGCCATGTGGGTCGGACTGCGACGCGGCCTAGCAGCGACACGTTTGCCCGTACTGTTTTTGTACAGCTGGAGCGGTGACAGTCTGGCGGATCCGCAGCCAATCCACGCGTTAGCAGCGGCGCTCCGCTCTGAAGCCGCCACCTGTACTTCGCCCGTTGCCGTGCAGTCAACGGCGTCGCCGTCCGCGGCGGCCACTGGGCTAGCCGGTATTAGGACCGGGACCCGGGACCTGAGGACTGCGGCCGGACCCGGGCAGTCTGCTTCCTTGCCATCAGATTTGTGTACGGCTGAGATGATGCGCGTTGGCGGTGCTGCTGCATGCAGCGGAGCTGGGAGCTCTGGCAGTAACAGGACAATTACCAGCACCACCACCAGTATTAGTAGCACTTGCTGTGACAGCAGCACCAGCAGCAGCTGCGGCGGTGGCAGCTGCGGGCGCGAGGGCTATGGGTATGGAGGTTTTCAGCCCGGTGGGGCCACGGATACACCCCACGTGGCGCCCCTTTTGCTGCCCGTGTGGGAGCAGGGTTGGGACACCTCACCGCATGTGGCCCACCTAAGGGATCATCAGGAGCAGTACAGACAAGTGGTGAAGGCCTTCCTGGACAACTGCCTCGGGGTGCAGTCCACGGCGGGGGCCACAGCTGGGTCAGGGTCCGGCCCAGGGCCCCGGTCAACTGCCGGGCTAGGGGTGGGATTGTTCGGGAGTGACGCTGGCGGCGGGGGGACCGTCAGGTCTTCGCAACGGGTTGATGGATGGGCAGCAGGAGGACGCACTGGCGGCGTGGGAGCTGCGTCTCGTCTTTAGTTGCCAACGTTAATTGTACTGCTGCACTGTAATGCTGGAAGGTCGAGAAGGTCAACGAAGTTTTTTCCCTGGTCTTGCTTCTCGCGGTCGAAATTGTGTCCCTCCTTCTTTCGAGACCCTCGATGGACTATTAACTCGGCAGCTTGTGCGATGGCGAAGATCAGGGCTGCAGGCAATTTGCTTTTGCGAGCGCTGCGAGCGTTGGGCGAATTTTGTGGAGTAGATGTTGGAGTTAGTGGGTAGGTGCTGGGTGGGTGGGGCAGTGTGCGCATGTGAGAATGTGGCCTCTCTGATTGGGGAAAGGCAGGCCTTAAATGGATTTGTCAAGCAGCAAGCAGCAAAACTGTCTGCGGTTCGCCTGACGATGACGATGGTGATGATGATGACGCTGGTGGTGATGGTGATGATGATGGTGACGATGATGGGCATGGTGATGAGGACTCCGGGTTGTTGCAGCGACGCTGACAGAGTTGGGGGTTAGGAGCAAGATGACGGAATGTTAACAGGGTGGTGGCCGTTGCGGTAAAACGATGGTAGCGGACGTGGGCGTCGGTTTGGTGAATTTCGCTTGGAGCTGCTTGCACGTGATTCGCACGTGCTTGCCTCGCCTCCTCTTCACCCCAACACCGGGTTAACAAAGCCGAGAGCCGGCAGCAGGCGTGAGGTGGGTTCGAGGTGGGCGCCAGAACCCGAACCCGATCCGTAACAGCAGCTGTGGGTCCCGGTGCATATGCCGTCGCACGATTCGCAAGCACAGCAACCCCCCATCCACATCTCCCCTCCCCCACCATCAGCTTCACTCGCTCGTGGTTCGTCTTTCCCCCTCACACACCATCATCGCCATAACGCCACACAAAAAGTTTGAAAACATGTACAGTTGCGGTCAAGTCACTCGCATGCCGCGACTGCATCCTCAAGCTCATCCCCATTGTCTGACAGGACTCTTGAACTATGTATCAGACGTATAATTCTGCAAAGCAGAAGAGTTGTATGAGGGGTATTCACCCGTGGCCACTAGCCTGCTGGCAGTCCCTACCTTCCCCAATGGTTAAGAGGCACATCATCTCTTCACCCACATGCCGACTTCTCTGAAGTTAGTAGCTTTTTCGGGTTCAGCACCCACCGCCACCAACACCAGCATCCAGTGGAATCTGCCCCCGGATCAACTTCACTACAGGTCTGCTCGCAGGTTGATCACTATAACCAGGTCCCTTTCCGTCCACGGGCACGGGGGCTCATCTACCCTCTTACGGTCGAGGGATTTCCTCTGTGAGGACCAATCCCGGAACCTTGCAGTGACACTATGCCGCGCTGCTGCAAATTTGTTCTTTATCTGGAGCCATATGAGACGCACCAGGGGGCCACTCAGGTGCAACTCTGGTGATCGGTCCATGCATTCCTAAATACCGCACAAAGTTTCCGTCTTTTAAGGGCCACATCTCGTGTTTGAAAGACCAATCATGAGAAACAGCGGTCCTGCATGCATACTGCCGCCAAACGACATCACATCATTGTACATAGAAGTCCACCACTTCAGCGCCACCATCGCAACATCAGACCGCGCATCATCATCATCCCATTCGGGACCCTCTCCTTTTGATCGCATCGGTCCGACACGTAACGTACTTCGCTCGCATCAGGCTGCTTCGCGTTTGGTCGTTTAAAGCTCCTCTTTCGGAACCTGTTCCAGCTGCCTAGCGGCCCGCACCGCCCCCAACGCCCACACGCGCGGGCCCCCGAAACGCCGAAATCCACAAAGCCCACAACCCCAAAGCTCACAAACCCCACAACTTCTTCTTGCCACCGCCACCATCACCAGCGCCACCACCACTATTTGCCCCTTCCGCCGCCGCCGTTGTCGCTCCTGCCCGCACCTCCAACACCACACCGCCCTCCACCGCCCGCGGCGCCGGATCTACCACACAGGCACCCGCTGACACCCCCTTCCCTGCCCCCGCCACCTTCCCTTTCCCCGCACCTGGCGCCCCTACCACGAGCCTCAACTCACTACCGCGCCCAGTTACCTCACTGGGCAGCCGGTTGCCCTTGACGATGCAGCTCCGCAGTTCCACAGTCGCGCCGTCTCGGAGCGCCAGGCCGCCTCCCGAGTTTTGCACCAGCGAGCAGTCCGCCGCTGCGGCCGAGGTGCCGCAACCCCAGGCCACCAGACCTGCTACTTGGTTGCCGGTGGCCTCGCAGCCCACCAGCTGGCAGCGGGCGCTGTCGGTTAGCAGCGCTCCTGCCTGGCCGTTATGGGAAAGAGTCGTCTGCGAGCGGGGAAGAGAGGGGGAAACGTCTTGTTGAACGCGGTGATAAAGTGGAGGAGGAAACGGTTTCTGATTGGGTGCGTCAGTGATGCCTTAGTTAAGCACGTCAGTGATGCCTTAGTCTAAATAAGTCCAAAGCTATACCTTGGTTTTGACGGAAGAGCCAAGGGGAAGGGCCAAGGGTTCCTTCGGAGAAGGGCAGGAAGGCTACGTATGCTCCTAAGCAACGTAAAGAAAAAGTGCGTATCAGCATGCGTTTTCACTCTCTCGCCTGGTCATCACCTAACACAGCGGTAAGTCTTGTTCCGTTTACAGGAACTCGGTTCATGCAAAACTCTGCTATACAGAGGGTTCGCATTGGCAAACGGACCGGAGCTGAACAAAGGAAAAGTCCAGAACACGCAGACAACCCTAAAAAACCCATTCAAGGCCCATGCCGAAATCCGGAACACAAAGCCTAAATCCAATTGCCAATTCATAGCTCAGATTCCACGAATCCCTGCTCGTACACCCACCTGCCGTAGAGTCCCCTCCGCGCCATGTCCTCGCACCAGCACTCCGTGTGCCTTATTGCCCGTACATGAGCAGTGAGTGAGGGAGGCCGCGCCGCCGCCCGCCACCAGCACGCCGGACTGACCACAGCATGATCAGCATCAGCATCAGCGCCGTCGTCGTCGTCGTCGTCACGAGGCCGAAGGAGGCCGGTGATTGGACATCACACACATCAACAGTAATCAGGGGGAAGAACAAGCGCATGTGTGCGAGGTGCCACCCTTCTCACATCGCTCTGACTTGACATCATCTCCCCCCCCACCCCCCACCCCCCACCAAGGGAGGGATCTATGCATTAGGGTCCGCCACCGGCGCGCCGGATGTTACTCGGGGCTCGTCTGGGTCACCCCCCGGCTCTTCGTCTCCTCTCCCCTCCAGCCTCAAGAACCGAAGTTCCCCCCCTTCTACGGCAATTTTGAGTTTTGGAGTCGTCGGCAGTTCTTTCCCGTCTTACCTTTCCCCTCTCCACCCTTCCGCCAAACCCTCTCGTCCCGCACGCGTGTATGCGTGGGATCGGGTGGCGTCAACCCTTTGTGAGCCTCACCCCACCCCACCCCACCCCACCCCACCCCACCTGGCCGTTCATGGAGATCTTGCAGTCCAGGGCGACCAGGCGGCTCCCCGGCTCGCTCACCTCCACACCGGCCAGGCCGTTGCTCACCACCTCACAAGCAATCAACTCCGCATCCGCGCCGCCGTACAAGTTAACGCCCGCCTATCCGTACACCCGCAAACACACCCGCAAACACACCCGCAAACAGAAGGGAGAGGTCAAGAGACACGGCCGAAGGGATGGGGCAATGGGGGCCGGGGAAGGGGGGCCCAGCGCCAAGGGGTCGGCGCGAGGGGGTCGCGCGTGTGTTGCGGAACGATGTTGATGTTGAGGGCATATTGATGTTGAAGGCATGTTGACGTAAACTGCTGTTATGTGGTTATCACTACGTGGTGACCAAACGCAGTCGCAACATTCGCGCGATTGTGATTCTCTCCCGACAGCTCTGATTGGCAATTGGTTTCCGTCATACACACACATTCTCCATTTCCCCCCGGGTTACAAACTCCATGCCGTACCATGACGATAAAAACACATTTGCGGCGATAAAAACCTAACCTGAGATCTCCTTGTCCAGGAAAGCTCCCTCTCCCTCTCCCTCACTAACCCAGCCATACGATTCCCTCCCTGAACCCACTTCCACCCCCACCCCCACCTCCACCCATCCCGCGTCCCCATCCGCCCACCCCAGCCAAGTTCACGACCCTCACGCCATGCCGTACATCCCTCGTCCATTCACATGAAGTCATTTACATGAAGTCCTGAGCTCTCAGCAGTGGCCACCACCACCAACATGAACCCACCTTCGACCCCGACACCACGCACTTCACCGCCCTCAGCCGCGCGCCGCTCCCCGCCATGACGCCGTTGTGCTCCGCGGAGTCCAGCACGCTGCACCCCTCCAGCCGCCCGCACCCGCCGGCCTCCAGCGCCAGACAGGGCCCCGAGCAGCGCTGCAGCCGACACGCGCTGGCCGTCAGGGAGCTGCCTGCGTCACGGACCCAGGCTCCGGCCCCCTCGGGGGACTCAAGCTGGCAGTCTCGGAGGGCGGCGGCGGCGCCACCAGCCAGCCAGAGTACCAGATGCGGACCGTGGTTGGTGAGCTGCGCATGAGTGTGTGTGGGGGGGGGGAAAGGGGGGGAAGGGGAGAGGGAGAGGGAGAGGAAAGAGGCCGTGCGGTCAGGGTTTTGGAGGAAAAAAGGGAAGCCCCACGCAACCCCCCAGACACAGCCCCCGTTGCCTGGGCCCCCAGTAAACCCCTCTCCAGGATCTTCCCCCCCTGTGTACGGCAGTTGGTTTCCTTGGCTTTGCATAATGTGTGCTGTGTGTCTTTTACACTTCGGTTGCGTTAAGTTACCCGGAGAGGTGTAACGAGTGCCCATACGAGCCAGATAGCTATAGGCCCAAGAGCCGAAGAGCCACAAGTTATATATCCCCCCCATCCCCGATCACCCCCATCGCCCATCCCTCCCATTTCCCCCACATGCGCCTCACACGCCACACCTCACCTGGCACCGCAGCATCCGTACACCCACGGCACCCGCAACCACCACCATGGCCCTCCCGTTCTCGTACGGCGCGCCAGAAACACCTCCTCCTCCTCCCGTAACCCCACCGCCGCCTGCTCCCAGCGCCACCCCGCGCGGGCCCCCCTGCCGCGGCTCCGTAATCACAGACATGGTATCCAGAACCACACCCGACCCCGCAATCCTCAGCTCCTGGTTCTGTCGCAGCAACAGCGCGCCGTTGCGGAGGGTGATGTGGGGCCGGTTGATGAAGAGGGTGCCGCCGGCGGCAGCGGGCGGCGCTCCGGCGTCTAGCGCAGCCGCAGCCGCTGCTACTGCTGCTGCTGCTGCCGGCAACTGCTGCTGCTGCTGTTTTCTGAGCTCCAGGGCGGGTAGGTCTCCGGAAAAAGTGTCCCCCCCAAGATCGAATATTGTGGGCCTTACGGTGAGGGAAATCCGGTCGGAGAGCTCCTGGGAGGGTTCGGAAAGGGCGGGAAAGTCAATGGAGGGACCGTACGGGAGAAGTGAAGGGAGGGAAAGGGAGAGCCCGGGGAGGGAAAACGAACAACGGACGGGCCCCGGGTAGGGTGGGGTGGGGTGGGGTGATTTCTCCTGCATTACCGAGTGTTGGAGCGGCGACGAGGGGAGCAATAATTGCAATTGTAATAGGTGTCATCTATATCTTGCAACCCCCACCACCCCCACCGGCAGTACATCCCCCCACCGGTAGGATGTACCCCGCATGCTCCAAGAGGAGTCCACCGCAGCCCCTGCACTAACCTGCCCTTCCTGACGGGGCTGTTTCCTCGTACCTGAAGCTTCCCGGTGTAGCACCGCACCACAACGTAGTCCTCCTCGGGGGGGTCCGTAGGGCCCGGCTGGAAGCAGCCCTCCAGGCTGGCAGCCCCACCCGCGACCGCCTCCACGTTACTGCCGACGGCCTCCACGCCACGACTACCTCCGCTGCCGCCGCCGCCATTGCGCACCCCGTCGCCTGCGGTAGCTGCCGCCGCCGGAGCCGCCGCTGGAGCTGGCATGCAGCCGCCCGCCTGCAGGCGCTCCAAAAGCTCCCCCATGACGCCCTCAAGAATTGTACGGCACAATGGTCGCGGGCCGCGGGGTACGCGCTGCAGCGGCGCTAGCAGCGGCTCCAGGGAGGGTTGTTGCGGCGGCCAGGGCCCCGAGTGCCACAGAGGCAGCAGGGGGCCGGTGGCCTCCTTCCCCGCCAGGGAATCCGCGGTGTGAACTTCCCGAGCGGCTTCGGGGTGGGTACCGTAGCTGAAACGGGTCGGAGTGGGATTCGGCGGGAGTTAGGGTTTCGGCAGGTGGAATATGGGTAGATGTTTGGGTTTGTGGCCGTTGACTGACAGCTTCCATGGTCCACACGTCTATGCATGGAAGGCACGGGCACGGAGAATGGGAGATAAAATGCAAGCTTCTAAGCATGTACGGTGTGCATGCCGTACTCCACAGGAGAGGGTTGGGTTAAGTTTGGTTGGCGGGGTGACGGCTGGAGGAGGCGCATACAGCATCCCCTTCCATCTTTTCACATATCGCTTTTATCTTTTCGAATTTGATCCCCCTTGCTCTTCTGCAGTAGCTCCTCCCTGATAGGACTCCGCATCTGGAGTTCAACATCAGCTCAGTTGAACACTAGACAAAAGGTCGAACGCTCCGATGGGAAGCCGCGCACTCACTGCTCCGAGACCAGCGCGACGAACGCCTGGCACTGCTCCACGCACTGCTGCATGCGAGCTGGCCAGGACAGCTCCAGACCTGACTGCACGCCCGCAGAACCCCGTGGCCGCCGCGGCGGCGGCAGGGCGCCAACGCTGCCTGGGGTCGCGGCGCCGGAGCCCGTGATGTCAGCATCCGGGTCGAGCTCTCCAAGTATAACAACGTAGCCGCGGGATGTCAACCAGTCCCGCACGCGGCAAGCAGCGCCGTCGCCCCCATCGACCCGCGGGTCACCGGTATCGGCGGGGTGGTAGCTGAGGTAGACGTGGCCGGGACGCTGTCCCGAGGAGGCTGGGGTACCTGGGGTTTCGTATGAGGGCGGGATCGGAGGTTGGGAGAAAAGGGGGCCGGGCTATGCAACAGATTGAGTTCAGGATGCTTGAACCCATGTTACGGGGGAAACTCATAATGGGCTGCAGGGGAAACTTTTGTATAACGGTTAAAGTTTGGGATTCCGGCGGCAGCAGCTAAATCAAAGCTGAGTTCAGTCATTATGCCCATGCATGGCGACTCACCCTGCAATACTTCAATTGTCTTCCGGCGCGCAGCCGAATTGGAAGAGGAGCAACCCGCACCCATGCTTATGTACTGCGCGAGGCTTCAAAAGTGGTCACCGGGCTATAAGGATGATGGCTTCCCTAGCCCTTCGCAGCTTCTTCCACGCAGGCAGAAGTGCAATCGTATCAGAGCTACCTTACCTATTTACTTACGCTATCCACGATGGTGAGCACTCCATAAAAATGTGGAAGGCGGTTGAATTTCAACTAAACATCGGCATGTGAACAGCACAGCCCAGCTTTACTGAGATATCAACGGTAGGACAACGATACAGCATCATTATTATTATATTATCTATTTTCATGGAAGCTTAGCAGTGAATTGACTTCAGCAAACCCTTGTCAGCCCACGTCCTGCTGCGTTACTGTATTATTAAAGCACGTACTAAAGCATGTATCGACACGGCCTGGGCTTCTGCATGTACTGTAATCCTTGCTAGGTGGATACACCTTGTAAAGTACCCGGGCCGTCGTACCGGCCTGCACTATCACGGGGCCGGGCAAGGCCGGGCAAGCCTCCCCAGCGATAATGTGCACTCCGCACGCGTACCGCATTTGCAAGACTGCAAGAAACATACCTGTCGCGAAACTCGCTCGCCATATTTTCTGGGCAAACTCTCGCTGCCCAGTAAGCTTCCAGTACAAGCCTGGATACTTTCCCTTCTCCGGAAATGGTACCAATCCAGTTGCTAGATTACGTTACATGCCTTGCAGCCCATGTTGCAGGGCGATGCGGAAACAAGGGCAAATGTACGCCGCCGCTATCTGGACGTCAACCCTTGACGTGCCCCAGCGCCCAGCCAAGCTATCCTTCGCACGCCATGTCAGGATTCAGCGCGCAAGGCATGTTTGGGTGAGCAACTACGGCGTCTGCTCTATTCCAAAGAATCCACAGGCGACCACCTGCGCCTCATGACGCGCCTCATTACCCCGCTGTTTCAAGGCGATCAAATGGCAAAAGCGCGGCTTATCACCTGCCTTGCTGCCTGCAATACCATCCGGCCGTTCATCTGCTCGCCCTACCAACCGTCCGTCTCACCCAACCGCCCCCGATCCTGATGCATCTGGCTGCGAGGTGTAACAGACTAGCCCCTGATCCAAGCCAGACCACCGCCCTTTTATTGCCCCATTTACCAAAAGCGGCTAGTTAATGTTGGCGCCGCAACTGCATACCTCGCGTGTTGGAATCACGTCCAGCACAGCTCCATCCACCCCAAAAGTGCGACGCTAATGCATCCAAGCAACATAGTGCGCACGTCAGCACGCGCACCCGGTTGCCCGCAAGATTGTCTCTGCGCGTCTAGCGTGACCCCACATCATATGAATACCGCAATATAGCGCACGCAAAACCGTCGCCGCGTCGTAAATTACTATTTGTAGTTGCTGTCCCTGCTGTTCACTGCCGTGGACTCGTATGTACAAGAACTGTGTAGTAGGAAATGGAGCTGCGTCCTACAGCCTGGGCCCAAGGACGACCCACCAGCGGCTACCATCCACCGTCACGCCCCCGTTTATGCCATGTTCCGACGAGAGCAGCGGCCACGGGGTTTGTGATCCCTCGGGAGAGAGATCGAGGTCACATATACCCACCACACGGACACGCAAGCACAATTCAAATTCGTGTACATGAAATCTCCTCCCGCCGCCACACGCAGGCAGCATGCCCAGCCCCCGGCGCGCACAGGCGTGTGGTACGGCTAGACACAAAAGCCGACAAGATCGGCAGACATGCCTTACAGGCTACTGCAAGCACCGAAGCAATGGGTCAAACGGCAGTCCGCGGCCATGCAATCACAATCATCTCCGGGCCCGATCCTCGGAAAGATGCATGCCATCCAATCCAGGCCCTGCCACCATTACTGCGTCACCACTGAGGTAACTCTCCACAGCGTACCCCCCGGGGAAGAGCCATAGGTCCAAAGCATGCCGAACCGTTGGCCTGCACCCGCGCTCGTGCTTGCTCCTGCACATCGCTCGGCGGCACGAGAGCAACAACTAGACAATTCATTTACTTGGCCTTGCTGCGCAACCGGGGGTCGACCGTGTCTTTAATAAGACCCTTAGCCTTTGGCAACGCCGCCTTCTTCTTGTCATCCTCGTCACCCCAGTTGACCGAGTCGCGCAGGGAGCCGATGTCCGTGGGGTCCTTGCCGCCGGGCCTGAGGTGGCGATAATAACACGACGGACGACCAGACTTCACAGGGTGGAGAGATGACACGGCTCGCCTCGCGGTACAGTATGGGTCATCCACGGCAGGCAACGCATAAAAAACATCATGCCGGGGGCTAGCTGAACATCCCACGTACACTGGAAGCGTGCATGACCATCGGTCGAAAAAGAAAGCTCAACATTGCGGTGATGTGCAGAGCCATATCCCAGGATAGACGCAGCCAGCATAATATGGCGGCCGCAAATACATGGCAGCCGGAGACAGAGCTAGCACATGTTGGCGGAAGATAGGCGTAATGCATGTCGTACGCTGAGAGAAGAACCCGCACTTACTTTGTGCCCATAGTGCGGCGCGCGGCGCTGCCTGGTGGCCGCCCGGCGGCGCTTCCAGGCCGAGCCTTGCCAGCAGTCCCTGGTCGGCCGTTGACGCCCGCCTCCTCGAATTGCGCATAGCTACGGGACCACGGGAACGGATGGAGCAGGGAACCGGCGGCGGGGTAGGTTACCAGGGAACCCAAGACGGGGGCCAACGATTCAACTTACGAGCAAGAGCACCTGCGGGAGCTGGCGTGCTGCGCAGCCGCATTAAGAAGGGGCTAGGCGACAAATGAATGGGGCCATGGAACACGAAGCACGGCCCCAAATGATTGTTCCGGCAGGGGCAAAGCCCGAGCTGCCCTGGCAATCGCCGCCCGGTGGAACACACGTGCACCCACGGACGCACAAACAACCCCGGGGGACATTTGGTCGTGTTGCGTATGTAATACCGGCCATTGACTGCCCGTACGAGCATTTCAGTGAATTAGGCGTACCCAAGCCCACCTGAAAAAGCAGTTCTTAAGGCGCTCGTTGTCGGGATTGTCAGAGCCGTGCTCCTTGTCGTGCTCCTGGGCCGCAAGTTCCTGGTTGGTGCGGATGGCGTTGCCTGCGGTGCAGAGACGCCATTGAGGCGGCGATAAACATTGAGGGGTTAAAGCTCACGTTAATCGTTATGAAAACGCGCAGCCCGCCCGCTGGGAACCCTTGGAAGGCAAGCTAAGGACCAGGCAAGGGGCCCGTCTCCGTGCGGAAGGCCTTTCCCTTTCCCGCAGAAATTGGTAGCGGCTACTACGACCCAAAGGCCGCATGAATTTTGTAAGCTGAAGCTTGAATGCGGACTGTTGTAACAGGCGGCGGCCCAGACACAAAGCCCCCGGCGGCGGCGGCCCAGGTAGGACGTTGTGACAGGCAGCAGGCACTAACATGGTGTTACACACGGTGCGACAAAAGCCGCGGCACGGCTTACCACCATGTGGTCGATTAGTGAGAGCAGGTGGGAATGCGGTTTATCTTGCAACCCGCATGTGCCCTGGCTGTGTTCTAACAAATCACACAACGTATGAGATTGCACAGTGTGCAGCTTCTGCTAGCCCAGCCACCCCCGGTGCGGCAGCAGGCCGGCGCACCTGCATACGCGATACAGTCGATGGACCAGGTGCTGTCGTAGTCCTGCCAATGGCAGTGCTGCATAATGCGGTCTTGGTAGTCTGGCGGGATGAAGCAGGCGATGATGAGGTTCTTGAGCTTGATCTGAGGGTGGGGGTGTCATACGGCAGCAAGGATGATGCGGGTACAAAAAGCGCTATGATTGCAGCATTATTAGCGCACGTACCCCGCAGAAGGCATAACAGACGCGAGTTAACAAGTTAGGGCATTACCGCATCGTGCAAGGTTCTAACACCCATGAAGTCAGAACAGCCACGACCCACTTCGCCCTTGGCGCTGCTGTTCTAAGCTATCACAGCGCCAGCCGCAGTCCAATCATCCAACTTGGGAAACTGGTATACCTTTTTCTTCCCCCCATGCTGGAGGTTAGTTGTCCACTCTAGCGTTGAACAACCCAAACCACATTCGTTCGAACCCACGAACGTTTCTGCTTCCTTTATCGCGCTCCTTCCCTGGTCCCCGTTCCCCTACCTGCGTGGGCTTTGGTGAACCCCCCTTTTCAGCCCATCGGCTGCCCCCTCGTCCCCGTCGTCAATCACCTGCTGTGTAAGAATGCGGTAGTCCTCCAACATGCCCTCCCGCTCCCGCTGGAATTGCTCCTGGAGATCCGTCAACTCGCTCTTCTTGGCCTGGTACTTCTCGAACAACTTCTTCAGCTGCCGGCTCTTGACCTGCGAGTACAGGACATTGCACACAAAGGTGGCCCGGCGGGGCCCGGGTGGCCGGGTTGTTATGGAGGGAAATGCGCCGGAGTCGTGGGATGGGCGAAAGTGGCACAATATGTCGGGAAAATGTTGCTGGAAAACGCCGAACCATAAATCTGGGTTAGGATAAATGTTCTTAGGTCCATGAGGTGAAACGTTAAGCCAAGGCCGCCGACAATGGTGGGATGGGATAGCAACTCCGGGGCGCGGGCTGGATGCCATGACGTGTGCTGTAGGCGCTGCGAACACGCCGGGACGGGAGCCCGATGCACAGGGACAGTCCCGTGCAAGCACTCACGTTAATTTCCTCGTCCAGGGATGCGAACTTAGAATCCACATCCATCTGGGCCGCGGCCAGCTCCTCCAATCGTCGCTTGGCCTCTTCTTCCTGGCGCTTTCGAATTGCCTGTAAGGGCGGGGCAACGGCACGAGGCCGTGTCAAGAGGACGCAAAACAGTCGGGCAATCCAGTGGACTGCTCAAGCGCTTTTTTTCCGTGTATGGATCCCCGGCTTCGTAGGACGGCCCCCCCCCACTTGTGCGGAACTTGTGACTTCACCAGATCAGTAAAAAAATCTGTGCGGCAAACTTTGCAACACTGACTGTGCACTGGGAGACCTTGCATCGGTAATCCCCTGCATGTTACTGGAAAGATACGGTTGCTTGGTTTGAAGAGTCTCAATGGAAAGCACAGCAGCCAGTGCCCCTGCAGCCATGCAACCGGCCCTGGACTCACCGCCTCACGCTTGATGTCCTCGCTGCGTTGCTTGAGCTCATCCACCTTTTCGAGCATGTTCACACCTCCGACCACAATCTGATAGGAAACGGGGCCAACAAACACCGAAGTCAGGCCAACGTGGATGGCAAGAATGCGCACATGAGCAGAAGGCAACTCTGGACACTGGAAGCAGTCTGGGGCCAAGATCAAAAGGGTCCCGTCTCATGTTCCTAAGACACCCACCCACCTTGCCCTCCATCTCCTTGATGCGCGCCTCCAGCTCCTCCTTTTCCTTCTTCTCCTTCTCGATCGCCGCTGCGATGGCTCGCGCTTCCTCCGCTTGCTTCTTAAGCGCTTCGCGCGCTGCTTTGCGCTGTGCCTCCGTCTTGCTCTGGTCATCGATAATAGCCTGCAGGAGGATGGCACAAAGCATTCGTGGATTCTGGTTCAAGCATTGGGGCAGCAAAGACTTTGATGAACGGCTTCACCTTCCACGGGATTACGTACGGGGACCGACTAATTGACCTAGGCAAGTAAACCAAAAGACCAGGTGGCGCCGACTCTCGCCGCACACGCAGCTGCCAACCAGGGAACGCGATCCAATTCTCCAACCAAAGTCACGAGTTGCAGGGTCCGTTTTGCATTCCTTCCAAAGATGGCCTTGTAGATCACGTCCTGCAATTTCTTCCAAGACAATCACCTGAAACCCAGCCCAACCCAGCCGAAGCCTGAACAAGGTTGCACATCTCCCCCATGAATCACCTGCAGCTGGTTCCTGGCCGCTGCCTCCGCCTCCTCACGGGCCTTATCCAGCGCCTCTGTGCTCATGTCGATCTGCATCTTGGCCTCGAGCTCCTTGCGCATCTGCTCCTTGATGGCGTCCACATCGGGGTCCACCTGCGAAGGGGCGAAGAAGGGGCGAAGAGGAGAGGCGGTGATGTCCCTCGAAATCAGGCACAGACAACCTGCGTCATTAACGCCACGCAGACCTCCTTCGAAACGGAACAGCAGAGCTGCCTTCAGATTTCGTTTACGAAACATGGGTAATAATAATAATAATAAAATAATAATAATAATATAATAATAATAATAATAATAATAATAATAATAATAATGATAATAATAATAATGTCCTACCTCAACGGTGCGCTCCACAACCCGCTGTGTGGGACTGGCCCCAGTAGGCGCCGCCACCGGGACAGGGCCACCGCCAGCCTGGCGCGCCTGTGGAACGTTAGCAGCGGCACGGGCAACAGCAGAGGGCTCGCAGGAATCCGAGGGGCAGCAAGTAGGAAAATCAATGAAGAGGAAAAGCGTTGTATGGGGTGGTCTCGGCACAAATAAGTCTCTCCTGCGGCTGTTCTGGTGCTGCTTTACTAGCAGGTACCATTGGTATGGCAACAGAACCTTATGCTGAACCCCCACACGTAAAACACGATTGCATCGCACTGATTGATCACTACAACCGCAGGCGCCCCCTCTAGTTCAGTCCGTCGTGCGTGGCTGGGTCGTGTCGCGCTTTGTGTTGTTGTGGCTGCACGGCTAGTGTTTTCTCCTTGGCCCCCGTCGAAGGCGGTGGGCCCTGCCGCGCAGTCAGCGTATGGCTTGGCTGTTTGCCTCCTCTGCAGTGTAATGGCCATTGGCAACTGTCGTTTCCGTCCCCTCCTCGGAATGTACGGCACCGGTCACTCAGACGCTAGCACGTAACATTGAGAATCAGTCGTGTCGCCCGCCTCACCGCTAGCTGCTCCTTGAGCTTCTTGATCTCCTCCTGGAACTGCCGCAGCATAGCGTCCTTGGGGTCCTCGTTGATCTTGGGCTGTGGGTAGCAAGCCGTAAGCAGCAACAGCAAGATGCAAAGTCAGCGGGTTCGGTCTCGATTTCGCGGGTAGGGCCCTCCATGTATGGCGCATATCAGCTACCCCCAGGTATGGTACACTTTCAATCCAGGGACGCCGCCCCGACCATCACGTCTCGGACTGACGTAATGCCACGACGACACGCACAACCGCTCGGCTCACGTCATCTCCATTTCATGTGTGCACAGCATACTGCACAGTCTGTGCAAGCTGGGCTCCAAGTACAGTCCACACGGCGAACGGCTGCGGACCCGCCACCTGTGCATCCAAACGCACCTTGTTCTGGATGTTCTTGGCGCGGTTGGCGTAGCGCAGGGTGGACATGGTCTCGTCGTAGTTCCAGTCAGCAGGGCCAATGTTTGCCACCATGACGGTCTTGGTGTTGCCGCCCAGGGAGTCCTGTGCCAACACCGCCGCAGCACCAGTTGAGAGCGGACACAAATGACGTAATGCAAAACCTTAAACAGACATCACAGCTGATACAGGACTGTATCAAGCTGGTAGAGCAGACGCCAGCAAAAGGGGTCATATAGTCACCGTGCACCGCGCACGGACAGGCAGATTAAGCTGCATGCCCACAGACATGCATATCATCTGCACATAAAACATATTTACTATCGACGCGCAGGTCCGGTCCCGACCCGACCTGCAGCAGGCGGGTGAGCTTGGAGTCACGGTAGGGGATGTGGCCGCTCTTGCCGTCCACCAGGGCGGAAATGACGTTGCCCAGCGCAGTAAGCGACAGGTTGATCTTGATGCCCTCCTTCAGCCGGTCACCTAGGTTCCGAGGGGGCGGACGCGCAGATTAGGATGCAGCATGCAGAGCGGGGATTAAGCTATGCAGCCTCGGAAAGGCCGGGGTGCCCTGCCGCTGTGCTCGGCCAGGGGGCCCAAGAGGACAGCAAGCAGTACTTAGACAACCCTGCATCAGCCAACCCAGGCGCCGTTATACTGAACGGCAAACCACTCCCGTGTCTTTCCAGCCAGAGTGCAAAGTCCCAAGAAACTGTGGCGTGGTGTCTGGAGGTTGTCATTATACAGGTCAGCGACCTGCGCGGCCTCGCTCCCAGTGTAGCCCAGCGCCCCTCTTTCTCCCCAAAACCCACCTGTGGCTCCCGTCTTATCCTGGCGCTCGCTACCCGCAAGGTCGACGAGGTTGAGCTTGCCCACGCGGACGTGATTGCTGTCGCCACCCTTGGCGGCTGGGTCCAAGGCAGGCAAAGCGATACAACGGCTACTCAAGAAGCATGACGGCACATACCACCCACACAACATGCCAACCCCATCCCTCCCATTGGAGACGGATTGCTTTTGCGCCAAACCACATGGCCAATCACCGTCACCGGCCTGACGGTCACGCAGGGTCCGCGCATACACATACATACATACATGCATAAGTGGCAGTACCGCTCTACGCGCAACCCATGGAGCCAGCGCGTCACGGCGCTCCCAAGCCATCCGAGAAATCCCAGCGCAGCAAGCATGTCGAAGCCCCGCATCCTCGCGCCGTGCTCAGCTGCCTACCTGGCTTGGGCGCGGCCGCGGCGGCGCTCTCCAGCTTCTCAATGCATTCGATGGTGATAGTGAAGATGGAGTGTGAACGGGACGAGTCCTGGTTCATTAGCGTGGCGCCCACTTGTCGGTTGTCCTTGCCCGCCTGCGAGCAGGTGCGTTGTGTGTGCGTGCGCATATTTTGTACTAGAGCCGACCGCCGAAGCGTGCGTGCTCGTGGCGGTCAAGTCACAATGATGACCGAAAGTGTTTGAATGGTCAATACATAACAAGCAGCAGCTTCTGTGCATGTTGCAAGGTTACGGAGGGGTCTGGGAGGCAGTTAAGGTCATCCAAATCCAACACGGACGCTCATGCAGTGTTGAAATAAGGCCTGCAAAGCTGGCGGGTATAAGGAACACCATCCCAGCACCTCCCCTTCCACCAGCTCTGCTTTCGGAAGCCGTGCCCGCATCGTAATCTTCCGCGGCAATGCTCTGAGCACGGCGGGTCACCAGCCAGCACCCATGCTGCTTGCTGCTACGCTCTCGCGGCGCTGACCGACCTTCAAGACCTTGTACATCTCCTCATAATTCTTGCACACGAACTGCGACAGGTCCTTGACATACACGCCACGGTCGGGGCTCTCCTTGAGCTCCATCTTCTTGGTGTGGTCCTTGCCCAACAGGTCGCGCACCTGATAGCGTTCCGGGGCCACAGGGCCACAGAGATGTCAGAAGTGTCACGCGGTGTCAGAGGGCCACGGTGAAGAAATGACAGCTGAGGACAGCGGCAGCATCGGGATTCAGGTTGCGGGTAATGGAAAAAAACGTGCTCACTTTGGCGTGCCTGTAGGTATCTGGCTTACAGCCCAAACAAACGTACCAAACCACGCCCATACATTGCCCGGCCACGTGCTAATCAGCCCGTAATCCCACCCGTATTCCCTCCAGGTCAACGTTTCCCAAGGTCACTCGCCGCCCCAGCAACAACACACCTCCTCGTTGTAAATTTCCAGGTAGCTGGAGCGGACGAGGAACTCCTTTGTGCCGCCTGCGGAAGAAGGGGAAGAAAACGTCCTTGATGCTACAGCGAGCCGAGGATTACTTCCACGGCCGCAGGAGCTGGGACTGGGCCGTGCTCGCACTGGCGCACGCAGCTTATCTCCACGCACACGTCAACCCCGTGATGTGTCATCTGCTGCTGAACTTGAAGACCCATATTACTGCCTAACCACACAGCTTTTATATGTGCGTCCCCAGCGCCTCGTGATGAACCCAATTCATTACACGCCGGGTCCTTGAAAACATGTTTGTTCCCCAGGGCAATCCCACAAGCCCAGCCATATCCGCCGCCGCGCTGCTCACTGTCGCGAGCGATGATCTCGAACACGTAGCGGAACGTGTTGGGGATGAGGCCGCGCAGCTCCGGTGGCTCATCCTTGCCCTCCATGGTGTGCGACTTGCCCGTGCCGGTTTGGCCATAGGCGAAAATGGTGCCTGTGAGACAGAAGTGGGTCACGAAAAAAAGGTAGATTTGAACAGACAGGAAAAAACGTTACAGGTTTACGTCGCGGCCCACACAGCCGGCCAGGAGCACTTGCATCGCGCGCACAGCTCCACTATGGCGCACAGGAAATGAGGCACACAGGTTCGCTGGTTGGCTTTCCAACGTGCATAAATAACATCACATCCTGGTCCCCATGGCAGGCTTGCAAAATTCGACAAAGGCGCCGTACTGTGACGGGCGATGCGGTCATTCCGACCTACCGTTGTAGCCCTCGATGCAAGAGTCAATGAGCGGACGCGCCGTGATATCGAACACATCACGCTGCTGGCAGTTCCAGTCGTATACCTAGAGACGGGATGAGGTGGGGGGGAGATGGGGGTGGTTGACAGACTTGGCAGCGGCCTGTGTTAGTGTTGTGTTGCTGCCAAGGACTGGCGGACCAGTCGAATCACACGGTTTGGCGCAACGTGCAGGGATTCCCAGACATGTCATGTTTCTACCCGAGCCGTGAGCTGTGTGCATTGCCGGCAACCATGGATTGCCTGCATGCATTTTCGGATCAGCGCATTTTGCAAAGTGGGGTATGGACGCACTGGTCAAAGCCAGGCCCCAAGCTCACGTAACCCGCCGTCGTGCATGGTGCCTCTGCTAGGGTTAACTATGCCGCGCCAATGCCATGTACATCATTGACCAAAAGGCCTTCAAAAATTCCAGCTCAGCTGCGGTCTGGACCAAGACGGGTACCGCACATGCGCAGCCGCACACACGATCTTGTCCGGAGTGAAACCTATCGCTGCATTTACCTGGTCGAAGGTAAAAGCTTTCGGAGGCTCACTTGCATCGGCCTTCGGGTTGCGGACCTGCGTACGCGGCACCGTGTTGAGACATGCCGAACACGAGCCTGCAGCCTGGATACATCAAAGGGCTACATACCTTAACCTGACCGGCATCCACATCCATGTCAACAATTCGCTCACGGCCATCTTGCTTTTCCTTCCCGTTGAGCGGCCGGCAACGAACCACCACCTGCCCGGTCGAAACGTAAGCTATGAGAAGCTAAGGCAGTTAGGATGTGGAATTAAGACACATGAAAACGAAGTACCTTCACTGACTCAGCCTTCGACATGGCTACCTAATTATTCTCCCCACGCGTAATGCCAGATATCTTAAATGTTTTTGTATGCTCAGAAACAACGGAAATGATTTGAAGCAATGTATTCGTCTTAAGGCACCGGTTCCCTCCTCAGGAAGACCTGGCCAAGTGCAACATTAATGCTGAAAACAAAGGGGATCAAGATATCCTAGGTAAAAGCCTCTACCTATTAAAGACCTCTGTACTGTCAAGTACCGCACGGTATGGACTTTGGTTACAGAAATTGTAGTACGGTGCCAAGTGCGGCATTCAACGGACACAACAGACTCCATGGTTGCACCTCATCATAGTAGAACAATTAGGCAAAAGATTAATAAGCATTGTTTGGGCCGCAAAGGCCTCTGTGGCATTCAGTCCAGGGTTACCTCAGCATGGGCGTTCGGAACTTCGTATGTGCACCAAAGATGCCAAGATATAACTTGAGGTTAGTGATCTTACATCAGGTGAAAATGGTAATATGGGTGGATCTATGCAAGGGGATTACTTATGGGCTTCTGGGGCCCCTCAAACTGCCTTCGGGCCAGCCACGTGCGTACGTACGGCATCCATGCTGTGGCTTTGTCGAATAATTCTTTGATGTGACCTTAAGGAGACGGGAGAGCACATGGTTTGATGATGACACGGAAAAATAAAATCTTTGGCGACCAGCAAATCATTACAACAATGCTGACTGAGCGCGCCGCAGGGGCATCCTTGCTTCCTTAATTGTCAAGGATGCTCATCGTGCAGCTTGTGACTCCAAGCCACAAACAATTAGCACACCGGCAAACATTCAGCGCTGCGACAGTCCAACACGCTGTATCTGGCGGTCCAGAAGCTCTCCCGCTGTGGTCTGGACTGCAAAGCAAGGTCCCCGCTGTACATCACATCGTCACCCCGCCGCACGCGTCGCACTCGCCCAGGAATGCATCTCTCTACGTTAAACAACAAGCTGCACGCGGCCAAGAGTGAATCCCCCAACGGAGCCGCTCAGCAGATGCGGCTTTCCGGTTTTGCAATCACCGGTTACACCCACGCTGATATATGCCTAGGATTGACAGTGCTTTGCCCAGGGCCAGCTGCTGGCCCTAAGATCCTAAGACAATGTGTGACGCCAGAGTCCTAGTTGTATCGCTGTTCGGCATCTCTGAGGCCGGCGGCGCGAAGCGACACACCCAAAGGGTGAAGTGTAAAAGGGTAAGATGCTATAAGGTGCTGGCTTCAAGCGGCTCAAGCACCCGACATGAGTCTAAGTAAGGGCGGCTCCTAAAAAAGTAACCGTAACCAAATAACGGTCATTCTGGGGTTCCGTCGAGACTGTTACGACTACGGCTTATTGCGGGCTATGCGAAGCTTGAGCCGGGTTAGCTAAGGCGTAGGGCCTTACGGCCGTTTTAAGTGGTACGACTTGAGGCCGGCGATCCGTGTCCTCAGGATCGTCTTTTGCATAAATAGCGCGTGTTGCAGGTTTTCTGTATCTTGTTTTTGTTGTTCAGCACGCGCTGAACAACGAGGCAGGTCCCGCGCCTTCGGCGCGCTTTCTGTTTTTTCCGCTGTGCTTTCAGCTCTTCAGCAAGACCCATCGGGTAGAGTGCCCTGATTGAAGGAGCACCATTATCGCTCCGTCGTCATCGTCTTGAAGATCATGGCAACCGTAGCAGTATCCGTCCAAGCCGTTTTAGCGGTTTTTGTCGTTTTCTGCGGCGTTGCTGGCGCCATGATGCCGGGCCAATATGGTTCCCAGCCCCCTTCCCCATATATGCAAGGTCTGCTGGGTGGCGGCGCTACGCCGCTAGGAGGCGGAATGGCGCCCAGCGCGGTACCGAGAGCGGCAACTATGTCTGGTGCGGCGGTTGCTGGGCCGGACATCGCTGCAATGTTACTCCAGATGCAACAAGACCTGGCCGGGGTCCGCGCGCGCCTAAATAGTCAAGGTGCGACCTCGGGTCCGGAATACGATTTGCGCGCGCTGACGGAGGATTTTGCGTCGCCTCAAGTGCAGCGCTCTCCAGCCGGGTCGCGGTTTCCGTTTCCCGACTATGTTCTGCACAATTTGCCGGGGACCATGACGGTGGATAATCTGGTTTTGCATAAT